TACCTTTGACAAAGGGGAAAGCAAAGAAATAGGTCTATAGTTATCAGGATTCGGATCCTCTCTGTTGCCTTTCTTAAAAATAGGTAAAATTTTGAACGCATCTGGAAATTTCCCGCTCTGCAAGGATAAGTTACAAATGTGCACAAAAGGGAAAACAATTTCCTTAACAAATAGCTTTATCATAAACATATTAAGACCATCATATGAACAAGATTTGTTTGGCTTGAATTTATCGATTATGTGGACAATCTCCGACGGTTCAATATCGTCTAGAAAAAATGAGTATTTGTTACTATCCATACAAACAACTAATTCATTATATATATATCAAAAAATTTATCTAGCGCTAGTTAATTAAAACTCAAAAGCACCATCAAAAAACAAGATAACACAAAATTAAACATAAAATTAAACATATCCTCACTAAAATAAAGTTAAACGTAGAAATAATTGTCTGGCTGCGAAAAAATTGCAACAATTTAACACAATTGAAAAAAAACACTATAGAACAATTTAAAAAATTAATATTATCACTGTTACGAATACAAAATTGTTTTGAGTTCCTTTCTGAAGAAACCCAGTGTTCCTGAGCGAAGCCGGCAGACCATTCCAGACAGTCGGTCCTGAAACAGCAAAGCTTCGTGAACCAATACACAAGTTTGCAGCAGGAACTATCAACCGATTCGTATAAAATGATCTTAGATGAATCCCGGTCGGACGTTGCAAATCACTGTTGATCTTATCCTGCAGATACTTTTGAGCACTATCTGTGAGTACTTTATACATCAAAATAGCAATTTTGTGAATTATTTTCTTATCAACAGTTAGCCAGTACAAATCTTTAAGTATAGGCGTCACATGATCATCCCATCGACCGCCAACCACAACCCTAGCTGCACGATTTTGCAAAGACGGCAATACATGGATGGACTAGTCCGGCAATCCAAAATACAAACTGTTGCAGTAATCAACTCTCGTGTGAACAAATGCATGAATCAGCGTCTGAAGCGTAGAGACGTTCAATGATCCACGAATTTGATTCAATCTTCTAATCTGATACAAGCAATCTCTTGAAACCCTCTTGATATGGTGCTTCATTGCTAGATTCGAATCAAAAACCACAACCAGATTAGTCGCATTGTTACAAAATAAAATTGTTTCTTCATCAACTGTGATCGAGTTTATCTCCAATTTTGACAACTACTGCCATGTTCCCACCGGCAAAAGTTTAGTTTTATTTCGGTTTAGTTTCAAGCCATTTTGCGACATCCATCAACAGCTGACAAGCATTCTACAAATCATTTCATTTCCAACGGAAATGAATCTATTGTACTATTAACTATTATTTGAATATCGTCCGCAAAAGCATGAGTTGTAAACTCAAATGATTCAACAACGTTAATACCTCTGACGTGTAGAGTAGAAACAACAACGGGCCAAGAACCGACCCCTGTGGCACACCAAAGACATCCCCACTGACGTCAGACATCTTACCTCCAACTGATACCTGTTGAGATCTACCAACCAAATAAGATTTCATCCATTCTAAACTTCATCAGAAAATCCAAAACCATATTGCAATCTATCTAAAAGTATCCTGTGATCAACACAATCGAACACCGCACTTATATCAATGAAAGCCAGGAGTGATATCTTCTGTACATCTATTGCTGAACAAAGATCAGAAAAAACCTGCAACAGCGCCGTCTCCGTAGAATGGCACTGTCTAAAGCCAGACTGATGAACAGGCAACAAATTGTTACTCTTCAAGTGATTCAGTATCTGTTTAGCAACCAACCGTTCAATAAGCTTAGAGATAAAACAGAGATTAGAAACCGGTCTGTAGCTGCTGATTTCACCAGAATCGAGATTATTCTTCTTCAAAAGAGGACGCATAATAGCATGTTTACACCCACAGGAAATTGACCAGTCCACAAAGATAGATTAACTAAACTTGTCAAAAAAGGAGCAAACAGATTAACATGTTTCCTAATGATATCAGTTGGAATAATATAATACTAGCAAAAAGATTATATTGCTCTTTTAGGGTAATAAATATCATAATATATATATATATATATATATATATATACAAACATAATATATATATATAAATACAAACATAATATATATATATATATATTATGTTTGTATTCGAAGCTAAACCTGAGATGAGAAATTTTTAATTTAAATGATTGATTCAATTAAATGCATCTTCAAATTGTAATTTATTTAAAAGCTACGATCCACAAATACGTTCAGCTTGTATAATTTAGGTAGCGCCTAACATTTGAAACACGTGGTGAATTTAAATAACGAACAAAAAACCGGCGGCGGATGCCATGTTTGTTGTTTATTGTTGTTGTCTAGATCACAACGCGAAAATATCAAATTGTAAACAATATCCGAGAGAGCAAATGTGTTCGGCACTGTCGGCAGATGGTGCAAATCTCCTCACTTTCAAATTAAGTAACAAACGTGTAAAAAATTACGATGAAGTCGTCAACGGTTCAACCGGACGACCGATCGCCCGCCTAGTTTGCCCCGAGAGGGCTGTGGATTATTTCATGAGGAAAAGCAGAATAACCGTTGGCCGGTCGAGCTCTAAAAGGGGCAGCGCAGACCTGAGCATGGGCCAATCAACGTTCATCTCAAGGAACCATCTAGAAATATACACGACCGATTCAAAGTTTTATGCACTCGTGACTGGCAAAAACGGAATCTTTGTTGATGACACATTCTACAAGAAGGGAGGCTCTGCATTTGAGCTACCAAGCAGGTGAGTACTGAAGTTACTGCAACATAACACTCGGAAACAATGCAGCACTAGTTTTACTTAATCTTTCTTACAAGTTAAAATTATTTTATAATAATTAAATCACCAACAAACAAAAATGTCATGTAGTGGTATAATTCTTATTTCTCCAGTTTTTTGTTGTTTTATTTAAGTTTTAATAATTTAATTGAGAGCATTTCTTTAATAGTTTAAAAAAATAATATTAATTTAAGTAAAAACTTGAAGTTTGTCAAGGATTCTCACCTTTCAGCCAATTATTTTAATATTAATGTTGAAATAGTTAACTGTTATTATTATTATTATTATTATGTTATTCACTCTATTGACATTCTTCAGAGGATAGTACTGTGATTAAATGCTTTGTTAAATAAATAGCTTTTTAACTTTCTTCTGAAATCTTTTTCTGGAACATTTTGCTTCAGTCTTGTTGGGAGATCATTCCATACCTTGGGCCTAGCAACCTGCACACATCTGTCACCCATTTTTGTCCTGGCAAAACTGAACGCAATGCATGTCCCACATCAACTTCAGTTCTTTTGAGAAAAATCTCCTTCAGATATTCTGGGCCACCACCATGTATGCAACCATGAGCCACCGCGGCAATCTTAAATCTTATCCGATCTCTGATCGGTAGCCAGTGGAGACTTTCTAACCACTTTGTAATGTGATCATGTCTACTTAGACCAATGACCAGCATGGTGGCAGCATTCTGGATTCGTTGAACTTTATTTACTACCCCTACACCAGCACCATACAGCAACGAATTGCAATAGCCTAATGTAGACAGTACAAAAGTCACCACCTGGCTTGTAAAAATATCAACTGCTAGTTAGTGTTTATTAGCAAACTTAAAATAACTCATAACATAATTATCAAGGCGTGTGAAATTTTCAGCTTTAATAATTATAATCGCCCTGTAAATATATAATAAAAATTTTAATAAATTCTAAAGTTCAGTTTTTGTTTAAAAAGTTTTACATGTTTTCTAAACAATTGAAAACTGAGTTTTGTTAATAAAAATTCAAATAACTATCTAGGGCTTATGAAAATTGATCATATATCTTGACTAACTTCATGCACTTCTGTTTTAAATTTCAACTTCTGTAACTGTAACATTTTTTAATTCTTTTTTTCACATTTTAGTTGTTTTTGTATTTTCAACGTATTCATTAACATTTTAATCTGTAATAAAAGCTATGTTATTTTATTCATGTTGACAATTTTTGATAAATTTTCAGCTGTTTTATAAGGTTTCCTAGTACTGAAATCAAAATACAGTTCGATGTATTGCCAGATGAAAATCTGGCAGTTGAAACAAACAAACCTTATGCATATCACGATCCTCAACCTGCTCAAAACTCTATCTCTTTTCGTAGCAACAGGTGATAATGGTTTTTTTTTCATGATATTAGTAATGCTAAAGTATTAATGATTGTAAATAAATTACATTTGTAAAATAATAATGATTGTCAGTAAATTATATAAATTGAAGAGCTGTTTGTTGTATGTTATATGAATGTTTCTGTTGTTTGTGCAATTAGGCTTTGGATCTTTTCACACTCAACAGCCAAAATTTCATAAGATGAAATTTCATGCACCTTCATATATAGATTGACTTCATTGATCTGAAACAAGAATTAAAAAATTTTTTATATGGACAAAACTATTGATCACAGTTAATTACAATTAACCAAATGATGTACCAAAATGAATGGTGGCTTAATTTTTTTGTATTACTACTGAATTTACAAAAACTAACTTCAAAATTCACTCTTCTGGTTACTCTGGTTCATCTGTTTTGTTTTGCATTATGGCTTATTCGCTATATAATTGTTGAGGACAAACTAGAGTAGAGTATTCTTAAGCAGTACATAATTGTAAAGATGAATGTTCATTTATGGCTTTCAATAGTTTTTGTATGCATAACTGGACTTGTGAAATTAATTTTTTATATGTATGTATGTATGTATGTATGTGTGCGTGCGCGAGTGCCAGTGTGTGTGTGTGTGTTGTCAAATTTAAGCCACAATAATTGCACAATTTTTTTTATAAGTTTAGCTATTGCATGTATGTTTTTCATTTTATAGTTATTATTCATATTATATTGATCATTTTTTTAGTTAACGGATTTTTCATTGTTGTCAGGCAAAGTTTTTCACCTCTGAATTTGTTGCTATAATGTTAAATCATGTATATCTAATTGATGCAATATTTTTTACCTGCCTGCAGCTTCACTGACTTGTATTCGTCATCCAACCACAGTTTGAATGTGGTGGATGGAGGCTTGTATCCTGTTTCTGAAGAGGTCATCAGTCATACAGATGCAGAGGATGCTGATGTCAAGAAGCCAGCAGAAAATTCTTTTGAATCAATAAACGGCTCGACTAGTCCTCTTGCTGATGATGCAGATGTCCTAGGTCTGAGTAGTGCAACAACTTCATCCGTTCCCTCGACTACTCCAGCCGTAACCACTGCTAACGAACATACGAAACCTCCATACTCTTATGCTCAGTTGATTGTGCAGGCCATATCATCACAAGTCGACCGACAGCTGACACTCAGTGGCATATACAACTACATCACTAAAAGGTATCCATTTTACAGGCACGGAGACAAAGGATGGCAGGTTATTCATTCACTACAGTATCGTAATGATATCATAAAAGTATATAAACTGTTGTTTTCACAATTTAAATGACCAGTTAGTCATAATAGAGTTTCTCTTAATTACTAACTTTACATTTAAGCTGAAATATGGTATTATGAATGTCCTGGTTTTTTAAAATACTTGATTTCATTCATTATCATTTTGTACATTCCGATTGTTTTTCATAATTTTTCTTCATTCATATTTACAGAAATTTATCATTAATCTGCTATGCAGAACTCAATACGCCACAACTTATCGTTGAATCGATACTTTGTGAAAGTGCCTCGGGCTCAGGAGGAGGCAGGCAAGGGTTGCTTCTGGCGAATTGACCCCAGCTCCGAGACTGTTCTGATGAACCAAGCCTTTCGGAGAAGAAGGCAACGACCAGTTCCTTATTGCAAGACCAATTCCTTTGATGCATTGTATGTACCATTTGTTCATTTATTTTTATTTTTAACATTTGATAAATCGATGAGAGTCCTTATGTAGATTGTAAAATATTTATAAGGAAATAAAATAATTGTGGAGTATTGAAAGTGAAATAAATGCCACCCATTCAAAGGTCAAAATAATTTTCACTTTCTTCATTGAGTGTAAGTTTTTCAGGTTAATTTTAGCATGCTGATTTCAAATATGTAATCACATCAACATTTAGAACTTCAGTTGAAGCTTCACTCACTTTCATCAGCCACCAGCAACAGTTATATTCATCATACAGTCATTCAAATACATAAAAAAATTTCTATAAAGCTTTTCGTAAGTCAAGAAAGTTCATTTCATTGAGAATGAGTAGGAAATAATATTTAACAACATTGTCACTGCTTATTAAGACAAAACATATTGATTGAAATTATATATTAAGTTTACGGAAGAGACTTAAATTGACAGGGATTAAGTTCTGTATCATCAATCATATTGCAGCAATCAGCAGGAATCTTCAAGTATTGTGCTACTTCATCATCCCTGGTAGCATAATTCCATTGAAGCCATTTCCTGGTTATATGTTTCCCATGTATATCACTGACTTTGATAAGATATATCAGTGTTTTTCTTCGGGGGAACCCTTTGGTGTCGTCAGATTTCTGGCGGAACCTGTACTGGTACCGTTATGTCCCGTCAAAGCGAGCAACCAATTTTTTCTATCTAAAACTGCTCGTAGGTGAGTTGGACTATTTTGATTTCAAAAAGTCAACACTCTGCTATGGTACATTTCAGGCCTGCAAGTTTTTCCTTGTACACCTCAGAAAACTAGTCTACAAATCGTACGGTTTGCATACAAATACAGATCACTGATTCAATCAATCAAATCAATCCTAAAAGTATTTATTTACCAAGAAACAAACAAGTTATTTTGGTTTGGAGACCAAGCAAGTTAAAGCTTCATAGGCCACCAAATTATAAAATATGGAACATTAAATGACCAAAACATTAGTCTAAATAATATTAATATAAAATTAAGTTTCAATATTCGTCAAATGTAAGTAGCTAAAATTAACATAATAAATGTTTCTTGAATAACGTTTAATCAGCTGGTAATAACTTACACTTGATACTCTTCATAAAAAGTTTGATATTGTTTATTCCATAATGATACCCCCTCAGGAAAAATAGAAGATTTAGAAATATTTAACCTAGAAAATGGTTTTTAAAAGATACAATTTTTTTTTAGATTTTTGACACTGTCATATCTACTAAAAAATTTCAAGATTTTAATTGTTAATGAATGTTTATAAATTTTATACATAAATTTTAACGCTATTAATTTGTAGAGTTGTTTTATGGTCAACAAATTGCTATCTTTATAATAGCATGTGACATGCGAACGCTTCCGTAGCATATAAAGACAGCATATATAATAATTGTAAGATTTTTTAAGATGATCAATATGTGAATTAACACTATTACCCCACTATATCAGTTCGTAAATTAAGTATGGAAAAGTCAAACTGTTGTATAACTGTTTAACTGTATCAAAAGAAAATCTATGTCTAATTTTAAAAATCAAGCCAGTAATTCTAGAAGTTATACTGGAAACATACAAAATGTGGTTTAACCAAGTAAAATTATTCGAAATTATAAATCCTAAAAATTTGCTAATATCTTTCAACATTATGATTATTTATAAGGATATCTGCATTTATTCTATTAGTGGATATTTTAGGTCCGAATATCATGAAATTAGTTTTATTAAAATTGATGGAAAAATGGTTAGCGCATAACCATTTATAAGTTAACTCAAGATGCTTGTTTAATTTAATAAAATATCATTTATGTTGTTACCGCTGCAGAGAATTATCGTATCATCCGCAAAAGAACAGTTTTTATTGATTAATCAACGTTGGGCAAGTCATTAATAAAGATCACAAACAACAATGGGCCAAGCATCGATCCCTGGGGCACTCCCCACTTAACAATGACTTTTGAAAAATTACAAGACTCATATGACACATACTGACACCGATCATGGAGATAGTCAGCAAACCAGTCAAAAATAGAACCACGAATTCCAATCTTAAACAGCTTTTTATGTAAAATACCATGGTCTATTGAATCAAAGGCTTTCCTCAGATACAAAAATAACCCAACAATTGTTAGTTTTTTCTCCATATTTTGTAAAACATAATGATTAATACCCAAAAGAGCCAATTCCGTAGACCGGCCCTCCATGAATCCCTGTTACGAATCTGAAAAAAGTGTATATTATTAAGGTAATGATGAAGGCGTGTCGACACAATTTCCTCCAGAACCTTGGATATAGAAGAAAACAACCATAACGGTCTATAGTTAAAAGGAGAATTACGCTCACCACTTTTATAAATAGGGACAACCTTAGCTATTTAAAACGCGTCGAAAATATGATTTAACGGTTTCAATACATTATGTATGAGGAGATACCATCATGGCCACACGACTGAGAGTTTTTCAAGCTAAAAACGTGTTTGACAATTCCAATGTCGCTTATGTCGTCAAAATAGATGGAATTACTGATCGTATTTATAGTAAACAACGAGTTAGTATCATTGTATTCAATGAAATTATCACCATCAACGACACAAGAAACAAAATATTTATTAAACGCTTCACATATCTCAGATGGCTCATTTATTGTCATGCCATCGTGGAGTAATTCAGTTATGATGTGCTTGTCCGTGCCAGCAATTATTGATTGTTTTCCAAATAATTTTTGTATTTTGTTTCTTATTTTCAAAAATATCATTATAACATTTTTTGCAGAAAATTTTATTAGTGCATGAAATCTGTTTCTATAATTTTTATAGATTGAATAATTGTTATCATTAGGATTTTTAAGTAACGTGAGTACAGTTTAGATTTAATTTTAAAAGACTTTAAAATTCCTTCAGTCAATCAAGAACTCTTTATTCTACAAGGTCTTAAAATTGCTTCATTATAAATATTCAAAAAGTTTTCTGTGTAGTCGTTTGAACCAAGGGAGTTAAACATTTCCTAATCAACATTTGCTAAATAATTATTTAGGTTCAAAAGATTTCTCTGTTTTAAACTAGGTACATATTGTACTTTTGAAGAAACATTTGCATGCTTATTGGAGGAAAAAGATGATCCGACAAGTCTGCATAAAGGATACCCGATTCATGGCTTTCAAAAGTATTGGAAAAAATGTTAATGAGCGTGGAAGTTGAATTAGTAATACGGGTTGGTGACTTTATGAGTTAAACAAATGAGTACGATTCTAGAAATGTCTGAAAGCCATGTTTGGACTTATTGCAATCGTCATTTAAAAGATCGATGTTAAAATCCCCTACCTGCGAGAACCAATTTTACATAGCGAACAATTTAATTCATTAATGAAAAAATTTATTATTTTTATTGGAGGGCGATATATGGAGTAAATTATTACACTTTCGTTTTTGTTAGCAACACAATTTCAATTGCCAACCATTCAAAAAGCCCATTCTTACTGCATAAATCGTTACGAACTATATACTTAATATCTTTATGCAGAAATATACCGGTACCTCCACCAGTTTTAGAAATTCTATTACTATATTCAAAATTAAATCTTTCTAATTTTACTAAACTCGAAGAATCGTCGTTTAACCACGTTTCCGTTATGGAAATTATCTTCAGATTATTTATATCTGATATAAGACAGCTAATGTCATTTAATTTTGGCAAGAGACTACGCGAATTTATGTGCAAAATACTTAAAATTATGATTATGCTAGTTACCTTTAATCAGCAATATTTACAAGTCTTACAGTCCTATTTACAAGTCTTTTTTACAAGTCTTACAGTTAAGTCGAGTATAGAAAAATGTTCAGTGTGAGATAGTACTTTTCCACGAGACAGCCATCGTACGTCTGTGCGTTGGATGAATGTCCGCTTCCATGCTTTGACAAAGTTTGGCAAACAAGCGACACTTATGAGGTCTCATCTTATGAGGTCTCATCTTTATGTAATTAACTATTTTCACTACCTCGTCCAACACTGATTTCAAATCTTCTCCCACTGTTTAGCAGCCAGTGCTTCTCTGTGTATGAAGCAGTGGGTGGCCACGATATCTGGATTCGTCTGCCGCACCAGTGACACAAAACCTTTGACGTTTCCCGTCATTGCATGAGCACCATCCGTACAAATGCTGACGCAGTTTTTCCATGACAAATTACCGGACTAAATATGCACTGGTAACGTCATATACATCTTGTCCTCTCGTTGTTTCTGACAACTCTTTACAGCAGAAGTAGTCCTCAACAATAGCACTATTGTCAATAAAACGTACAAACCCTAGCAGCTGTGCTTTACCACTGACATCGGTGCTTTCATCCACCTAAATTCCGAACAATCCATATTCTTAACCGTCGACAGGACATTACTTTCTATGTCAGTTGCCATATCTGCTATACGCCTGCTTATCGTATTGTCAGATAGTGGAATCTTATTGATTTCAGATACGGCACTTTGTCAAAACATAATTTTGACCATCTCTTGTAAAATTACTGTTTCAGTGATAGTATGTTATTTCATTTTCTTAGCTACAATTTCTGCAACAGCATAGCTTGCTTCTTGAGCTTTCTCATTAATCTTGACTTTTTTCTCGAATGTTGCTGCTTGTTTTTTGTTCAGGTTTAGTGCTCTCTCGAAGTACGTGACATCTTTCTTTGCGGCATCGGGATGTAATGTAGTTAAGTGTCGTTTCAATTTAGCTGGCACCATGGCACTGTTAGCAAGCTGTTTCCTGCATACAATGCAAAGGGGCGATGGACAGTCTGAGTCTCCTGCCCAAGTGAATCTCATAGTTAAATAATTGTTACTGTACTGACGAATCTTACGACGAGAATCGACAGCATCAATTTTCCGCACCGTCGGTTCTTTGGTTACGGATGCAACGTCAGGCGATCGCTCAGTAACTTAAGCTTTCGTTTTTTAATAAATCGGTCCATGTCAAAATAATTTAGATTTATCTATATTGAAAATTAATGCGCACGACGGCGTACGGTCTAACAACGGAAACGGAAATAGTATTTAGGTAAATGAATGACAAAATTAATAATCGCATAGTGTGCATACATAGCATGGTGCAGGTACGCATGTTAGGCGTGATGTGTGGTCTTGGTCGGTTTTGCTCTAATTTTTTTCACAAAAAATTTTTTCTTATTAACTCGCGGAACTCCTTGCTTGCCCTTGCGGAATCCTGGTTGAAAAACACTGAGATATATAGATAATATATACCTATGTAACATTGTAAGTTGTTCTGCCTATGTCAGAGCTGCAATAATAAAGACTAAAAAAACTTTGTAAAGACATTCGGAGAAAAGTTAAAATGTGAATTGAAAAGATAAATTTTAAGGAATGTTACATCCCATATTCTGGAAGACCTTGGAAAGCATGTTCAGCAAGCTTTTTGTAGTTACTACACTTATTGTTTCATAAAAAGTTAGCTACATAACTCAAGAATTTTTACATTTAGTAGGCTTTGAAAATGTTTATCACATATTACTTCTCGGATCTGAGGCCCACAGACATATCTTCTTCCATTTTAGCTTCACTGGTTTGTGGAAAGATGAAACGGAGATGTATGGAGGCTTTTGCTTTTACAAAATTCTTTATTAGGCCCAACTTGATGTGTGACGGTGGCCATGTGATGTCTTTGCGTGCGACAACCAGTGACTCGTGTAAAATATTTTTGACCAGGTTCCCTGCAATACCTGATTGGTCTAACGTTTTTTGATAGTGTGCGCATCTCTGTCCCGACTATTCAAATCGCTGGTGAAACGGCAGAACTCCATGTTACCGACTCGTAGACCCATCTCAATGCCAAAAATCATGCTACTATATAACTTTAATACCCAGAATGATAAACAGCACAAAATGAACTTTACAAAAATATGGTAAAAATAAAAAGTATCAAAAATTGATTGTTTATAAAAATTGATCGTTTAATTTATATGAAATTTAAATCTGCTCTTGTGAGAACTTTTATAAGTGGCATCAGTAAATAATGTTTAAGAAATAATATGCTACATTCCATTTAATTTTCTATTTAATGACACTTGAAAAGTTTTGAGGAAGAAAATATTGATGCAGCAACACAACCCTCCAGACATCCAAACTTGAACCTGTCTGACTCGAGCACCGTCCTAGGCACCGATGATAGTTGTGCCTCGTGGGATGGGGCTCCCATAATGACAGAGGAAGGTGTCGACGTGGGAGATCCTCATCATCATCACCACTACCAACATCAGTCTGCCGTCAAGCACGAACAAGGCCTGCCAACCCAGATACTTGCTGCACCGACGCTGGCCACAGCGACGACTTCTTTACCAACTGCTTCCTCTTACAGGTGCTTCTCCAGCACCAGCAACAAAACTGCCTTCAATGCTCTTCCCATCGCAAGTTCGTTGGTTTTTTTTTTGCGCTACCAAATAATATTATATTTGTATCTCTTAAGAAAAATTTAGATGAGATTTTGTTTGTATGTACGACGATGGTGGTGATGATGTTGATTGTGCTGGTGATGGTACTGATGGTAATTGTTTGCGTTGGTTAGGGTCATGGAATGTATGGTCGATAGTTTTTTTTTCAATGAGATACATTGCAATCATATTGATCTGTCTCACAAATGAACATAAATTACATGCAACATTCATTTGTTGTTCATTCGTTTGTCATATGCTAAATGTTCGTGCAGCTTACATCTTTTTATAATACAACACAGCCAACTTGTTTGTGACGCTTCCTCTGGGTCTCAGCAAGTCACATTTCATTTTTACAAAACCTCTGCTGCCGCTGCCTGATCAGCTGACTTCCACGTTCGCGCAGAACCCAGCCACCAACGGCTGCATGCCAACGCAAGATGGCTTGTTGTTTTCAGGTGTCTTGTCTTTGTTCAATAAATATTTATTAAAATTATTGCAGAATACATTTTTTCTTATGATTCAATTTTTTACATTTTGCATAGGGAATAGATTGAAGAATGCAGCCACCAACAACAACAATATCACTATCTCAACAACATCTCCAGCAACCGTTGACAGTGGCATCGTCAGCAACAACAGCACCTTGAAGTCTAAACCTCTTTTGCAACCGTATTTAATATCTTCACAGCCAAAAACAATTATTTTGAGATCTAATCCAAGCAGTCAGTCAGTTTTGCCATGTCAGCAGGTAGTATCTGTTGTTGTTGATTGAATGTGAATAATAGTTGAATGAAGAACCTGTTTTTGATTGACTGCATTTTACCTGCATTCATTTTGTACCGTTGTTGTGATTCAATGAGTTGATGTCGCAAAATCTCTCAATATGTTTGAAGTATGATTACAACTGACAACCGAGATTCAAGGTGTAAAAATTCAAAAGTAAGAACATATAGAAATGATTCTGCTCTCTATCTGACAATATTTACCAAACTAATGAATGGTTTCTACTAAATTTCATTTGCATTCTTGAATTGTTATTTTGAATCAAATGATTTGCAGAGCCTGAATTTGGCTAGCGGCAACCAGTTCATCAAATTGTCTTATACTCCTTCATCGAATTTAACCATGAGACCAATGCAGCTGCTGAATGGAGATGTCAACGAGGAAAGAAAAGTCAAAAGTTCTTTGGAAGTTGAACAGCAGCACTTACAGCAGCAGCAACAACTTTTATTACACCACCAACAACAGCAATTACAACTGCAGCAGATGCACGTCGTCAATAGAAATAATAACGTCAAAATTAATCTTTCCGCCACAGAATCAAAAGTGAGCTTTCCTTATAATAAATTTATTAATGCCTGTTCCCCAACTCACCTCATGTATGACATTTAGCAAATATCTTGATAAGCTTATTTTTAAATATTTCTATTTTTAAAAGTTCGTCAGCTCTTTTTTTGTAGCGGGATGATACGAAATAATTTAATAGTCTTTTAAGTTTTCTTTAAATTAACATTTTCGAGTCATATATTTTTTTTTATTTGCTAGGACACATTTTGTAGCAGGAAGTAATTGCTGCGTGTTGCCACCTCAACAGTTTTAAAGGCTGCAGCGTAGATTTTATTTGTCATAACACAGAATTTATCTATTGTAAATCAGGTTTTTATTCACTGTAACATGGAGTTTGATGAGGGGTGTGTATTTTGAGACCCGACTTGAAATTGCGAGGGATTGAGAAGAGGAAGAGAATTTCAAAAAATATATTAAAACTAATAAAAGGTCAAGAAAAAAAAGATTAGTTGGAAGAACCAACAACTGTTGCTTCATATGCTTTAAGAATCTATAAGATATTTTGATGAGTGACAAGAACTGAGAGGGCACATGTAGACACATATTTTAACAAGTTAAAAGGTTAGAGGTAATTCTCTCTTTTGCGCTTGCTTCAGAGGTATCAACGACACACATACACACAGCGTATCACACATGTATCACACGAAATCAGCAACAAACCACGCAACGCACACGTTCCATGTGATAGGCGTGAATCTCTTTATATTCGATCCCAGTAACTGCAGTGATAGGACCAGGCGCTTCGAACCATTGAGCCATCACATTAAAGTACTTTACCTTTTCATTTACACTACACAAAAGTACTGGGACAGCTTAGTTGGCCGAGCTGAGAGGTAGGACAGGACCAGAAAGTTTAGAGCAAAGAAAGTTTTAACAATTAATTATGAAAAAAAACGAAATAAATAAATAAGTAAATGGAGAGTACTAGAGTAGGATCATTGAGATGAGGCGTTGTGAATGTTGTAATTATGACCATTAGAAGCAAGAGCCTGAAGCTCTAAAAGAATTGTAAAATAAAATTTCTACATTAATAAATCTAAGGATCACGAATGAACAAATTGAACACCAACGAGCAAATTTTATGACAGTTAACGCCAGAATGCTCGTCATTCACTAACAGTTTATATTGAACGTATGTAGATGACATGACAATAATCGCGTCAGAAACATTCTTTATGTTATATGCAATATATATATTTCCTCAATTTACCTTGTTATCCAAAACTCTTTTACAAAATAACTGCAAGAGAAATCTATTTTCATATAAACGAAGATGCAACCGTACTCCAAAGTTTTATTTCTACATGGCTTCAATTTAATAATTTGTAGTTAGTTTGATTGAAGGTCACGTATCATGAATCTTACACGAGCCTCAGCATGACTGAGGCGGATCAGACGACTACAGCGTCCGTCTGACTCCAGTGGTGGTTCTGTTGTTCGTTTAATGAAACCAGCAGCAGCTAGCCCCATTATTCCTTGAATTATTACTATTAAAAATTATCCGGTTATTCTTGCTTACATTAAAATGATAGTAGTCAGAATGATATTTCTTGTTCACATTAATAGTTGTAATGACGTTAAATTGCAGTCGAACGTATTTGACGATGATCGTCTGGCGGGGGAGGAGGCATCGACGACGTCAACAATGAAGACAGCAGCGCAGCCAACAACAGGACATATTCCTCCTGACAACCCGCAGAGTGTTGTGCAGGCATTTTGCAACTGATCAATCAATCGACTAATTAATCATCTAACCAATCTTTCCACTTCCACCACTTCCCTTTGCAACGCCTACACCATTTCATTCATTCATTCATTCATTCATCTATTTATTTGTTCTCATTTTTCTACGAGGTATTTGTTGCTTCATCCATGTTTGTGGACCGGTCAGTTTCCTCAGTGATCCATCCACAACTTTCTGATGGATGGCAGTATTTTGTATTTTTTCATGTTTGTTATCGTCACCACTCAACAAATGCACAGACTCCTGTTTATAAACTGTTGTCCATATTTCGTCATTGAACAGTTTAATTCTCGTTCGACTTCTTTTTTTATTATGTTCGCCCGCATGTTTGCTTATGTGTTGTAAATGGCACTCGCGACTAGGTTGCATTAATTTGATGTAGATGATTGTAAGCACGGGTTTTTTATTTGTGTATATGTGTGTAATATATATGTATAAGTGTGTGTGTGTGTGTGGTGTGTGTGAGTGAGTCTCATGCGTCCATTCCTTCTTCTAACTTTCTTCATGTAATAACGTATTGTAAGTAGTAATTTGTTTCTAAAGTACCATCAGCATTTGTATTTTGTTTGATTGTTTGTTTGTGTGTTTGATAATATGGAGGCAGCAGTTGCAAATATTTGAATTAAAATCTTGCACATTCAATTGTTACTTCAACCAGTCCCAATCATCATTTCTTTATAATACTAATTTATATAAATGTTCTTTTTGGCTAAATTTCTGTTTTCATTATTTTTTTTATAATTAACCTCGATAATTAATATTCACTCACTCATTTATTTATTTATTGAAATATTATAAATATTATTGTTAATTTATTAATTATATAAATTTTGTGGCTTAAAATGTTCAATGTAAATTATTTGATGAAATTATTGTAATTTATATTTGATCCATTTTAATGGTTTTGGTTCATTTTATTGAACGGTTCGGTGGCCTGCTAGATGGGTGCCATATTTTTGTGTCACGTACGAACGATTCTTGCATTGTGATATCCCATGTGCGTACAGCTGTACAGTGCATGAGGTGACCTGCCTCCACGAACATTCACACAAAGCGCTTTTAATTTTTTACTAATTTGTATACTTTGTTAATAGCGTTGTACATAATTTTTATATGCAATATTGTGCGGTTTGCATGCATGCATAATGACGGGTCTGTCTGCGCTGTCTTGCTCTTGTTTGCATCACATCACGGGCACGCCTGCAATTTATCTTTTTGCTCTTTCGAAAGTTGAGAATTCTTTAAGAAACTGATAAATTAAATTTTACTTTATGCATTAACTTAACAATTTTTTCCAACTATTTAATTGAACAGTTAATAAACTGTATGTACATTCGCATTGCCAAGCGACTCATTTAAAGGCGATGGTGGGCGAAATGTTTTTTTTTGCGTTTCAAATCCATATTCACAACATTAAAATGAAATAAAAATCAAATGTTGTGATTGCATGATGAAAATTCACACTTCCTCTCTGAGTTTTCAGGTTGACAGAATGTTACTTAGCATGGTTCAAGTAATATATATATATATGACATATATATATATATATATATATATATATGATATATATATATATATACATACTATATTCTATAAATTCTACCGAATGTTTGGTGTTAATATGTTTGTAGTTTGTTTTTTCGATTTTTTTCACTAAAGTTTTTTGGAGAACGTTTAGTTTATTAAAATTCAAAATAAACTTATTTTTCGATTTTATGCTGCAAATAAGGTCATATTTCGATTCCGAATGAATCATCAGTGCATAAATCAACTTGAACTGATGACGATTCATTCGGAATCGAAATATGGCCTTATTTGCAGAATGAATTCGAAAATAAGTTTATTTTAAATTTTAATAAACTAAACGTTCTCCAAAAAACTTTAGTGAGAATAATCGAAAAAACGAACTACAAACATATTAACGCCAAACATTCGTTAGAATTTATAGAATATTGTAAAAATTATGGTCTACCACCAATATATATATATATATATATCGTGTGCGCGCGTGACACTTGCAGGTTTTTTGACGGGTATTGCTGTCTGTCTGTCTGACTAATTTGTATACTTAAGTCAAATTCCTGATAATAAAATTGTCTAAATTGTAAATTTATTTTCATTTATTATTATTCATTTTCTTGTTAACATTTTTCTTCCTTAATTGTAAAATATTGAACATGCACGAAATTAAACCACAAATTTCAAATAAATTTACTTGATGCGTTTTTGATGGTTTCAACCGAAGTAGAACGTTTTCATAATCGCTATTGAACGCAAATCATTAACGGACACGCCGTCATCTTTTTTTACCCTCTCCAGTGACGCGTTCAATGGAGACCCGCCAGCAAATGGGCCACGCACCTAACTAACTTCTGCCCCCAATCATCCGCCATTCCACTACATCTCTCGCTGCACACTCATCTCCACCTTATGAGCCAACAAATAATTATATCCACGCGTAATAATATTACTTATTATTCCAAGCAAATTGAGTTAATGATGTCCAAATTGTCCTAAAACGAAAACCATAATTTTATGAATTTATTATACAGTACAGATAGTTGTTTTCTTTTCAATTTAAAGACAGACAGTCAGCAAATTGCATTGTGATAAAGAATCAAAATGTATTGCACCTTGTTGGCAATATCTATATCCCTCTTGATAACACACGTGCACAAAATGTTGACACGTTGAAATGTTTATACATATATATGAATAAGTTGAAGTATATATATATATATATATATATATATATATATATATATATGTATATATATATATATAAAGCAGTTTGGATGGAACTGGTTTTTGAAAATGTGTAATCTTGCTGGTGTACATGTTTAAGCTTCTAATTTTCTAGAGATTGTATAATATGGAAAATAATTTTCATTTAGTTATCAAGAAGTCGATTATTTTTAAATTCACAGAGAAAAGTCATTCGTTTAACGTGTTAAATGCCTTCTCAAAGTAACTTATTAACTTTATATAAATTTTAATTTCATTGTTCATAAGCAGTTTTATTTTTGATCCAATTTCATTTATTGTTATTTTTGTTTTACATTGTTCGATTTTCAAGTTTCCCTGTTCAGTTATAATTTTGAAAACCCTTTAAAAGCATTTTCATTATAATAGTAAAAAATAAATATGTGACGATCCAGCAATCCTGTGCTACTTTCTAATATTCTAACAAATTTGCTATATAACGAATAAACGAACAAATTTTTTAGATTTAAATCATCATTAAGTCTTATAACAATCTTCCATTTCTGATTTCTTTTGCTTAAATCATTAAAATGCAGGTTTAACTCAACACAATTTTCTGTACTAATAGTGTTATTTCACGTTTTTGGCAACCCGAAGATGTAGAACTGAATGACAGTGATACCGAAATCTTCTACGGAACTTCAGAACAAACCACCAATAAAAGGCCCTCAAATATAAATAAACTTTTATTCTACAGCTTGAAATTTTCGGCAATTTTTTTAGCAATGATTTATATGAATAATTAAATGTAGTTACAATTCGTGCAGGAGGCGCGGATATTTTGAAAAAATTGTCAACTTTTCATTCGCTTATTCCACATTTTTATCATGATTTTCATATTTTTTATTCAAACTTCGCAAAATAATGCTGTTGTTAAAGGTTGCAACAGTCTGAAACCAAAATTTATATGCATATTTATATGCAAAATTTATTTTCATTCGCTTATTCCACATTTTTATCATGATTTTCATATTTTTTATTCAAACTTCGCAAAATAATGCTGTTGTTAAAGGTTGCAACAGTCTGAAACCAAAATTTATATGCATATTTAGTGAAATTTAACCTTAACGCTGATAAAAATACTTGCCCTGAGTGTTTAGCCTCAAAGCTTCTTCCTTGGTCACGCCTCTGTTTGGAAAACAAAACGGCTCTAATATGGACGCAATTTTGAGAAGAAAACTCACAAGCGTTACATGTTTTTCGTCGGAAGAAGTGGACGACATAAATGGAGACATTTATTGTCATATTTTGGCGGAGTAACCCATGAAGATGTGAATGTGAACAAAACTTGATTGCAGCGATCTCAGAAATTGATGAGTAGGCAGGGAAACGAAGCGTGGGTGAATCAATGTTCGTCATTATTTTTGCTACGCAGTAGTTTAAAGAATTTAATTTATTCAGTCTGAACAATGAATGACCTAAAAATGTTAATAAGCTTCTTGATGTCTTCCTCTCATGAAATTTTTTTGATCTTACTGTTCATTTTTATCTTAACTAGTTGTGGCATTTTGCTCCTTAAAATGTGAACCTTATAAAAATCTGAAGACGACACTGTGTATACACAATAAACAAGGCAACCATCAAGCATTTTCTTTCCAAAATTACATTTTTAAAAATTATTTTATTGTGACGTCATCAGTATCTAGTGTTTCACATCATTTTAAACATTGAAATCAGAAACAAAATGTAAGTCTCAGCTATGATGAAAAGAAAATATGAACAGCCAAAAGTAAAAAAATGAAAGTTGTGTGAATGTTTAATCATCTCCAGTGAAACAAGTATTCTGAATGAAAAATAAATTTACTAAACAAAAATAATTGACAAATTTGTGGTTGTACAAATCTTACTTAAGCTGTAACATCTTTCAATTCATCTGGCAGAGCACTTTTGGGATGTTTGTTTTCAAAGTGCTGCTTGTATGTTTTGGCATCAGGCATTTGGGCCTAAGGAATAAAATTAATGTTGAGTATCATCTCATTAATTATATTGTAAAATAAATCGAAAATAGTCAGGTCAAGTTTCAATTTAAAGGATGAGTTACACTTCAGATCTAGACAAGTTTGATGGTGGTCCAAAGTTTTGAAAATGTTTAAATTTTGAAAATGTTTAAATTTTGAAAATGTTTAAATTTTGAAATATGACGGGGAGCCAAGAAACTCAAAGGATTTGTGCTTGTGTGGCCCAAAATTATATCTCTGGCCCTTCCCTTTTAAAAAATAACGATTCCTACCCCTCAAAAAATTTCCCACTCTGGATCAAGACTTCAAAAGAAAAAAATTTCCCTACTTGCATTATAATTTTTTGTCATTATCAACACTAAATGTAAAATACTTTAAAAAACACTTAAAATCAGTCAGTATAATTATTTTTCTTAGTAAAATAGCTTTATATTTATAATTTAAAACATACTGAAAAATATGTGATTTTATTCACATCATTAACTTTTATTTTCAGTGTTAAAGATGATTGCATATTGCTACACACACATAAATATGTGTGTAGCAATATGTCTTCTAAAAAAACCTTCTTGAAAAATATTTTCAGAAAAAAGATTATCAGATTCCATTTCCCCAACAAATTCAGACTCCGGCAAAAATTTCTGACTCTGACATTCTGTGTAAAAACTAAGTCTTACTGACTTCTAATAAAATTACTGCTCACATGGACTCTCTAGATCCGCCACTAAGAGGTATCAACGCACAGAGTACGTACATGAAGACATGTTAAACGACATATCATGCACAAAGCATGTGATTAGCAGTGATCCTTTTTCGTACTCGAAACTGGTCACTGCATGCACTGCAAAACAGGACCTGACACCTTCAACCATTGAGCCATCACGCCACCTAAATGCAAGACAATTAGTGATAAACTCAAGTGTAAAAACTTCTTATCTAAAGAGTTTATATAAATGCATATTAAATTAATAGCTTGCATAGAAGAATGCACAAAAAGAACATAAATATACAGATTTCTATAGATTACTGTCAAAAGAACCCAAGTTTCATATTTTCAAAAAAGTTATACACTTAGTACTTTCATTATTTTAGAAATCTATCCTTGTCATCCATCCAACCATCATTACCAAATGTTGTCTATCAACTTAACTAGAAGTCAGCTATTTTAATCCTTGGTTGCTCTATGGAACTTTACTATCACACATTTTTGTAGACCTTGAAAAAGCATTTGATCGAGTTCCCCGTGAAGCAATCAGGTGGAGTCTACGTCGACAACTCATTCCAGAATATCTTGTTGGACTTGTGATGGAAATGTATACGAATACTAAGACTCTTGTCAGCACAACAGTTGGAAACACAGATGCATTTGACATCGGCGTTGGAGTTCACCAAGGCTCGATTCTCAGTCCACTGTTATTTATAACTGTGATGGAAGAAATCACAAAACCGATACGCACTGGTGACATTAGGAATCTAATATATGCTGATGATATCGTTTTAACAGCCCCATCTGAGCAGAATGCAGCACAGATGTTTGATGATTGGAACACCAGACTCGCCGATCATGGATTCAAAGTCAACATCAGCAAAACCAAAGCAATGAACACTGGTGAACCCATCCAATCCACAGCTACTGGGCGATGGCCCTGTTCAATTTGTAAAGCTGGTGTTGGTAACAATTCAATCAAGTGTCAGCAGTGTAACCAGTGGTGTCACAAACGTTGTTCAAAAATAATTGGTACTTTATCTAAAGTGTCCAATTTTGTTTGTCCTGCTTGCATCAATCCTCAACAACAAATTCGAAATAGCACTGTTTTTGAAGCCATTAAGGTAGAGAAAGTCACATCGTTTCAATATCTAGCGGATGTTCTAGATTGTACTGGAACAGCTGAAGCTGCTGTTCGAGCACTCATACGTGCAGCCTGGAATAAATGACATCTCCTTGCCTCTATATTGATGCGGCATGACATCCCACTACCACTACGATCAAGACTTTTTAAATCTGTGATACGTCCGGTGTTGTTATATGGTGCAGAAACATGGCCAATGACAACCAAACTGAAACAACAACTTCAACGAACCGACATGAAAATGCTCCGATGGATGCAACGAATTAGTCTGAAGGACCACATCAAATCTACCGAAATCCTGCGTCGTGCTGGTTTAGATGATATAAAGGACGAATGCCGGCAAAACCGTCTGAGGTAGTTTGGTCATGTCAAACGAAGTGAAAACAGTGCCATAACTTCTCTTGCAAATGTTGAAGTACCTGGCACACGTCCCAAAGGCTGTCCAAAGAAGTCCTGGTCGCAAACAATCGAACAAGACATGAGAGCTAAATGAATGGATACAACTGATCGTCTAATTTGGTGCAAAAGTTGATGGCAAAGAGAACAACGTCCTACCCTGGGAAACCGGGTCTCTGGACGCAAAACAAAGATTGATTGATTGATTGATTGTTGCTCTATGGAACTTTATTTAAATAACAGAATATCATTAATTGAATCCAGCAGAGTTTTCAAATCAACACAACAGATGCTAGCAAAATAACATCTCCAACTTTATTTTCATTGATTAATAGATAGTGTATTTCTACCTTTTAAAAAGCGACTAAAAATTAAAAAAAATGTGAGCATTTCAATTCGTAGAGCATTTCAATAAATACAAATCAGACAGAGTTAATGCCTATGAAACGTAAATAAAAAATCTTTTTTTACAATCTACAAATGATACAAATGACATTTATGTGCAAATTTTAAAAATTATTTTATATTTTACAGGTAGTCAGTGTGAGAGAACAAGATATGGAGATATATGAGAAAAGAAATGGACGCAAGCAACTTAATCTAAATAGTAATAAAAAATAAATTAATAAGTAATAAAAAATGAGTATAAGTAGTTTGTTAAATGTTAAAATAAAAACAGCCTAATCAAATCTAATCTAAAATTTAAATAAATAAATCTAAATTCTAAATAAAAAGACTATGATAAAAAAAATATTGTTTTATATTATAATATTATAAATTAAATTTTATATCAGTGTTCATTTAATTAATTTAGTATTTATTTTTAGAAGAGTTACATCTATCTATGGCACATAATGTATACTGTAGTAGTGTATAAATGTATATTACACATTTAATATCATAAATAAAAAATAAATTAAATAATAAATAAATTTTAAAATTTAGAATTTAGATCAATCTCACTTTGCAAACCGAGCAAGAGTAAACGAGAGCAGCTTGAGCTGACTTTTTTTGATCGGACCCTTGTGCCTTTTTCAATTTTGCTTGTTTCTCAGCGTTTTTTTGTTGGGATTGGATTTTTTGTTGTCCCCTCGCCATTTTTTAAGACGTTACCACGATATTAAATCCAACGTTAAAACTGATTCAGCGGCACAAAACAACTTGACCTATAAATTATGAACAAAAAGAACGTGAAAAAGAGAGAGTGCAATAAACGTGCAAAATATTATTTGTAAATAATTTCATTATCGTGCATTTACTATTTATTTAGAGCGTTCAACTTTTTAGAGATGAAATCTGATGAAATGAATAAAAAATGAAACTATGTATCCTATATATACAAATAAAACGATCTAAACTACGATAGTTAAGTAAATAAAACTTAAAAAATAACTATATGGACTATACAAGTTCTTTTGTTAGATCATTGTTTTAAAAATGAATTTGGTAAGAATAAGTTCGTTACAAAAGTCGACAAACCTTTACTTACACATACCTTTTTACAATTAAAATGATTAGATTAGCGTTAGATTATACAATTAAACAGTAATACTTGAAAATACTTTATTATTTTTACCTATGATTGATTAATCATTGTAACTCGTTTTACTATAGTCTTCCTGATTCTACACTCTATCCTTGAAGTAAAGCTTTTAACTCCGCTGCTCTTCTAGCTGCTTGTGCCACTATCTTGCCTCACATATCTCCATATCTCGTTCTCTTGCCCTGGCTACCTACAAAATATAAACAAATTTTGAAATTTGCACATTATTGCATAAGTCTCAATCTAAATTATTTCCTAAAGGCTTATCAGATATATTAATTGAATTTAAACGCCCCTGTTCACGATCGTTTTTTTGTTCTCACTTCTTTTAAATCATTTTAAATATTTTTATGCTTAAGCCCTAGACCATTACGCCGCCCATGTTGAAACTACAAAATGACGCCATACCCTAACGCGCACTGAAAGTGTGCGTGGGTGCGTTCGAAGGCCAGTATATTTATTTCGGGTATACGATTGCCTATATAAATAGTATTATTAATATGTGTTCGCTTCTCGAAGTTAAAATTAAATTTTCATCTATTTAATGTCTTTTCATACAACAGCTGACAAGCGAACTGTCAATCAAAATGTAGGAGGATTTATCAGTGTAGCAGTAGTCTACATTATGTGGCTTGTCGTAATTAAAGTAGTAACGTTAGGCCACGCCTACAAGCGTGGGGTTTATTTTTGTTTGTATTTACGTTAAGCGTTGGTTATTTGCGAGTTAATCGTTTAGATTTCACGGCCGGTGATTGAGGAAGTGGCTGATTTGGTATTCTGTTATAATATTTATTCCGTTTTTATTATTTTTATTATTATTATCTAATCTTCTTTTTATGAATAGTTTGATAAATTGCGCGATTACCTTTTTTCCAGTTTATTTTACATTTGATAACGTAACAGGAACAAAGCTTGATTGTCTTTTTATTTTATAACATTTTTTATCGTCTTCGCATATGTTTGTGATTGAAGAGGCGGATGACAAAAAATTGTTTATATAATAATTTGTTTTAATTTAATTCATTTTATATTTATACTTCAATTTTAGATTTTGATGTCTAATAACAAAAAATGTCAGCGCTCCGCCATGTGTGCTGCGCACAAAACGCATTCAAATATTCTAGGCTTTCTCCGCACCGTGCACAAAATTTACTCAAAAAACAAATTAAAGCATAAATGCTGTTATAATTAGTGATGCACCGAATATCGAATTTGGCCGAATAGTTGACTCTATTCGAAGCCGAATACTAAAAAAATGGGAATATTGGAAAAATATTTTTAAAATGAAAAACAAGTTATTGAAGAAAACAGCAGAGAAGTCGAGTTTACCCAACAATTCTTTATCAGAATTATATTCAATCTCTAGTTCAAAATAAAATGCTTCAAAAGCTATGATAACCAAAATAAATTGTTCGCTAATGATATTATGATAATTATTGTCCTGAAATTCCAAAAAGTGATGGTTTATAGTATAAACTAATAGCCGAATGATGCAACTTTCGTATAAACTTTATACGAAAATTGCATCATTCGGCTATTAGGCTTAAAAATGGTTGAAACTGAAGCCGAATGTCACATTTCGGCCGAATATTTTTTAGTTATAATCCACCTCTCTGCTGAAGGGTAAAGTTTACATTCCAATAAGTGGTTTAAAATTACTAGGATGGTTTTATTGATTTTAAATATCATTAGGAGCGTGCAGTTCGGTTCTTAGTCGGCTAGATGTGCTAGGACTTTGAATGGTGGTAGTGCTAGGATCCTTGCATTCGGTTAGGATGTTGCTAAGACGCTCTAATATATCTATCATTAGCTTTTTTATATTAAGCGCTGAGTTCAGTTTTTAATAGTTCAGAATAACACTGTTTAATGAAGTGGATGAAAATTTGGCTCTTGTTAGTTGTATTTATCATTTTAGTGAATTTATGTATGATGAAGAAGGAAATTATCCGTCATGCAACAATTTGTGCTTGTTGAAAATTAACTGTTTAACATCGAACGCGTCAACCGCCTTGGAGTTTGTATTTGGTGCTACTGTTTTCGAGCCACTACATAAAATTTGCTATACCTTAAGTTCTAAACCATTTGAAAACAATTCAGAGACAGGAATTTACGACAAACATTGAAGTGTTTCAATTTTAGGGCCTATATTTAACTTTAAAAAGTTTAAGATTAGTTTTTCAATTACAAAATTTTAAGATGAAATTTGTATGTTGTAGTTTTTTCGGAAACAGTGTGCACAATTGTATAATGGTGTCGAAACTGCAATTGTATTACGGGAGAAGTGCCTTAGCATTCCGATATCCGAAAAGCTGTCCAACACTTATGCCGGCAACACCGTCTTAGGTGGTTTGGTCATGTCAAACGAAATGGAAACAGTGCCATAACTTCTCTTGCAGATGTTGAAGTACCTGGCACACGTCCCAAAGGCCGTCCAAAGAAATCCTGGTCGCAAACAATCGAGCAAGACATGAAAGCTCTGAATTGAAATGAAATGGATACAACTGATTGTCTAACTTGGCGCAAAAAATTGATGGCTAAGAAAACAACGTCCTACCTCGGAAACTGGGTCTTTGGACGCTAAACGAAGATTGATTGATTGATTGATATAAAATATATAAACAAGTTTTTTACGGTGTTCTCGTGAAATTTCATACTAAGAAATTTGCATGTTTGCACTCCAACAACAAACAATAATAACTGTATCTTTTATTACAACCATGAACTGTAGCATTTTATCACTAATGCAAAACATTATATAATTATTTAACTTGATTATAGAATAAATATAAGGAAAATATTACATTTGAAAGTAGAATGCACCCCTTACAACGGTCTAAATTAATTTTGTAACGAATTGGTGTTTAATTATTTCTTATAATAACTTTGCTTAACTTTGCAGTTTGTAGGGCAATTTCATTTTTGAAGATCTGATTACGTTGCCTGGTCAATGGGGAGCAAAATCACAAGATTAAGCGAGGACAAGTTTGATGAATACTCGGTTTGCATATTGTTTAGTTTCTTTTTTTGTTCCAATATTTTAGTTTAATATATTTTATTTGATATTCTTTACAGAATCAAATTCCTTTATTCATAGACAAACAAAAACGCTGTAGTTCAACTTTTTACAAAAATTATTAATTTGTTCGTAACAAAAAGTACAAAATTGTTATATTGCTCAATACAAATGTCGTTTTATGAATATGTTATGTTTCTGTTACTGTTTGCAGTCTTTGTGGTAAGATTTGGTCGATAGATTTGAAAGTATGGCATTGAATTGTTATTTCTTAAAAGAACTAACATTTTTTTAGAAATGCAGATGACGATGAAATTTACCTTGAAAAAAAACAAACTAGCTAACTAAAAATTAATTAGGTAGCATAGACTTATTATACTATATTACATTATATTAGTTGGAGGATTATGTTTTTTCAGACAAACTATATAAATATGTGCATGTAGGGTAGTCATCTGAAAGATGTTTTGCTTATTTGTGAGAGCAGGAGACTTAGACTCAGCATTTTTTTTCAATACAATTATAATTCCTAATTGGAAAATAAGAAAAATAAAATTAATGAAAAAACTAGTTGAAGTGTAAGATCATAAATTTGCGGAGATGAAAGATCAATTAATTTTCAACTGAAGAATTTGGATCGTCTTTAATATTTTGTTATCAATTGAAAAAAGAATCGCCTTCATTATTTAGTTTATTTTCAAGCCATTAACTAATTTTTCTATTTTTTTTAAAGGAATTGACATATTTGTCCAGAAAAGAAATTATAAGGTTCATGAATTTACTTTTATGTTTTAAAGATGCATTCACTTATTTATATTTATCAAGTAATTTTATATTATGATTTACTTCAAAATGCAACAGGGCTTATGATAAATTTAAAAGTTGTGATCCAATTGAGTTCTCAAATAATCTAGATGTGAGGTTTGCAAGGGAAAAAATTATGATGCTACCTGAATTAAGAGTGAGTAATTTATAATGGGACTCTACCGGAATTAACTTTTTCAGTTATATTTTGTGTTATAACTTGAAACTACAGCTTCTTTTTATGTTATAAAACCTTGCATTACATCCTTTTCTATAACCTAGCCAATTATCTAAAATTTAATACAATTTGAATTGATAGTTCTTTATCGGTTTCCATAAATACTATCATAAACAAACATACACATGAATGCAAATATGCATTAAAATATATTATACTACGTGTACAATGAAAACCTATATGCATCACACATGTTAATTTACATTGAAAAAACCTATTTCTCAATCTAAGTGCATGGTATAACTACGACTTGTATTTTAAAAGTAGTTAAGATGTTATCAAGGTAGTCCTATATATCAGATGGTACAACAATACGATTGTAATTCTTCTCGCTTCATATCTTTTTACAAATATAGAATACGTTCATTGATTACTGACATGCATTTTCACGTGTAAACAAATAAATGTACAAATATGCTATACATGTGTTGCGCATATACATTGTTATAACTGGCCGGGTTCGTTTAATCCCAGTGAAAAATAAAGACAATATAACATCTAAATTATCAATTTATTTATTTACAAAACAATAGTTAATTACTTAATTAATGAACAATTAACGCTAATTAACTTTACTAATAAAATTTAATGTTCAAAAAAATATCGAATTAACGCTCAGAAACTATGCTTTCCGAATAACGATTCTTTAACGTTTATCGCAAATACAATAAAAACACAGTCAGATATCAAATTTCGCTTTCGACACTAACAATCAATCGCTTTCTAATATCAAATATTCAACAAAAACCATTCAATATCTCGCATGTCTTTATATACCCGTTCTAACAACACTTCTCGAACGTCCCAGATCTCTCGCTGACAAAAGGCTTTAGCTCATCGAACTGTATGCGTTCGTAGCGACACTAGCCATCCAACGAATATATTTGTGACGGTTATAACAATATAAATATACACAAATATAGATAAATGCATACATAAATGAATATACATTCAAACTTAGTTGACAAAAATTCGGCTTAAATTCGAAATCCGGTCAAATTTTGGCCAGAGCCGGATTTATAAAAATGGCCAAAGTTTGGCCGAAATCAAATTCCAGTACAGTCCCAATTTATAATCCCATCTATCAGCTGATGACGCTTTTTGTATTTAAAATAGACAATCTACAATTTTATCTAAGATTTATTTATATTTAAGTCTATAATTTTTTTTGTCTTAACCAGTTAAATTTTGAAGGGGATTTTCTTACGACGAGACAAATGAAATGATATTAAAGATAAAAAATTTTATTTGATATTTTGGTGGAAAAATGTTCTGTGATTGAATATTTATGTTAAGGTGAATCCGTTTGCAAAAAGAATATGTGACGTCTTTTCATCTGAAAAAGATGGTAAGATATCTTTCGAAGATTTCTTGGACATGATGTCTTGTTTCTGCGAGCGAGCTTCTAGAGATGTCAAAGTTGATTATGCCTTTAGGATTTTTGGTAACGTTTTGTTTTGAATTTAGTTGAATGTTTAACGGTATATTGTTATACCTTGTTCATTGCAATATCATTCATGTAGGTCAAGCGTAACTATTGTAACCTTTTATATTTTTATATAATATACTCTAAATTTGTTCAATTTTTAAGTATAAATTCAAATGAATTGTATGCATTTTTTGCTGCACTGAGCAACTTTAGAGATTATATATTATATTTTTAAATAGATTTGAATGATGATGACTACATATCACCCGAAGATATGAAACTTATCATAAGCAAACTCATATCACCACATGAACTCCCTGAAGAACATCTGCAATGCATTATTGGAAATGTTGGTTCATTCCTTTTGAAATCAATTGGCTTTGCTATAAATTTTTTATACAATACTCAAGATGTATTAGGAAAAGGTTGAAGTATTTGCTTTTGTTGAATAAGGGTAAATAAAATTTAGTTTTTATGAAAATTAAATTTGTTTTTCTCTAATTGGTGACGAATTTAACTTATCTCGTGTAAGTGAACTGACACAGTGATATCCGCTGAACTGAGCAGGTTCACTACGGTATTTTAATTAGAATATAAAAAAGATTTTCTAAACTGAAAATTTATCGAAATTAAAGCAATTAAAACAAAAATATCGTTAAAATATTCTACACAAGCTCTGAATTAGATAAATCAATGTAAATGTAGAAAAAAATATTTTCATTGATTAACGTTTAAATTTATTTAAATTCAATTAAAAGCTAGAACGTTTTGAAAGCAGTGTTGAAACGAATTTTATTAAAATAATAAAAACATTAAAAAAATATTGTAACAAAGCACAGTAAATGCAAATTTAAGACAAAAATGTATGTTTATGTAAAATTAAAAATCTACAAAAAATTTAGAGTGTCATTGAGTACTTTGAGAAGGCGCTATATAAATTTTCAGATAATAATATTATTAGTTTTAATGATGATAATAACGCTATTCGAAATCAGATTCTAATAGAATCTGACATGGACAACGACGGTCAATTATCTTTTGCAGAATTTCAACACCTCATCTCCAAGTCACCTGATTTTTTCAAGTAAGTTAGTTCGTTTTTAGTTTTTCTAGTTCATTAAAAATTGTATAAGAATATATTATTATGTAGATTGCAGTGATTGACAAAATAATATTTATATTATGCATTATCTGGGTCTTATTCTTTGTTTATGTATATGGTATATATATATTATATCGGGCACTCTATAAATTTTCTAATATATATATATATATATATATATATATATATATATATATATATATATATATATATATATAAATCATAAACAATTTCTAAAGTATTTAAATGATAATAACTTTTTGCCGAATAATCAATCTGGATTCAGACGCTTTCATTCGACGGAGACGGCCTTGTTACAGGTATTGTCGGAACTTTTTGAGGCTTCTGATCGCAATCAGGTCTCTCTTCTGACTCTACTTGATATGAGTGCCGCATTTGACTGTGTGAATCATGATACACTGTTACGTCGATTATGTTTAAGTTACGGTGTCTGTGACTTAGCTTTGGAATTTTTCAAATCTTATTTGTGCAAACGTACCCAGCAGGTATATTTTAATAATTCTTGGTCAAATACAGCTGATGTTTTGTCTGGGGTTCCCCAAGGGTCTGTTTTAGGCCCGCTTCTTTTTACGTTATATACAGCCGATATTATGTATCGCATTGATGAATTTTCTTTAAAGGGTTTTGCTTATGCAGATGATGTTCAGATAATTGCAAGTGCGGCGACTGGGGAGTTTGATTTTCTGATTGAAAGAATGTTGGATTGTTTGGGTGCACTGGATGGGTGGATGGGTTTGAATGGTATAAAATTGAATCGGGAATTGAAACTTGGCAGCAAACCTCTAGGATTAACGTTGATTTTGTGAAAATAAGTGACATGATTATTGATTTTGGAAAAATGGCTACTGTTTTGGGTTTTAAAATAGATAAAAATCTATGTATGGGTGAACATATAAAGGTTTGGGTAAAATCTTGTTCATTTCAATTGCGGCAATTGAATCGAATTAAAAAGAGTTTTTAACAGATCAACCATGGTTACTCTGATTCATTCGTCCATACATTCTAAATTGGACTATTATAATAGTTTGTTTTATGGTGTTTCGAAACATGAGATTGATAAGTTGCAGATGGTTCAGAATAGAGCTGCAAGAATTGTTGTTGGTGCTAGTCGTGTTGAACATATTAGCCCACTTTTGTCGGAATTGCATTGGTTGCCGGTCAACAAAATAATTGTTTTTAAAGTCTGTGTTTTGGTTTATAGATGCTTAAACGGATTGGCTCCGCAATATCTGTCCGAAATGTTGATTGACAGATCATCGATTTCTTTAAAAACTGGCCTGCGATCAGATCGGGGAAATTTGTTAGTGGTCCCGGTTACTAAATTAAAGATTGCATCACGTAGTTTTGCAGTTTATAGACCAAGGCATTGGAATGAACTTCCATATTTTTTGCGCCGGTCTGGTCTGACACTTCCCCAGTTCAAAAGTCAATTGAAGACATATCTTTTTTCCTCGTTTTTAATAGGCGCTATATAAATAATCATATAGTAATAATAATAATAATATATATAAATATTGTTGAGAAATATTATTGCATTTTCATCTTCAAATTCTTAGATCAACGCTAATTCATCTTTTAGAGACAATAAAGTAGGAACGCGCAGGTATAAGTATGTATATACAAGATACAACCAACATTTGGTAACATGCAACATCAAAAATAGTAAAGTATTATCAACTAAAAGCTTTTTCTGTATAAAATAAAAATGAATGAAAGAGTAGTTAAAAACATTTTATGCTCTCATTTTTACAATTGTTACTGGTAATCATTACAAGAAAACCATATTTTCTTTTCGATTTTCAGATCATTTCTTTTCATTGATATAACTTCTTTGATTTCTTTGTTTTGATTTGATGAAATAAAAATGTCAAATATATATATATATATATATATATATATATATATATATATATATATATGTCGTTAGTATTTACACAAAGCGTTTTCAATAAACTTTTCAAAAGCTCTTCACAAAGCTTGTCTAACTGATAACCTATACGCTCATCCAATTTCTTTTTTTGGCAGGATATATTGTTTTTTGTATTACTTTTTAATCTTTGACAAATAGTGAGGATTTCTTAGAAATGTTTTGAGTAACTTATTTTTTTTTCCTAAATTTTTAAATTTCCCTATTCAACCACGGTTTTTGTTTATCAATCTTATTAATTTTATTAGATGTTTAGTAGTATTTGCACATGGGCGTTCGTTTAAATTGTTGATTCGAGCCATTGAGAACAAATATTTTTCCGAAGGATGCTGTTTTAATTTTATCACGAAGAGGAATTTATGTAAAAACTGTGAGATGATCTAAAGCCAGTTCTCCTTGCAAGCAAACATTCAACTAACAGTCCATAAATATATTGTCGATAACTGATTACTTGATTGATTTGTTGCAAATGGTTTTTGCCGCTATTTACAGTACTAGTAAAACATATGTTGAAATCGCCTAGGACTATAACGTGTTTGTTCTTTTTTAACTTGTGTTTTAACATCGAATAATTCACAAATAATTTTAACTGAACTCGTAGGTGGTCAATTAGCGACAGCAACAACTTTTTTGAATTTAGCGTCGTTTATGATCTCTACTCTACAGCATATTATTTCAAATGTTGCTGGCAATAAACCATTTATATTGTGCCGCACTTTAATGTTGAGCGTGTTTTTTAAAGAAAGCTCAGCACCACCAACACTTCTACTTGCACGAATCCTTCCAAAGTAACAATGCTCATCTATCAGCACCACACCCATTCCACGATCAGATAACCAGCTTTCACTAATGTCGGACGCATCACATTGTTTTATATTACTAATGTAATAACATCTTCTACATTTTTTTGTTTATCTATAACATGGAATCATTAATTTTCCAATTTGAGCAAACAACAACCTTTGATGATGCCCTGTTTTCATTGATGTGCAAGTTGTCATTCCAACGTTTATTCCGTGGAACAACTATAATGAAGCTATCTGTCTAAATTTTATTATTTATTTTAGCGATATCATGAAATTCAAAAATCCCACAAAAGGCAACATAATTCTTGTATCTTTCGTTAAAAAAATTTTTTAAATCGTTCGCTGTAGTCTGATAGGAAACGTTTTGTGTATCATGCGCAAAGGCACGACTATAGTTATTTTCATTCTTGAAATTGTTTTAGGCTTGTTAACATTTCTCTTAATACCGTACTGATATTGCCCAACTCCTCGCTATGCTTTTTGAGATAAATTTATCAATTTCGGCTTCTATTCATTCAAATCACTTTTTCAATCGTATTTTTAAGCTACATTTTGCATCTCAATATTCTTCCATGAAATAAAGAACAATCAGAAATTTATCTTTCATTCTTCCGTCAAATTGAATTTACTGAGGTAAACAAGTTCACCAAATTCCTGATTTTTACTATTACCCATAGATTTGGGCAGCTGATTTGACAACGATTCGGCTTCTATCATAAGGATTTTTCTACTTTCATATTATATATCCTGAATATTAAAATTTATCAACTACTCGACTTTATCCAAATTGTCACAATTAAGCCATATGAAACATAAAAATTCATTATTAAATTTTTTTTTAGCAATTTTACATCTCAACAACATGTTTACACAAATGCTGTTAAAATTGAACGCCACTGTAGTGTTCATGAAACTAGTACTTCTAGTATGTTTTTTCGTGGTTCTGAAAAAAATTTTTAGGGTAAAAAATAGATGGAGAAATGCGTCTAGGATAGAAAGAGAATAAATAACTGCTAATTAAGTTAAATTTATGTTATGGCGGTGTTTTGCAGTGACCGAGCTCGATGCAAAGATCTCCGCCACCTGTGTGATGCATCGATTCACGCCGATTCGCATGTGCCGAATGTGTACTGTTGATATCTCTAAAAATTAATTGAGAGAATTAATAATAATAATAAATTATGCGGTTTGGACAGGGAGTCGGCCAGATAGGAAGGAGAACTGGTAGCTTCGTGTGGAAAGGAAAAATGTTGTGACCCCATTTTATATGCGGGTTTCGGCGACAAATGAACTGAATTTTTTTTAATTTTATAAAATCAATTAAATTATTTTAATTTGTAGCTTATTCAGAATCAGAATTTGACATGTATTCCATTCCTTGCTTCAATGTTCTTCATGTTCATCGCAAATCATCCGTGAATTTACAATGTGATGGAACGAAAGAACAAAGAGCACATTATATTTTTTTCATTTATTATTTTCTATTCTGTATTATATCTTGTCATTAATGTTATATTAAATCATTCATGTTGAAAACTTTTAATATCATTTGACATTGTTGAAATACAGTTAACACAATTGTCAGGTTCAACAAAAATTTAATCTTTCAACTTAAAAAACCATTAAAAAACAAAACAAACATTTTTAAACAAACAAATATTATTGATATGGGTCAGATATGAACGAAAAAACGTTTGAACGATAGAATAACGCAGCGTTATTGCAATTCATGTAAAAATAAAATAAAAACAGTTGGGGTCGATCTGAAGCTACAAAATGAAACTCCCTGCCATCATCATGTTTCCGGCAAGGAGACAAATTATAAAAGTCTAAATTTGTCCTAGATAATATTAAGACTAAAAAATAATTTTCCTAACTGGGAAAAAGTGACATAAAATTAAGCATGTACGGAACATACAAAAAATTATCCAGAACCAGTTAGAGGTGGAAACTTTCAGAAAAATAAAATTTGTTAGCTAGAATATTTCACGAATAACAGGCATTTTTGCGATAATGTACCCAAAGGAACCAAGCTCCACGCTGGGAGTACTTGAGCCAAAATAATTAACGTGTTCTTTCTGAGAATTTTGGATTGTATGCATTATCGTATTGTAATATCCTATTATATACGTATTAAAGTGTTAAAAATTTAGTTTGATTCTTCGTACAGGCCGTGAATGTTAAATGGTTTGCATAAAGAAGCGAATTACTCGTTGAGTTAGAAAGTGCAGGTGCAAGACGATTGATTTGGTTGAACTTGTGATTGAATATGAAAACATTGTATGGGAGAAAATTGCAGAAACGTAAATGACGCGAGAGACGTGCAGTGAGTCACTTACGACCATCAAGCTGAATCATTTCGTCATTTATACATGCAGATGTCATATTGATAACAAAAACTTAACTAGAAGTTCAGCGCAGTTGTAAATGTACTTTAAATTTATATAATTCGTTATTTAAAATTAACATTTATATTTGTCAGAAATATGACATTGTTATAACCATCGTAATTATAATAACAATAAAGGGCAGTGAGTGCGATGGTGTTGCAGTGACTGGCTTCGAACGCAATGAGATTCCCGCCTGTTAGACTAAATGTGCGTAATGCGCTGATTCACGAGTGTTTACATACAGTGTTTTTCTTCTCGATACCTCTAAAAAAATTGCAAAAAAATGTAAACACGTAAAATAGCAAAGACACCACTAGCATGGTAACTCTCTTAACAACGCAGATACAAAATGTTTACTTAAGGGAAACAGGCAGAACTGTTTAAAAACGCACTTTCGCAAACTCGTGCCGGTCAACAAAATGCGTCCGTTACTTTAAATTGTACATAACAAACTTGAAAACAATCCCAAAATATTCCTGTAGCAATAATAATAATAACAACTAGACACGTTTACTACATGAGACAGTCTTTAATTATTTTGGCCACCTTTTCTTCGCCAGCATTTTTGAAGAATGTGTCGTGTGTGCCTTCGACGACATATATGTTAAGTGCTTGCGAACAAATAGCTCGCATTCCATAATCTTCATCGTGTTTGGCTGAACTTCCTTGAGCTCTGATGAGATGAACTACAGCGTTTTCAATCTTGCTCGAAGGTTTGTAACGATGGGAAATCATGAGTTTTTTGTAGAAAATTCTGTTGGCCTGCTTGAATGCGTCGGCATCGGATGATGATGCGATCTTTCCCGCATCTCTCAAGACTTCGCACATGAGGTCCAAACGGCTTTCAAGATCGGGCTTGTTAACCAACTTAGTTCCCAGCTGTTGCAAATGTGATTGCTAAGGTTATAACAAATATTGTGTTAAACAATTAAATTTCTCATAAAATCAAGAAATTTATAAAGAACATAATGAATAATGAACAAGTAATAAAAAATCGCGTTATTTATTGTCTGACATTAATGAATTCTATCTTATTGTAAGGGCACGTCTCATTCAACTTTCATCGTTAAGTTGATAAGTTTCTCTTTTCATGAGAACAAACTTTTATCTTAATTACAGTTTAATTTAAGCTGGTGTGACACAAAACTTTAAAAAAGTTTTAACCAGTTGTTTTTATAATTAAAAAAAAACTGGAAGAAATTCCCTCCTCCCTCCTTCTGAAGACGCCCCTGGTTCAGACGATAGAACTACACAATATGACGCTTGCTTGGTTTCAAGTGGGAGAACGATGCTGTGGATGAAACATTCAGTAGAAACAAAGAAGGATAAAGAAGAACTTACTGTAAACGTTTGGAAACAAATAAAGAATTGGCTAGCTAGATGAATCGCTGCTGCAATATTACGGGCAACTTCAGAAAGGAAACCGGGAGTGTAGAAGGCATTGACGAATATAACAGAAGATATATATGAGTGCAAATAAATGCCCGTGTGAATATGTGCAAAGATTGAGTAATAACAAGTCAAAAGTCAACTACATTTTGAATTGGTTGCGTGAAAACGAAGAACAGGACCGACCTGGTTTGGACTGGAACGGGATATAAAAGTAAACAGGAAGCAGGTTTATTATAAAGTTATGAACCAACATCTGAGCTGAGTTAATAGAACAGTCATATCATTCGGAAAAAACATCAAATAATGAAATAACGTTAATGACAAAATATAAACAGACTGAAAAGCGAAAATAATAAAATTTAATTTCAGATCAATAAATTGAAATTACCTCTGGAATGTCAATTTCTTTCGTTTCCTAATGTAAAAATTAATGTTGGCATTAATTATTCAAATTAATTAATTACAATTAGTTGTCAAGCATAATAAAGGACTTACTAGCAAATAGAGTATTGGTTTGAGTTCATTATTTAAAATTAGCTCAATTTAAAATTTGGCGTTATTATATTGATTATCTATTATCCATTATTAATTATCTATCAAAAAGAAACTGAGCTCTTCTACGTATTTAAAATCAGACCGGACAGAATTGAGATACTTTATTAAAAAAAATAGTCTGTGCTCACTCTGCTTCCCACTCTTCTGACAATGTGGTCCACAAAAGCACATATCATAGTTGTCTCGAGTTCATTCTGATCGCCTGAGCCGAGGCTGTCCGAGTAGCTGGCAATCATGGAGAGCACGTAACTGTGTGAGCCGTCCAAGAGGATCATCCTGCAGCCTCCAGCAGCTGCTGATGCATCGCGCTGGAGCTGCAGTGCCACCTCAACGGCGATGCATGCTCCGAACGAGTATCCAAGTATTTGGTAGGGTCCCACTGCTTGCAGGCTCTTTATCGTCTATTTTCAGTTAAAAAAAAACATAAATTAAAATTTGACGAGTCACAAGTGTTACATAAATAATATAAATTCGTGCAAATGCATATAACAAAAAAAATTTTCATGGCCGGTGCAAAAATTGATGTAATACTTAAAACAAGAAAAAAGTGCCATGAAAATGACCTCCACATAATACTTGGCAAGTTCTTCGACCGATGTTAACGGGAGATCAGAAGTACATTGCAGTCCGTAGACTGGACAATCGAATTTGAGCGTGAGAGGCTTCAGCAGAACAACTGAACCTTCGATTGGAGGAATGACAAACAGAGGAGGTTTGCTTCTATTAACGTGTGGGTCGCTCATGTAGACTATTCTATCTTTAGGAAGGAGGTCATTGATCGTGTAGAGCAGAGGTGAATTATCTACTGTTGGCGTTTGTGCTGACGACGGCTGTAAACGATACGTTGTATATTTTTCAAACAAATTTAATTACAACATTCAATAAATTATACAACTACAACGAGAATGACTGACGAAATGCCTGAGAAAGCATCAACGACGATCGATGATAAATATTGAAAAATAAAATTCAAACATCTTTCAACCAGCCTAACCTACCTGATCAGCAAGCTTGTCAAGAAGCCCAAAAGACAGCAGTCTGATTTCCTTGATGGGCAGCGTCAGGTCATAATCTCTTTCCAACGTTTGTTTAACTTCGACACTCATAAGGGAGTCCAATCCCAGGTCTCCCAGGGTTTGGTCAGGGGGAAGCAACGATACGTCCTTGACACCTGTCGCGTACAATTCATATCAACTATTTAATTTAACAAAAACATAACCTTTGAAATGGTAATTTTAGATTTGCTCAAAAGTTTTTTATCTAAATAAATAAACTGTGTCTCAACAGAAATAATGATAATAATAACAAATATATGAAAAATGAAAAAAAAATCATTTGATGTCCTCTCGTAGCATCGACCTTACCACCGTAAATATAAAGATTACTTTCCTTTAATTAAGTTTTAAAATGATTTTTTAATTTTAAATGAAACACTACAAGGCATAGATGAAAAGCAGCACCCTGCATGCACCACTGCTTGCCTCCCACATTTGCGCTTTTTATTACATCCAAATACTTACTTGTTAATGAAATATCATTACGCAAATTTCAATGACAATTAATTAAACGATCCTGGTAGAAGATATTGGGCCAATTTCTAAAATATAAAAATTAATCAATATTGAACTAAAAAAATATATGGCTAACAAAGACTTCATTTTTGATTATAACATGGACACTGTTTTTTAATTTATATACATTTTGTTATATGATTTAATTTTTTTAGACATGGGCATATTGAATTCTAAGTTTGAACCGACTATAAGCTGTTATTACTATTACTAATATTATTATTATTATTGTTATTCGCTCTATCGAGTACCGAGGAAGGTCATTGAATGGGCGTTGAGGAAGAAAGGAGTGAATGAGAGACTTGTTAAAGCTGTGATGCAGTTGTATGAAGGGGCAAAGACAAAGGTGAGGGTTGGAAGGGGGATGTCGGACGCTTTTAGTGTTAAGGTAGGAGTGCATCAAGCATCAGTGTTATCACCGTTTCTGTTTGCAATTGTGATGGATGTTGTGTGTGGAAACATAATTGAGGGGTTGTTATTTGAGATTTTGTATGCAGATGATTTAGTCTTGATGGCTGATAGCATGGAAGAATTGCAGTTAAAATTTGACAGATGGAAAAGTGTTATTGAAAAGAAAGGGTTAAAAGTTAATATTGGTAAGACGAAGGTAATGGTGAGTGGGGAAGGTGGGGAGCGAGTGATAAGTAAAATAGACCCCTGTGGGGTATGTGACAGGAGAGTGAAGGCTAACTCGGTATTGTGTATAGGATGTCAGAAATGGGTGCATAAGAGATGTAGTGGTGTGAAGGGGGCACTGAAAAAGGTGGAAGGCACGTTCAAATGTAAGAAATGTGTTCATGGTGTGATTAATAGGACGGACGCAAGGACGGGGTTGAGTGGTGGTATTGAAAGAGTGGAAAGCTTTGTTTACTTAGGGGATAAGCTGAACGCGGATGGAGGATGTTTGAGCGCAGTTACGGCTAGAGTTCGTGTAGGATGGATGAAATTTAGGGAACTGGGTGGGGTATTGTGTGGAAAGAAATGGTCAGTGAAGATGAAAGGGAGGGTATATAAAGCATGTGTGAGAGCAGCGATGGTATATGGTGGTGAAACTTGGGTGTTGAGGAGAGAGGAGGAAAGTGTACTGCAGAGGGCTGAAAGAGCTATGGTGAGGATAATGTGTGGGGCTAAAGTGAAGGATAGGAGGAGTAGTACAGAGTTGATGTCGATGATGGGACTGAATGAGGACATTGTGACATTGATAAGGAGATTGAGATTGCGGTGGTATGGACATGTGTCCGCGATTGGGATGGAGAGAGCAGGTGGAGAAGGACAGGGTGAAAGCGGGGTTGCGTGATACTGAGGCGAGTGATAGATGTGGATGGCGTCGAGGGGTATTTCGGTTTCATCATAGGTAGCCAAATGTCGTCTAAACATGTGTTGTTGTTGTTATTCGCTCTATCGGCATTCCTCAAAGGATTAAATTGTTATTAAATGAATTGTTGAACAAATAACGTTTTAACTCTCGTCTGAAATTATTTTTGGAATTATTATTATAATCTGCTTCAATGATGTTGGAAGATCGTTCCATATTTTTGGCAGAGCAACCTGCACCCATCTGTCACCCAGTTTTCTTCTAGTCCTATAAATTATCATCATTTCTGACGAGACCGAACGCAATGCATGTCCCACATCAACTTCAGTTCTCTTGCGAAAACCCTCCTCCAAAAATTTTGAACCCTCACCAGGTACGCCAACCATGAGCCAACACTGCCACCTTAAATCTTATTCGTTCTCCGATCGGCAACCAATGGAGACTCTCCAACCACTTTGTGATGTGATCACGTCTACTGAGACCAATGACCTACCTGGCGTCAGCATTCTAAATTTGTTGAACTTTATTTACCACTCCTGTGTCAGCACCGTGCATCAACGAATTGTACTATTCCAAGCTCAACTACTTAACACGTTCAACTTATATAAGAGGTTTAACTAACCCAATATCCTTGCAACTGACTCCTTTAGTCCAATTTTGTTTGCACTCTGAACTTTGGTCTTTTTGTGACTTGCTAAAACAAAACTGGACACCACAGGATTGGGTTGTTCGAGAAATTTGTCCAGAGTAGAAAGACAAGAAGTAATTTTCTGAGGTAACGTTCCCCCGATAACCACGTCATCACCCATTGATTCAGCAACTATTCCCACATCACCAACAGCTCCCCACTGAATTGCAAGACCTTCAAAAAAACAAGTAATTTAAAAAAATAAAGTATACTATGTAGCATAATGCAGCAACCGTACCAGGATATCCATGTCTCACTCTCTCCTCACAAATTCTTTCCATAGTTGAGTTGGCCCAGCCGTAATTTGACTGACCCGGATTACCTTTGCCAGAGCTGACCGAAGAAAAAGTCACAAACCAATCTAACTTGCTGCTATCTGTTTTAGAATTACACTGCCTTCTAGTTTCAATGTCAAGATTTATGGTACCAACCACCTTTGGTTCAGCAACTTGCTCAAATCTGCAGGTAAGATGAGTATGGGTATGAATATGAAAAAAAAAAAACAAAGATATTTCTTTCTTAAACAAATATCTGGGAGCCCACTTTTCTGGTGTCTGATTAGAAATGAGACTATCCTGAATGACCATGGCCAGGTTGAAGATTCCTCCAATACCAGAAGCATTCTGAAGGCATTCACTAATCAACAACTCCGTCTGCTTCTTATCTGAAACATTCCTCGTTGACACCTGCAGTGAGGCAGTGAGCATTGCATCTGACAACATTTCCTCAATAACTGAAAAATAACTAATGTAAGTAAAAAATGAACCTGGACATCAACGCCCTTGCTTTTCCACTGTTCAATTCTTCTTTTCTGAAATCCAGACTTAATGCCTGACCTTGAAGTGATCACCAGCTTCCTGGCACCTCTATCAACTAACCACTGACAGAGTTCAATTCCAAACCCACCCAATCCGCCAACAATCAAATACAACTTCTGCGGATGGCAAGTGACTCGAGAGATGGCCTTGATTTTGTATGATTTAGTGGAACTCTTTATTGCCGTTGCTGCAGGCGTCCGCAGTTGCTTCGGTTCTTCATCTCTCACCTGTCAATGTAATTACTTGATGTTAAGTCAAATCAAATCATGTTTTTAGCTAGAAGTATTTTTTTCAATTTTTTAATTACTTTTAAAAAAATAAAATGCGAGTGTACGTCAAATTGTGAGTTGCCTGACGATGTTTATACTTTCTATCAAAATAATGTAAATTTTAAATGGTTTTGTGATACGTGTCTCAAAGTCAACATTAACGTATCACTGCTCACAGTAACAAAGGAGGTGCTAACTAAAGTTGATAGCTTGAGCGTTTTGAATAATTCGATCAGAGCTGAAATGGTGGCCATGAAAGCTGTGATGGATTCAAATGAATCGAAGCTGAACAATCTCGATTGTACAACCACGGTTTTTGAAGAGAAGATGCAAATGATTAAAAAGGATAAGGACTCGACTTTTGCTGGGGTTGTTAAGAGGGGCATTGATGATGTTGGTATTGAAATGAAGAAAACGCTGGTTCAGGTCAACAATGTCAAGGAAAGAGAACCCAGCCTCATGTTGTTTAGGCTGCCTGAAAAGGATAATTATAAAGATCAAGTTTTACAGATATTGCGTCAGTTGACAGAGAACACCATTGGTGATAATGATGTTGTTAAAATAATTAGATTGGGGAAAAAGACTGAGGGATCAATCAGATCAATTTTAATCAGGATGATAAATATTGGAGTTAAAAATCTTGTAATGAAAAACCTTTTTAGGTTAAAATTGTTAAATGATGAGTTTGGTCATATTAGTCTTAGCCATGATTTGACAAGAGATCAAAGAGATGAATTGAAAAAGCTTATTGCAAGGGCCAAATCACTTCAGGCTAGTAACGATGATTTTTTATTCAGAGTGAGAGACGACCCAGGACTCATTATCAGCTATCTTCCACCTACCTCGAACTTCATAATCTCCCAACGTCCTTGGTCACCTCTCACTCTGAATAATATATATATATACATATATATAATATATATATATAATATATATATATATAATATATATATATAATATATATATATATAATATATATATATATATAATATATATATATATACATATAATATATATATATATATACAATATGTTCTTATTCTTGTTCTCATACTTCAAAAAACTACAACATGCAATAATGCAATGACAAATAGTAGCTTAGTTAAATTGTATGCACCAGTTATAAGCACGCATTGTAGCTATAGGACCTACATATAGACTGTTACTGTATACTCTGAAAGCAAGCAAAACTAAAAACTGCTAATGAAATTATAGGATGTATGTATATATTAAGCATGGTACAGATTCACTATAAACTGAAACTTGCTTGGAGGGTTGTTAAATAAACAATTATAAATAAGATGTCTTATTGTTATTTAATCACTTACGATATCCATTAGATTATTTATACAATTTTTTTATGAAGACGTTCATCTTTAACTATTTGTTATTCATATTTTCAATTTATGCTAATACAATACAAGATCAAATCAATCAGAGCTTACTCTGATGACGACTTTTCCAATGTGTTTTCCTTGTGCCATGTACCTGAAAGCACTTTCAATGGCATCTCTCTCGAAGACAGTTGTCTGCAGTGGCACTACCACCCCACTTGCCATCCCATCCACCATAAGTTTTGAGACTTCATCCCATTCACAACAACTCCCAGAGAAAAGTGCGTCCAGTAAAATTCCGTGAAAGGAAATGTTCCGCAAGAAAATAGACATCCCTAATGCGGAATCGTTTGATAAATCAAACTTTCCAATTTCTAGAAATCTTCCATGCTGTGCCAACAGTCGAACACTTGATTGCAATTTATCTTCAGCCAATGAGTTTAAAACGACATCCACCCCTCGGCCTCCTGTGTTTTTCAGTATGGTTCGCCAAAAGTTTGAGCTTCTGGAGTCAGCAAAGTTCGAATCAGTTAGCTGTGGAAACCTGTCATTTTGAAGCCAAAACTAACTTTGATACATGCAATTTGATATATTTTGTAATCTGGAGTGCACGAGCAGTATAATGATACTCTTATTGATACTCTGTATTGAACAACAATAGCTGCATAGTGAAAAGCAATAACTGCACAATAAAAAACAGTAAATGTGTAAAAAACGACACAGATTGTAAAATAAAGAATAATAGTTGTGTAATAAACAACAATAATTATGTAATAAATAACAACTACTGTAAAAAAGTAGTTGTTATTGTACATAGTATGAGACAGTGTACTAAATTAATTCGTTGTATTAAATTCATTGAAGAAATATGTAAATCGAAGCAGGCCAAACAAGATCTGAATTTTAAGCTGGCTGATATTGGGCTATTGAAATGTAAAACAACAAAATTCAACAAATAACAAATTTAATGACCTCTTCATCAAATAATTCCTCTTCTCAGCTGATCCAACAGTGGTGAAGACTTTGCAGCCGCAATGCAACGCAATGGAGATGGCAGCTTGTCCGACGGCCCCACTACCCGAATGAATGAGAACTGACTCGTTCTTCTTGACGCGACCTCTGATAACCAGTGCATAGTAAGCAGTTGAATAAGCAACAGGGACGGTTGATGCCTGTTCCAATGTCCATCCATCTGGAACCTTCCACAGAAACTTCTCATGCACATCAACCACAGTTGCCAACCCCTGATGTGTTCATTCATCCATTTATTTTTATTTAGTCATTAATTGATTAATCGATTAATCGATTAATTAATTAATTAATTAATTCTTGTACTTTAGTTTCATGCACGGCTTGTTAAAATAAACAACAGTAAGAATGGATGTTTGCCCATTAAATACATAAACAGTTAAGCAAAAACAGACCTACAAGTAACTAGCATGGCTATTTATTTGTAAGAATATATTTAAATATTATAAAAACCACTAGCAGCAGCCAACCAACCCTTAATGACCCATCAAAACATCAAAACCACCTTAGCTTGCAACAGACCCATGACAGATTCCCCTCGTTGATTAACTCCCGAGAACTCCATGCCCAGCAAGCAATCCTGAGAGGCCAGGTCTCCTGAATATCGTTGAAGTTAGCAAGACTTAACAAAATTCCTGTTGAAACATGTCCCATGGTCGCTAGCTTACGTAAAATGGTCAACTAGAAATTTGTTCTTTATTTATGTCTCCATTACACCATCACAAAATATATTAAACCGTAAATGACTAGCTTATTTAGAAGCTTATTTATTACAATGTATTACTGCCATCTTGTCTTGACATTCCCCACTCATCTGCCTATCTACACGTCTGTCAATCGATACATCCATCCAACCATCCATTCAGCCAGGCACCTATTCATGCAACTCCACATACCAGTCAGTCAGTCCTTCAGTCAATCGCCAATCAACTTGACTAACCAGGAATTGCATCTGGAGGTAACTTTCCCGTAGCGAGCATGATGTCTCTGAAGTTGAGTGACGTGAAATGGACAGTGCAGAGTTGCTTGGCGGGGTCGAGGGAGGGGTCGAAGAACTTGAGGGGCGATTCTATCCACCTCAATGATGAGAGATCCCCTCGTGTCAGCACGTTCACGTACGCTGCTTCCGTCTCTATTTCATTGTCTGCATTAAGTTGCATGATGTAAGTTTAGTGCTATCAAAATATGCATTAAAAGACTCGCGGTTAACAAAATATGAAACAATGAAAATAACACTGAACATATAAATGTACACAAACATTCAATAAAGGAGAGATTATTATCAGTATGAAAATTTGAATCAACACAAACCCCGCTCGAGCGGTAAATGCTTGAAAGAGCCGCACAGCCCGCCTCTATAAACGTTCATGAACAAGTCATTCTGCAACAGCTCATCAACATCTCTTGCATTCATCTCAGGACTGCAATTTAACAAGCATCTGCCCATGTGTCGCAAAATAATTCACTTGAATCAACTTATTTTAAATAAAAAAACGTGACGAAAAATATAAATAAACATAAACGACTGAAAATAAATAAATAAATACGTATAATAGACTAATTCAAAATATGATGATAAACATTTAGCTCTTGGCCTCTTTACAGATCTTACAAAGACCTTAAGGGCTGGTGATATTTATATACTCACCCATTACATTTGCAAACAGATGAACGTGTTCTAATAAATATAAACCGATAACGGAAACAGGTGGTTGTGAAACAAACGAAGACAAACGAGTGTGTGAACAAATAAATGCAAACCCATGTGAATGTAAAGGATTAAAGCCAGCCAATAAAAGTTGTATAAATAGTATAAAGTGAAGAATCCACTCACCTGATCTTTTCACCATCAGGTTCTCTTCTCAGACAGGTTGCAAGCCCCACAACACCCGAATTCACCTCACTACCTCTTAACCACAACCTCGTTGTTTTAGCATCCGATAGAAAACGTTTGACAATCTCAACCCACTGATAAGTATTGTTAGTGACATCTATCCATTTAATTTGCTCATCGGTAACCTTCAAACTAGTTTTCTTTCTCAGCAGGAATGCTGTATGTAGGTATCCGTCGCTAACGTGAGACACTACGTTGAAGTTGGCTTCAGCAAATATCTGCAGCCACTCCTTGGTACTGCAAAATGAAGAAGCTGTTTGTTCCTCTGCATGCATGTACAAACTGTCACTGGCACGCAGAAGTAACCAGGCCAACCCGAAGTTTCTGGTCGGTTCATATACCAATATAAACCCTTCATCTCTCAACAATGTCGAACATGCTGATAAATATTCACTGATGTTCTTCTGCTTGTTCAACACATCTCCAAGAATCAAGGCATCCACTTTTCCTTGGATTCTATATTCAAGTTTGTGTTGATTGCAAAAATGATATTTAATGGGTTATGAATAAAATATCATATTAAAAATTTTGAAAAATAAGCGAACTTGTCATTAGCCTTAGAACCAATGTTCCATTGTAAAGCTTCCAAGTTAAGATCATCGAAGAGTTGTTTATCAATATTTTCAACTGCAGACCCAGAAACGAAATATTTGAACTTCAAGCCAGGCTCGTTGTTCAGTCGAGGAATGACTGATTGAAAGACGCATCCATCCGCTGCATCCAACTCCATAAACATCAACTTCTTCTCTGAGGGACTGTTTTCAACAACAATGTTAATCAAAGGCTGTGTTCTTCTCAGCAATCCAAATATGTGATTTCTGTGAAGTTCTGATTTTGTGACTAGATTTTCAGAGTTTGGTGAAAACACTCTCATTAGCAATTCATACAATCCATAATCTGATGTTGCGTCATTCTTAAATGAATCTCCATCATACCCATTAATAATGTCGTCTTCGTTTTTCTCCATCAAACTTTGCAGCATCAATTTCTTTTTCTCGTTTATATCTGGCCTAGTTAATAGACAAGATATCTTCTCTTTGGCAAAATGTTTGCATTTGTTAATAGCGTTGGTGAAATTTTCAGGATGATGCAAGTGGTCCTGGTGGTAAGGTACGAAGGAGTAGGTCATGAGGACGGGGTCCACCTGGCCAGGCGGCCTGCGAGGAGCCACTGTAGCATGCAGGCCCAACACCTCGACACACCCCGACGTACAGCTGTTCAACTGCTTGTCGAACCGCACTGGAATGACTGGAAAATATAAAAAAAAGTATTATCAATCGTCTCAATGAAAATCGTTGAGAACAAAATGGAAAGATCCGACTTGAATAACAAAATTTTTCACAAAAGTAACTTTTTAGTCGCATAACAAACAATTTCAAAAATTTATCAAAAAGGTGTTGTTTATTTGACAATCTGCATGAAAACAAGTTTGAAAAGCCTTCGAACCTTTGCTTCCATCTTCTTTAGTAATGACCTTATTAATATGAATGAGTGGATTGATTTGGATAGATTGAATCCTGGTGGGCAATCTCAGATCCCTCTCCGACAATCCTACCACTTGCATCTGCAACATCGTATCCAAAAATGAAATCCAGTTGTCAAACCACGCCAGCTCTCCTACTTCACCTGCATTTTAAAAAATAACAGAGTCAATAGACGGATTTAATAGATCTCATAATAAGAAAATCTCACCTGATTCATCAGTTGATACAATTCCTTTGAATACGTCGCCATATTCATATCCCCTCAACTTCAATTCCTTGTAAATGTCTGTCGTCTTCAAGCTCAATGTTGATGTTGACTGCATCGAGGAAAGCAAAGAAGTTTCATCGAAGAAATCATTCAGAGCAGTTTCATCGGCAGCCATCACGTGACCACTGACCACCAGGCTTGAACTCTCTGATACTTCAAAATAGCCTGATGATGGCGTCATGCAGACGTCCAACCTCACCTCACCTGGCCAGGAAGAAATATTTTACAAAGTAGGTAAGTCTTAGGCATGATAATGTATGCGCATTTTTTCTCATAGTTATAACTAATTAAGCCGCAACACTTGTTTCAAAATAATTGTAGTGACAAGTTGGTACGGAATAAAAAACATTTAAATTGATGATTATGAATAAGACAGTGAACACATTTGAAGTACACAGTATAAACGGGTCTCAATGCCAAAGGCAAGGAGATACACCATCTAGATGAATATTTAATAAAACTTGCTTGCTGTTTGCTTACACACAGGTTTCATTCAAAAATCTAACCATCTTGAAACAACTTTTAAAATCCCTAATGAACAATGAATGAAGCTTCTTAAGAAGACTCCATCAAGTAGTGCAAGAATGGAAATGTTAAATTCATCGTTAGACCTAAATAAGAGAGGGTGTCAACCAACGCTGACTCAGTTGAGTGAAATCTTTTTGAAAATGAAAACTCGAAAAACAAGAAATTATGTTCATTCAAACAATATAAGCAAGTAACTTATTAACAAACTGCTCTTTTGATTGAATTGTAGGTTTGATATCAGTCTATCATTTGCTAAATTATTCTTGTCAAAAACTGTTTTTTCAACATCAGAGTATGGAGCGTGGATTGAGTCCCTTGAAACCACTGGATTGTTTTGAACAAACATCAAACAACCATTTCAAGTTTTTGTATTTTCTAACCAATTTTACAAATCCGCTTTAAAGACAAAGATTAATGCTGAAAACAGCAACATATTATATTTTTTTGGCAAAAGTTAATTCCTATCTTATTCAACATTTAACCTCTTTAAGCAGCGACTTGATTATAAATTAACAACATAACATAAACAGAAAATAAGAGGCGCGAACTGTCGTTCCTCTGCCTCCAGCAAACTACACCCCTTAAATTAAAAGAATAATAGAAATAACAAATGATAATAATTATAACTAATAAATTAACTACATACAAATTAACTAAATAAAATCACACCTATATAACTATAAAAGTACATGCATGCAGTCACACAAATGAACATATAAATGAGATAATTAATACATTGATTCACAATTGTCTAGATACAGATATATACATATATACACAACACATATATGTACACACACACATAATATATACATATACGTAAATGGACATACGTACACATATATGCACACACACACACACACACACACACACACACACACACACACACACACACACACACACACACATACACACACACATACACTTAATAACTTGATAATATATATGAATGGAACAGATGCAAAATAGCCGTTACCATCAAAGATGAACTCAACAAATGCCAAGACAAAAGACTCAATACTTATAAAGACAAACATACACGTTGGGAAATCCAAAGCATTAGAACCCTCAGTTAAAAAATTGGTTATTTATCTGGAAAGCCTCAACATCAAAAATACAGAAACTATCAGTGATCCCCTAAATAAATCTTAAATTAAATTTTCTATAAGTTCATCCTATTGGATGAACTTATAGCGTGAACTAATAGCGTGGTTCAACTAATGAAAATGGGTCAAAAAAATTAAAAGTAGTAGTAGTTCAGCGTTCCACATCTGTGTTGACAACAGAACAACGAGGTGTGAAAATGTTTGATGGTGATTTGTGGATCTTTAATATTTAACACCAAACCATTTGAATTTAGCATCAATGACCGGGATAGGTACTAAAAATTAAATTCCCGATGTCAATATGTGACAATGCCTCTTAGTAACTTTTCGGTTCACCTATTCGGGAAAGCTCATTTCTAATATACATGCACATTGGGGCATGTATATTTTTGTTAGGTAGCGATCAGTAGTTTGATATTAACCGGAGTACAGCTGTTAAAAATGTTATGATAGTTATTTCTTCTTGTTCTTTAAATCTATGCTAATGAAACTCTGCTTTTATTTCTAAGGCATTACGAAGCACGTTGTAAACAATTATTAATAATGAGATTGATGCATTAGTGTTATTCAAAAAATAGCCAACCAGCAGATGGCAGTATGGTGGCCCTGTGTATATGAACGTCGCGAAATGTGACGGGCAGTTGATCAAACGAACGCCCATGAAACTTGGCGATGGTCTTCCACGCCAGCACCAAGTACCCTGTGGCAGGAAACAACACTCTACCGTCTATCTTATGACCAAATAAGTAAGCATCTTCAGAGTCGGGAGAGAGTTCAAAGACGAATGCCTCAGAAGCTGCCGACGATGACGAGGAGGATCTCGTGAAATCTTCGTACGTCGGCACATCCCATTGTGTGGCGTGGTCCCAGGTGATGAGAGATGAGAAGGACGGAACTGAATAATCGATTGGATAACGTGGTCTATCGCCAGGTTTCAAATCAAACGGATCAAAATCAACCCCACATCTGTACAATCTGGATCATTTTGTTGAAACAAATATTAATGTCGTTGCATTGAATACGTTATCGAGTTTATTATACAATTATCATGTACAAATTCTCAAAAAAGTTTGTTCACTCAATGATTCAAAAGCCAACTGTATGTTATATTGTCTGAATAACGAACCTAGCCAGGGAGTTAAGAAAGAAAGCTAAATTGTCCGGTTGTGTCCTGTTCATGAGGCCAATGAATGAACAATCGGCAGACAAACTCCTCTTCAAAATGGCTTGAAGAAGACAATGTGATGCAATTTCAATAGTGATGGCATTAGATGGAACTTTCTGCAAGGCCTCCTGAAAAAGAACAGGACTGATGAGGTTGTTAACGTGGTACTCAGCACTTGAGTACAGAGCCAAATCGGAAGACCAGCGAGACTCGGGAATGGATGAAGATATCCACTTTGGTGATCGTGCCCGTTTCACTTGGATGACCTAATGTATGGCGATGAAACGTTACATCACAACTTGCCTGGTTCGTGTTTCCCATGTTATTTTAACAGTTAATATGCCTTAGCAAATCTAACTAAAAATATTAACAAGACAATAATCCACCAGTCAACAGTTAATTAAACATTGAAAAGTTAGCCTCTTCTGTGTTCATCTAACATTTATAATTTGAAAATAAAATTTAGTTGAAAACAACTAATTAACAAAAAAGCACATCAGACGACCTCGGATAGTTTGTGTTGAAGTTGCGGGGCAATGTGAGCCATGTACTTTGAATGGAAGGCCACACCGGCACTTTTCACCTCTTTTGCGAAAACTCCTTCCGATTGCAACTGATTGACGAATGCTGTCACCACATCCTCAGGACCTAGCATGAAAATCATTTTATCTTTAAATTTGACAAGTAACTTTCTAATTCTCCACTCTCCAGTTCTGCGAATCAAACTTCAAAGCATTACGTTAAGAAACATATTTCTATGAATATTTTGTCAATTGACTTATATTCATCATTTAATAGTAAATAATAAAAATAAATAATAAAAAATAAGTACATAAATTTTTCTTACATGTGGACAAATTTAAGGTTTGAAACATTTTGAGACGGGTGCCGAGAAGATTGTTACATTAGGAGAGCTAGTGAAGCGATTTTGTGCTTGGAAATAAATAAAAACAGACATTATTTTTAATTCTTAACGATTTAGATTAAGCCGTTCTTCTGCCGTACAATTTCTTACCGTCGAAACTCTACTCATAGTTAATCTATTTTTTATACTTATTCTCTGAATTCCACATGTCCCAACTTAGTTTAGGTTGATACCTTATCCAACGATGATAAAAACATTAGCGATTAAGGATGAAAATAGTAATCCGGTCAACCACGCTTTGCAAGAAACAATCACACAAAGCAATTGTTTATCTAAAAAATAATAAATTTTAATCAGTTGAATGTTCCTAATATTCCTAATGTGATTTTATTGAGCCTGATTTTTCAATTGCATTCGACACCGTTGAAGCATGTTATCCGCCATCTCAACGGCTTCAATATCTGATGCGACGGAAGTATCACTTTGGAATGATTCATATTCGTAAGCATTCTGATTAACAATAGGATCTAAAAACATTCAGTGACGACATTGCTGCTCTTTCACATAGCGGGCAATTATTGACAGCCGAAATTGCTTTGCAGCTTTCTAGAGGTTTCATCTTAATTTTTTTCTTATTCCTTTTTACATTAAAAAAGCAGCCAGTCCAGAAGAGGTCTGTCTGCACTTCCTGAGTACACAGTGCTTCATATACAATTTTGCCTGACATAAAAGTAATTCAATATTTGATTTTCTATTTATTATCTTCATTATCTTTATTTTATAAAATTGTCTTTTTTCCATGATGTAACAGATTCTGCGTTTGACAGAGTTTTTAAAGAATAAATAAATAAAAAGTTCTTAATACATTATCAATTCAGAAGTCTCATACTTAATTATTTTATCTTATAATTTTGCAGCCGTATTATTATATTGTTATATAAAAGGAAACAAAAAAGATTGCGGAGAAAGAAATAAAACATTCTGCAAAACAAAAATGTAATTATAATCAACTAAGAAAGAGGCACCTGAAATAGTGACCGTATCAGCAGAGTTGTGACACGCTGGCACCACACCATCTGGACATCGTTGAGTCACTTCTGACCATGAAAGACCTTTCAATTTAAACATCGTTCACATTTAATACCTCATTATTCACACCTATATTTGTAAACAGCATTTGAAAAAACGAAAATGAATAAATTGTGACTTGACTGACCAACTGCAGCCATTTTTCCAGGTGGAAGCTTGCCCTCAGAAACACACTTGCCCCTCCAATAAGCAGCCAACAACGTTTCTTCAGCAGTTAAGCCTCCGTCTGCATATGCACACCCCAGCTCTCCAACCGAGTGACCAATGAATCCGTCAGCTTCTATCTTCAATTCCTTCAATACATCAACAAGTGCAACCTAGGTGTTTCGCGAGAGAAACATTTAATTATTCACAATTTAAAACACAAAATTGAGTGAATAATTTTTTTTAGTGGTGTCCACTCTGATTACAGTTTCGTCAGAGTTGACTTCCGTTCATTTATCATCAGCCGATAAACACCAAAAAAGTAATTAGATCGCACTGATAGCAAAATTAATATAAATAAATAATAAAAATTGATAAAACTTTCCTCTCAAGACACTTCAAATATATTGACACTCAAAAATTATCAGTCACTTGTTCAATTTGGTAGGTTCTTTTTCTCAAATGAACACTTAACAATTAGTCATTAATTAATTAATTTATTTATTGATTTATTTTATTTATTTCTAAAATTATAATTTATTTTCCAATATAACCGTGTTATCATTTTTTAATATTGTCTTGTATGTTGTAAGAGCTTCTGCGTCAATCTGATTTTTTTAAAGGATAAAGAAAGTATTTGTCTAGGGAAACTTGTCCCGAGTTTTTGTCCTGGAACCGTATGCATACATTATCCATAGTGATTAACGATGAATGAAAATCAAATGATCCACCTGGATGGCAGCAATGCCGACGAAGGACTTGATGGTGTCTTTGTACGTGTCATGCTCTGCACTGAGGATCATGTCCAAGAGGTGGATGTCAAACTGTTCCAGCAACTGATGAGACTTCATGATGGATCTCCTGAACGAGTTGATGCACAGCAGATCCCTGCCCATGCCATCCCACTGAGTGCCCATCCCTGCAAATATGAACCACACTGGACGCTTCTCACTCGGCGTTTTCTGCATGTATGGTGTTTTAAAACCATACTAAGAAGCATCTTCTAATTAGTAAAACACTTCGTATAAGTATGACATAAATATTTTAATAAACCAGAAAAATAATCAAACAGGCAAACAATCAAACAAACAATTAAACAAGCAATCAAACATGCAAACTATCAAACAGGCAACCAAACAGACAACCAAACCAACAACCAAACCAACTTCAACTGAAGGAGCCGCCAGTGGACTGATGGAATTGATAATGACCGATCCTCTGTACGGGTGTGAATTCAATGGAAGATTACCAAATGAATCCTGCAAAAGAGCTTGAGCAGCTACGTTGTCCTGAAACTCCACCGCTTTCTTCAACACCAATTCAGCTCCCTGCTTTGTTCTGGCGCAGCATGTCACCAAACGAGCCTTCGAGTCGTTTGACTGACGGACATCGATTGAGTTGCTTGATTTATAAGCATCGGTGTGAATCTCCGTTGTATCATTTAACCTGCTGGAAGGTTTAAATGATTGAAGAAGCAGATGAACGTTGGTACCTCCAAAACCAAACGAACTGATGGCTGCAAGACCTCCGTCCCATTTCGTCGGCTCGGTCACAACCTAGTTTCAATAATTCAATTTACATTTTTTGGCTGATCAGTTGTCATCACATACGAACACCGGAAACATGAGTAGTTGAACTGAATAAAAATTTATTGTATAAGAAACAAAATGTTCACAATTTGATTGAATAAATAACGTTTTCAAAAGAGAAACATTTAATTATCCACAATTTAAAACACAAAATTGAGTGAATAATTTTTTTTAGTGGTATCCACTCTGATTACAGTTTCGTTAGAGTTGACTTCCGTTCATTTATCATCAGCCAATAAACACCAAAAAAGTAATTAGATCGCACTGATAGCAAAATCTTCTTTCACAGTCATTTGTAGCTGGTCCGTTTAGTGATGTTGAGTGATGTAGGTACTATCAATAAACGACGTAGCTTTGTTGCCTCAGCACATCATGTTCATACCAGGAGGTTACTTAATGATGACGAAGCAGGAGTATTAAGAGGTCAATCATGTCGTAAACTCGAGAGTGTTATATCTGCACAATACTAGTGACGCTAGTAAGATGATTTAGAAACAATTCAACAACACACGTTTAGACGACATTTTCCCCGAGATCGGGGGTTGCCGTTTGGCTACCTATGATGAAACCGAATGTCATCATAAATATCTTATTGGCTAATTTTAACGAAGGACGCCCTTCCTTACGCAATCACAGTTATAAGCGGTGGGCCTAGCCTTTGATGATCCAACATCACTCACAAGGCAGTGAGGGTCAGTTTAATGTCATAACCAGGACATGATTTGGAAACAATTGCTTAACATAAAAGTTCTCCTTCAGCTGAAATAAATTCATTAAAATTCATTCATTCAATTCTATTGCAATATTTTTCAACAAAATAATCTAAAGGTTGAAAGAATAGAAAAGTGTTGCAATTGGATCAATTCAATTCTTTCTCATCGTAAACTAAAGCCCGACATGTTTTTCTCCATTTTTGCATTGTGTTCAAATGAAGATGTAACATAAATTATTCTTAGCTCGCCAACAAACTCTTTTTCACAGGACCTTATTTCAACTCGGGTTCTCAAACTGTACATTGACTCGTTTCTTTCGTTTTGTCATTTTTTGTTAACATGTGCTTGAGCGCTTGTTATTTTCCGACGTCTTTAAAACATGCACTTGTGCTCTTTTATTAAAAAACCGTATCGTGATAAAAACAACATAAATAATTATCTTATCTCAATTCTTTCGTTTTAATCTAAGACCATTGAACGTGTTGTTTCTATGCAACTTTTAAGCCACTATATAAGTTAAATTTGATGCCAGTTCACCGGTCTGGTTATAGACGAAATCCTTACACAGAGACCGCCATGATCGTTGTAGCACCTGAATTGTTTGCATCTACGGAGGCTCATAATTTATTACTGTTTGCCTCATCGGATATGAGCGTGGCTTTAAACTGCGTTCATCGGCCTTTACTAGTTGATAAGTTTTAACATTGTTTTGGTGTTTCTGGATTGGTTGCCTCGTGTTATGAATCATATCTGATTGTTAGGACGCATTAAACCTTATATGACAATGAGCTGTCTGATTTCGAGTTGGTTACGTCCGGAGGACCTCCAGGTTCAGTCTTGAAGACTCTCTTGTTTTTGTTCTATACGGCTGATAGAATTACATCCTTGAAGATCATAATTTTAAATATCATGTTTCCGGTGTTTATGCTCCTGTTAGCTGTAACACAATTCGTGAAACATTAGTCAACAAACTTGTCGGCTGTATCGAAAAATTAAAAAAATTATGATAAGCAACAGATTAAAGTTAAACAAAGATAAGATTCAGCTGTCATTTGTTGGCACCTGACCATAACTACAAAAAATTCATCTGAATTCTAATGAAATGTCAGGTTCAGTTGTCAGTTATTGTTCTTCAGACAATAATTTGGGCATCCTTTTAGATCAAAATTTGTCAATGGATCAGCACAGCTTATCAAAAAGTTGAACAATGTTCCTTTCAGCCTCGAAGACTCTGACAATTTAAAAAGTTACTTGACGAGGATACTTTGAAACTGGATTACTTCAAAGCAACAGCCCAATAGTCTGAAACAGTTTATCACACAGCCTGCAAAAAAGGGATTGTCACTTCAAAAATTTCGAAATCAGCTTACAACTCATCTTTTTCGAACTAATCCACAATACTAAGAAGCATTGAAAGGTGCTGTAAAAATTCTCAAATGAAAAAAAATAATATGCAGAAGCACGAGTGAATAACAATACTTGACAGTAACCTTCAGCCTTCCATCAATCAATCCAGGAATGTTTTCATTTGGTTGATCATAGTGAAGATTGGGAGGGATGATGCCACCATGCATCGATATCAAAACCTTCACAAGTCCCACAAGCCCCGAGGCTGGCTCTGGGTGGCCACTATTCGACTTTGTTGAACCAATCAACAGGCTGCCTTTGCGTTCTACAAAGTGATTGGTCGATGTATATTTATTGACGATAATGATGTTACATGATTGGTTGATAAATAAAAATAAAATGATGATGCTACTGAGTGATTAGTTGATGTAATATATGAGAATAATGATGCTACTACGTGATTGGTTGAGGTATAAAATGAGGTTGACAATGCTATTAAATAACTGGCCAATGTATAATGAGGATGACACTACCAATGGATTGGTTAATGCATAATATATGAGCTCCATCCATCAACTTCTAACCGACTTCACGTCATCATCATTCATTTCATCATCATCAAATTATTAACTCAGCAGCATATTATACTACATAAGAAAATATCATCAATGGTTGAGAGAATTTGATTCAAAGTGGCACTCAGAGTGAAAAATTGTTAAAGAACGAAATGTTGGAGAGAACTGATTAGTTTAGTCTCAAACGGCTTTAAATGAAGTCTACTGAGATCAGTAGAAAATGGGGATTTCTGTTCAAAAAATGTCATTTTGGTTCTCAGTTGTATCCATATATCTACCGGATCCAGACACTCATTCATTTGAATAGGTGAGCCCAGAAGATACAACATGAGATTAGAAACAATCGAGGTCACCATGCCCTGGTTGTTATTGGTGTCAGCCTTGAAATTTCCAAGAAGCATCTAAAAGATCATTCCATCGACTAAACAAAATTTATCTGATAGAGGCGTTCTAAAAAATCAATAGTACAAACACTGCAATAATTATATGACCAGCACCATCATCATTCTCATCATCAAGAGCACACTGTAGATAAAATGCATCCAGAGTAGATTCAATTGTGTCGATAGCCAGTACTATCTCTCTCTTGCAGTTTCATTGGATGAATGAATGAATGGATGAATGAATGAATGAATGATGAATGAATGAATGAATGATGAATGAATGAGCATGTTCAACAGTAAGTTAACCCTTCGTGCAGAAGACATCAGCGGCGGCATTGGCTTCCTCAGGATCACCTGCCTTCGTGCCTGTGCCGTGAAGTTCAACGTAGGAAACCTATCATAGTGATGTTGTGGTTGTTGATGTTGGTCTTAGTATTGCTGATGTTTTTGATGTTGGTAATGTTGTTGTTATAGTTGTTGATCAGATTAGGATTGTTGATGTTTGTTGTTGATGTTGTTGTGTGCGTGTACAACTCTCAAGTTGTTGGTTTTTAAACTGCAAGTTTTATTTTCAAATTTGTAAAAATTCAGTTGTTTTTGAAAAACTTTAAACATTTAACTTTCAAAATTTAATAATTAATCTTTTTTAAAATGGGGTAAAAAGTTGCAAATGTAAACGATCGATCGTTTTATTGAAAAATTTTCGTCATACTGAGGTTTTTGAAGTTTTTAAATTGGTTAAAACTAAGCTCGTGATTCTAACCAACAAAAGTAGTTTTAGTTTTATTTTATTCAAGTTAAGCCAAATTGTTTTTGTCAACTACTTGCCAACGTGTGTATGAGTACAGCATTATCAAATACAGATCTCAATTATTCAATTATTTGTATATTTTAATTGTAAAAATCATGTAAATAAACCTCAACTAAATATAAACATGAGCATGCTTAAACACAAACACAATGTAAATATTGCATAAACATAAAATCTATCAGCTAAATATTACATCAATTAAATTAAATTTAGACATAAACAATAACATAACATACACACAACAACAAAAAATCACCAAGATATATATAAACTAAACTTAAACATCAGATAAACATAAGCATATAACTAAACAACATAAATATACATAAAACATAAATACCAGCAAATATAAACTCAGAATAAACACAACAACACATAAAAAACACCTCACAAAATAGCTTAAATATTAACAAAAACAAAATGACGAACATCACCTCAGTTGGGTTAACATGAGCTTCTTCATAAACTTCCAACAACAACCGCTTCTGCATTTCACCAGATGGGTACGTGATGCCTGCATTGGTCGGTCGGTTGTTTGGTAGGTTGGTTGTTTGGTTGGTTGGTAGATTGATTGTTTGGTTGGTTGGTAGTTAGGTTGGTTGATTAATTGTTTGTTAGGTTGGTTGGTCAAAATGTGAAATTGAATAAAATGAGATAAAGCAGCTAAAAAATAAATAGGATCTCTTTATATTAAAAGGCCGCTATTTTATTGTTCCAAAGATATAATATAGCCACTAGTTACAGATGAAATTTAAACAGTGCTGACGCAAGTTGAATGATGTTTTTGATGGTCACGATGATGAAAGCAATGATCAGGAAATAACGGCATGGACGAATAAATAAATAAGGAGCAACAAATGAGCAATTGTGTCCATCATTCGGCACGTCGGTCCATCCACGCCATCAAAATTTTAGGCCACCTCTACAACCAATCACCACCACCAATAGAAGAGTCAATAAAATGACCGATGCCAAGTATATTAAAATAATGGTAACTGCTATGCAGGATGAAGCTAATAAAAATAAAAAATATCAACGGAACTACATAAATGTTTAGAGACAAAATATCATGTAACAAAATTGGAGAATGGAAGATGAGCAAGAAAGAAATATGGTGGTACCTTGCTCCTTGAATCCATCACTGTTGTTCTTGCTGTGAACGAGGGAGGCATAAACTCGCTTTGCATCCTTCTCTTTCTGAATGAAGATGACAACAACCGATTCACTCCTGCAATATCCACTTCCTGGTGTGGTTATAAAATTATATGCAGTTATAGAACTATAAACAGTTATACAATTATGTTATAGTTAGGGCGGTTGTTAGGTTTGTGGAATTCTTAAACTAGTACACCTATCCCGCGATTTACACGGCACTTGTTTTACACGTTTTCGCTTTTACACGGTTTTCCAAATAAGTTTTTTTTTGTTTTTATCGCACTCTACTAAATGCAACTGTGATTGAACATGTGCTTGCTTGGCTCAATAAGAAGAAGTTTACAAAGATTTTACAAAAAATTCGAAGCAATTGTTAATAACAGATTTTATTACCATCCCTCATAATGTAAATATTTCTGTTTCAAAAAAATATTATTTCGGCACAAATAACTTCGAGTGATGAAAGTGAATTCGAACCTTCGATTCCAAAAAAAAGAATGAGAGCAATTTCTGACAGTGATGGATGATAATAAAACACCTTTGGTTTTATTTTTTGTTCTTCCGTTTAATGTATTGTAATTAAATAAAAAAAACAGTGTTTCCGTAATATATTACATATTTTAACCTGTCAATGCATTTTATTTTTATTTATGTGTACACCTAAAAATATTGAAAAAAATCACAACTGTTAAATAGCAAAATTATGCATTTTCTGCAAGCTTTTCGATTTACACGTTTTTCTAAGGAACGTATCTACCATGTAAATCTTTTGATAATTATTGGTACCATTGTGATCACTCCAAGCTAAACTTTAGACAATAAACCAACCAACAAATCAGCCAACAAGCTGTCCAACTAATCAACAAGCCAGCCAACCAACTAATCAACCAACTAACTCATCGACCAACTAATTAACTGCCAACCAGTGAGCAGTCTAAATGACCAACCAACAAACAAACCAGCTAAGCAACCAACTAACAAGTCAAACAACCAACAAAATAACCAACCAATGAATCAGCTAACCAGTCTTATAAACAATCAATTAAATAACCAGCCAGCTAACCAACCATTTAATCAATCAACAAACCCACAAACAAACGGGCAAATAAAAAGTTAATCAACCAGTCAAGTAATCAATTAACCAGGGAGTTAAGCAGCCAAATAGCTTTTCAATAAATCAACAGAACAACTAACAAAAATTTAACCCAGCAACTATGCAAGCAACCAACCAATCGCCCAATCAACTAACCAGAAGCATCAAATGACCTACAAGCTCCATAACTTGCCAGCATGCTGAGTTTCTGAAACTGAGCACTGGTGGCGGGTCTGAGGCAAAGATTGCATGCACCAACGATGGCTGCATCACACAATCCAGTCCTGATGGCATGCAATGCTTGGTCCAACACTAACAAACCTGATGAGCAGGCACTGTCGGCTGTATAACTCGGTCCTATAATGTTCATTCAGTGTTTTTCATCATTCAGTGTTCATATTCATCATTCAGTGTTCATGTACATCATTCAACATCTGTGCTCATCATTCGTGTTCATCATTCAGTGTTCATGTTTTTTATTCAGCTTTCACATTCATCAATCAGTGTTCATGTCCATCAGTCAGTGTCCATGTTCATCATTCTGTATTCATGTTCAACATTCAGTGTCTATGTTCATCATTCAGTGTCTATGTTCATCATTCAGTGTCCATGTTCATCATTCAGTGTTCATGTTCATCAATAAAATCACATTATACAACATTCCGCATTCAGCGTTCATTTTTCATTGTTTTTCATTGCTTGCAATGTTTCACCGTCACATCAAATCAATGAAATTTAACTTTTTCAAAAATTTATTCAAATGAATATAATCTAAACATTTTCACAACATTTAGGCTCCTATTTATTTATTTACAAGAAGACACCATGTGTCAGAATGTAATTTACTCTGAGAAAAATTGTTTGCCAATCTGCCAATCATTTTTTATTTTTTTTTTAAATTTTTAGAAAAAGTTGAGTTAAATTAATGTTAACCTCCATTACATCCTAACTAGAGAGCCCCTCCAGATCTACTATCAACAACAAATCACAATCAGGTTTTGACATCATCTGACTTATATAATTTCATGCATGACTGACAGGTTGTAAAACAAAAAATATAACAAAAATAAAGACTAGTTACCTTTGAAATCAAAAAAGTAGGACAATCTGTTGGCAAACATCGACCTTGTGCATCCGGACATTTCATAGCCAGTCAACTTTGGCAAGTCATTGGACCAACCATCGTGAGATTCTGACGCACTGTTTCCTATGAACACCCCTGTTCTTGTACCTCTCAACAAGGCAGGGTTCACACCTTGATGTGTTGCATGAATTTACATGACAATTATTCTTGTACCATCTTCACAACATCATCATCTTCCTCTTTACATCATCATCATTATCATCTATTTAATCATCCTATCTTGTTACATTTAATGAATAATAATCAATCAAATACCAAAACTTTCAAAAATATATAATAGAGAAGAGTAAATGTTGATATAATAAACATCTAAATAAAAAGTGCTGCACAACCAACCACTTTCCAACTGATGACATTTCATTTCATACACCGAATGAAACAGCTATACATTTCAAATTTAAATACAGACTGAAGGCTTTGGATTAGTACATTAAATAACATCAAAAAACAAAAATAAATTCCCTGACCAACAACATTATTTTGAAAGAAAAACAATATCATAGAACCTGCCTATCTACACTTTCAACTTGAAAATTGTTCATCAAAAAAACAAATACCTTATTAAAATTTAAAAAAAATTATGAAATAAAAAGTAGAACACAAATGTTAATGACCTGAATCAACAATGGCTTCATAGGTAGTTTCAAGCAACATTCTTATCTGTGGATCCATTCTAGCTGCTTGCTTTGGATGCACTCCAAAAAAAGAAGCATCAAACTTGCTTACATCTTTTATAATTCCACATCGTTTTGGTAATCCAAAAAATCCTAACAAACAATTTTAATAACATTTATTAATTTTGCAATTTCAAATTATAAAAACCATTCTAAATCTATTACAGTTGTTTGTTATATTTAATCAAATTTTAACTTCAATTTTAACAAAAAATTAGCAAAGTAACTGTAAAGTAAAACAACCTGGTGGCCATCTCAAACTGGAGTCTGTGACCATATCAACTTTATTCATGAGGTTCTGTTTGAATTCTTCAACATTGTCAGAAGATGGAAATCTGCCTGACATCCCGGAGATGACCACCTTCTCAAAATAGTTGGCCAAATCATTTATTTTAGTATTTACTTCCACTTGTTTGGATTTTATAACTTCTACTATTGCTTCAGGCATAATGATATTGACTATCTGCTGTTGTAAATCAAATTTTTAAATAAAATTAACATTAACCTTTTACTTATATTTATTTTTGAAAAGTCTAGTTTAGTTTAGTAAACGTAAACAAGACTCAAAAAATCAAAATAAAAAAGTTAATAAAATAAAAATTAAAAAAAAATTTATCATGTGCTGTCTGCTAATGTGTTTTGGTTTACAACCTGGGTTTTTTTAATATCTAATGATTTGTAAAATTTTAAATTTAAAAAATAAACACAAACGATTTACTCTTTCGTTGAATTAATGAAATTAACTTAAGATATCTTAAAATTACTAAATAATCACAAAAATCACATAACAAATTTCTTGAAACATAAAATTGGCCCCTTAAGTCTGTTTAAAAGTGATCAACAGTAGTCAAAATTAAACATACAGAAAAAAAGTTTTATTTTTAGTTTTATAATTAAAAGTTATCTGCTATTATTAAAACATGCTATAAAACAATATTTTTTTAGTAATTTTATTTATTTATAAAATTGTGTATTTTTCATTTTATACAACTTGATAATTGGGTTTAAAAAATTTATCTGTCTGGTTTACATTTTAGTGCGCTCATGAGGTGAGACCAATAAATAATGAATAAAGTCAACCCAAAATGTTGGCCGGCTAGAGTGCGATCGTTATTAAATGTCGTCATGCGTGTTTGTGTGTGTGTGCATATGTATATCGGTATGTTTGTTAGTAAATTTTGTATGTGTTTACTACTGTGTTTGTATGTGCATCTGCAATGATGTTCTGTATCAAAATTTGCTGTTGACACTAACTAACCAAAAGCTGAACTATGTGATGCAAAAATTGACGAAGAAATTGAAAGACAGGTACTACATCAATGGACTGATGAACGGCAAATGACGTTCAACGCTGACAAGTGTGCAGCCGTACATATGGGATTGAACAACAAAGAAGATTTATTTAAACTTGCTAACACAACACTAGAAAATTCAGAGAATTCTTGGTCTGACAACGCGACAATGCTCAGACGTAGCTGAAAGTGCAAACAATGTTTTTGATATGATGAAAAACAGTAGGAAGCAGAAATCACCCGCATATGACATTTGTCCGACCTAAGTTTGAGTACTGTGTTCAGCTTTATAATCCTAATTTACAGCAGGACAAGGATATGCTGATAAAATTTAGAGGAGAGCAACGAATTTGATTAACAAGTGTCATGGTATGGCTCAAGAGTACATACTAAAAGCGTGTGGTTTGAAAACTCAAGAAAAGAAAAAATAAGACATTATTCACGCATACACATTCATTACCATTGAAAGATAATTTGGAATCAGCACATTTTTGAGCTTGGAATTAACAGCAAAACAAAGGAAACAAATACAAAATACATGTACTCAAAAAAAAGCTTAAAAGCTGTTGAGTAAACAATTTTTAGTTGTTTACTTGAAGAAGAAATTATACGCATAGAAACAACCGCAAGGCACTATTGACAAAGATCGAATAATAACATCTCAAGTGCGTCTACTAGTAGACACGGTCTACTTGAACCACTATAAAATTATTTGTTGTTTTATACTGTTATGTTATGTTAAGTTTGTTTGTGAATGCTTGTGTGAATTGTCATATAGACACCTGTATGTGATTCTCCGTATACACTTTATAGGTAAGTGATTTTTATGTAGAAATGGAAATCTGAGCATGTGCATCATCGTGACAGTTGACAAAGTTCCACAAGATTGAAATTTTATTTTCTTTTAATTTAATTGTTGTATGTTATGAAATTTTAGCTTTTTATGCTGAAATATTTTACTAATTAACGCTTCCTGTTACAAGATATCTATCAATTGTTCTGTGGGGACATTCAAATTAACACCGAGGTTCACTCTATTGAATGCTGGATTAAGACTGTCAGAAATGCAATTATTGATGAAAATTTACAATTTACAATAATAAGATTCTTGAAAATAATGTTGACATCTGTAATGCCCTGAATAAAAACTTTATAGACGCTATTAACCAGCTTAAGCTTAGATTGTCCAACAATATCTGTTTGGATAAAATAATAATTGATAAAAGAAGTTATATTAATTTGTTCTATTTGAACCCTGTTGAGCCATCGGAAATTATTAAAATAGTTAATAAAGATAAATCTAATAAATCAACTTTTTATGACGGTTTTAATATGCATCTACTAAAGTTATTTATTCAAGAAATTCTACACCCTTTCATGTATATATTTAATTCATCGCTCTCGACCGGTAGGTTTCCAACTATATTGAAAAGGGCCAAAATTGTACCTATTTTCAAAAGGGTGATCGAAATAATCCTAGTTACCATAGACCGATCTCGTTGTTGTCACCTTTTTCCAAAATACTTGAACAATTAGTTGCCGGTCGCATGAAAGGATTCATGGAAAAGTTCAGTATTCTTTCACGTCATCAATATGGATTTAGAAATAAACATTCGACGGAGTTGGCAGTATTGGAAATGTACCATAGAATTTTATTCAATATGAATAATAAAGATTTGACCATGGGTATAATTATTGACCTCACTAAGGCCTTTGGCATTATTGATCATAATTTTCATCTTTATAAACTAAGGTTCTATGGATTTAGAGAGAATATCCTGTCTTGGTTAAAAAGTTATTTGCTAAACAGAGATCAATATGTGTCAATTAATTCTATTAGCTCAGATGTTCTTACCGTAAATTTTAGAGTCCCACGAGGTTCAATTTTTGGACTACTGCTTTTTTCGATTTTCATTAACGACCTATCAAATGTATCTTTGCTATCCAAATGCATTATGTATGCTGATGACACAAACATCTTTCACGCATCAAAAAATATACAAAGTGAAATCATTCTGATAAAAAATGAATTAACAAAATTTGAAGAATGGTTTGCAAACAATAAACTTATTATTAATTCTTCAAAATCAACATACTCCATTTTCGGTCATTCAATATCAACTAATGCTATTCAAGATTTGAATTTGACTCTAAATAATATTCCTATTGAAAAATCCTGCTCAATTAAATTCCTCGGAGTTTCGATTCAAAATAATTTAACATGGTCTTCTCATATTTTAGATGTAAGAAATATGGTTTATTGTTTTTGGGCATTTTGAATAAAATAAAATACAAATTAGATTTTTCTTCTAAAATTTACATTACAATTACAATTAAAATTAAAATTTACAACAGCTTTGTTTACCCGCATCTAATTTATTGCAACCTGGTTTGGGGTAACAGCCCGGAATACCTACTTAATCTTTTGCTTATATGCCAGAAACGCTTTTTAAGAATACTTTATAATTTAAAGACCACGCCAAACATCTGTTTTTCGAATCTAAAATACTGATTATTTATCAAATAAATTTTTATTTTCAATCGATATTTACATTTAAATATTTGCCCAATTTATTACCTTCATACTTTTCAAATCTCTTGAATTTTTGGAATAACATAAAATCTTTAGAAACAAGACAAAATCACACTTTCTATAAAATCTGTGCTCCGTGTTAGGGGCATTGTCACATTGAAAAGAAATTGTTGTTAGACATAAACTACCTAACACCAAACGGTTAATTTCGTAAAATTTTGTTAAAATTTTGAATTGTAACATTTGAAAACAAAATTAAGAGTGACGCCAATTTGAGCAATCAAAATAGATTAGCAAATAAGTTTTGTAAAAATAAACTTTTCTTCACACCATTGAATAAATTTTGTTAGTCTTTTTCATTGTATTACTTTATAAATTTAAATGAATCAATTTTAAACAAAGCACGTCTTTGTTATGAGCAAACATTAGTTGAACGAGCTAAGGATAATCTCAAAATTTTTTACAAATATTTTAATGGTTAGCAAACAGTGAAAGAGTCAATTAAGTTTTTAAGAAAACCAAATGGCGAACTAAGCCACGACTCAGTTGAAATTGTGAATCTAATAAATGCCAGTTTCCAAGATGTGTTTGTACTTGAAGTCGATAATAAAATTCCGCTTTTTTATGCAAATGAAAGCAATTTTGAACAATTTATAGATATGATGCCAGATGATATCAGTTATGAGATTGTTTTAAATAAACTTAGACAGCTCGATGAAAACAAATCTTGTGGCGTTGATAAACTGCATCCAGTATTGTTAAAATAGTGTGCAGAGACGTTTGCTGTTCCAATTGCTTTGATATTTCAGGCCTCTTTGGCTACCAGTCAACTTCCACTTCAGTTTAGATCAGCAAACGTTTCACCGATCTACAAAAAAGGCTGTAGCAACACATTATCGCCCGGTTTCTTTAACATCAGTTCATGTAAAATAATGGAAAGTATAATTCGAAAAAGTGTGGAAGATCATCGTTTAAGGAATAACATAATAGTAAAACAACAACATGGTTTTATTAAGGGTAAATCATACACAACAAATCTACTTGAAACTCTTGATTTTATTTCCTGTAATTTAGATAATTATATCCCTGCTTGATTTTGCCAAGGCATTTGATACTGTTCCACACACAAAATTATTAGCTAAATTAAATGCTTATGGAATAAATTGATTGGCGTATAAATAGATTGAATCGTTTCTTAAAAACAGAAGACAAAGAATTGTTCAAGGTGAAACAATTTTTGACTGAGCTGAAATTTTTAGTGGTATTCCTCAGGACTCTCTTATTGGTCCTCTACTCTTCATTCTCTACATTCATGACTTACCAACAAAACTGAAAAATACAAAACTCTTTGCAGATGGTACCAAAATCATGAGAGCAATATGGTCAGATAACGATGTAGTCGAACTTCAATCTGATTTGAATGAGGCTTTTAAGTGGACGCAGGACTGGCTTCTACGGTTCAACATTGAAAAATGCACTATTATGCACTACGTATCGGGTAAGAGATCAGAATGTTCATTTTATATAAATAGAATACTTCTTGCTGAATCTGAATCCGAAAGAGATCTTGGAGTGATTTTTTCAAATAACTTAAAATGGACAAATCAAGTCATCACAACAAATGCTTGGTCGAATAAAAAAATCTTTCGGAAAATTTGATTATAAGTTGCTTCCTAATTTATACTTAACTTTCAGTTGGTTCCATTTATAAGAAACCTAGCTTACGAAGATCGTCTTTAAAAATTAGGATTAACAACCTTGGTGGAAAAAAAACATAAAAATTGATTCAGTTGTTTAAAATCAGGCATAATTTGGACAAAGTTGATTTAAATAATCGTTTTAGCATAGTCAAAACCAAAACGCGAGGTCACAGTTTAAAATATTTTTAAGAGTTGACAAGACATTGAGGCAGAGAGAATTACTTATTCAATAGAGTCGCAAATACTTGGAACTCATTACCAAATGAACTCGTTGAGGCACAATCAATGAACAAATTTAATGCAGGCAATGATTGTTGGATGAACAACAATCAATAAACGAATCAGCTGTGATAACTTCCAGAACAGCATTACTGCTACTACTACTACCTTCCCCATCCCGGAACGCCCCATTTTCTAAGGTAACCAATTCATGAATGATTTTTTTAAATGAACGACTTTTCATTTTAATAAAAATAATTAAATTTTCTTTTGTGAATAAAATATTTAAAAAACTGGTGGCTTGAGTAGAGAAGCATAAGCAAAACGAAGCAGCACCAAAATAAATAATCATCCAATTCATAATAATTAATTTGCTATTAGCTAACAAGTTGAGTAATAAAACTACTGGAAATTTTTTGTCGTTCATGAAAACATTGATTTTAGTGGAACATTTGTTGTGCTACTTTCTACAATATTCAAATCAACAGTTTTGCGTCAACATTTTTAGTAAAGGTTCTGTATCGAATGCCAACAGATCGAATGTTCCATGGTAACATGTCTCTAGCAACAAGTGACGCATATTACACGTCGACAGTTATGGAAAACAAAAATTTTTCCAAACCAGCAGTTAGATCTTAACTTGTTGGATATTTTAAGTAAAATATTTTTTATAGTCTCGACAAATAATTTTTTGATGTTGAACCTTTATTGAGATTTGATATTTGAAATAACATGACCTCCCGCCATAAAAGCGCAGCAAAGACGTCGGAATGGAAAGAAGGTGAGAAAAATTAATGAAATGATTAAATTAAATGATAAAAATAAAATGATTAAATTAAATGAAAAATATCAATAAAATGATTAAATTAAATTAGAAAAATTAATAGAATGTTTAAATTATCAAAAAAATTCTTTTTCATAACAAATTATCCTAATAGTTGTAAAAGCCTGTTCAAACGCTTGCAGGGAGAAGCAACGCAGGTTACGACGATGAGGATATGATGCCCACAGGTATGGACACTGATGTTTACAGCTCAAAGAAGGATTACAAGAACGACCCTTCAAATGGAAATATGCGTCTTTCTGACCAAAAAGCTCAAAATAGTGACGGATGTTTGCACGCAATAAAGAGAGGCTTCAGATGTTAGGATGATAACTACATTATGTATATGATTTTATTTGGAGCTTTTATTGAAATGTTAATTTTGTTGTGAAGCTATTTGGGCTACTAAGCAGACGGAAGAAACTGCCCACAACCAGGATTTGAGAATCAAAACTACTCTGCGTGAACTTGTCATTTATTGCGTCTTTCTGGCAATACTTTGCATAAGTGAGTTCGGCAATGTTTCATTATGAAAGATCATATAATGAATGCATCTTCATTATTTTACTCAGTAACATTTGGGATGACCAGCTCCACGATGTATTATTACACAAATGTGATGAACTCTTTGTTCATTCAAACTCCTGGCGACCCAAGCAATCTCGGTTCCAACTTCCTCGGCATTAACCTACCTGGAGATCTTTTTGATGTTTGTATTGTAAGTTGTGTAATGATTTTATATTATCGTTCATTATACATAAATGATTGCAGTATGCAGAAAAAGTTCTGCTGCCCGGCTTATATCGGGATTGGGAAACCTGGTACAACAACAACACCATGGACCCCGACATATATGGTTACATTTATTACGAAAATAAATTGCAAGGAGTTCCAAGATTGCGCCAGGTTACATTTTTTTTAAATATACATTCAACTAAATATCTTCGTTTTAAATCTAATGAAATAAAAAATATAAAATTGTGAAGCTTTAAATTAGTTTTAAATAATCAATCGTAGGTGAGAGTGAGGAATGATTCATGTCGTGCGCCCGATAATATGAAAAACCAGATCAAAGATTGCTATGCGGCGTATTCCTCATCGGCCGAAGACACTCGTCCATACGGTCTAGGAATTGGAACTGCGTTTGTATTTTAAGTCTTGAAGCTGCTTAAACCTCAATTCCTAATTTCGATTTTATTTTAAATAGTTGGACTCACAGCAATTTGGGCTCAAACGTCAGAGCACAAATTAATTCCTACGGTGGTGGCGGCTACTACGCCGACTTGAACACAACTGGCGACCTGTCCGAACAAGTTATTGATAATTTAAAAACAAATTTGTGGGTCGATCGTGGAACCAGAGCTGTTTTCATTGATTTTACCATATACAATGCCAATATAAATCTCTTTTGTGTCATTAAGTCTGTGTAATTTCTAGCAATGTGGTAATTTGTTTAATTACCGAACAATTTTGTTACAGGTTGATAGCTGAATTTCCTCCAACTGGCGGCATTATTCCATCTTACGATTTTAGAACTGTGAAACTAATTCGCTACAATACGGCTTTTGATTTTTTTGTTTTTGCCTGTGAAATAATATTCTGTATTTTCATTTTATATTACATTGGAGAAGAGTTCTTGGAGGTTTGTACGTAACTTAATATATTTTTCTTTTCTACTTTGAAGAACTGAAATTTTTTCTTTTAGATTAAAAAATATAAATGGTCCTACTTGAAAGAATTCTGGAACGTTCTCGATATTGTTGTAATCTGTATATCTCTATGTTGTATAGCTTTCAACATTTATCGTTTTCTGGAGGTGAAGAAGTTGTTGGACTACATGCTCTTGAATCCAAACGTCTACATCGATTTTGACTACATTAGTTACTGGCAGTCTGTCTTCAATTCGGCACTGGCAATCATGGTGTTCTTTGCCTGGATTAAAGTATGTAAATTTTATTATAAAAAAAAAGTGAAACAATCTTATACGCTCAATAAATACAAATGCAGATATTCAAATACATCAGCTTCAACAAAACGATGACTCAACTTTCCAGCACACTGGGAGCCTGTGCAAAAGATTTGGGAGGATTTTCAATAATGTTTTTTATAGTGTTCCTCGCTTTTGCCCAGTTGGGCTACTTGCTGTTTGGAGCTGAGGTTTCAGACTTTAATGCATACGAAACGGCGATGTAATTACATTTATTACTGTGTATTAAAACGTCTAACAGATGCCTACTTTTAATAATTTATATATTTTTTCAAGATTTACATTGTTTCGCATCATCTTGGGAGATTTCAATTTTCAAGCACTTCAACAAGCAAACAGCATTCTTGGTCCAACTTATTTCATTCTTTACGTCTTCTTTGTATTCTTTGTACTGCTCAACATGTTTTTGGCCATTATCAATGACACTTATTCCGAAGTGAAAGCTGAACTGGCCGATCAGCCAAATGATATTGATGTCGCTGGATATTTCAAACAGGTTTTTCGTATTTCTATTTAAAAAACCGTTCATTACACATCACGCGTAGGATCTGTATATTGAATATTAAATATCAATTATGAACTTATAAAGCTATCATATATTTTTGATTTACTCTTATAATTATAATATAAATAAGTGTTTTTGTAAATAGTGGCTGATTATGCGAAGGAGGAATAACTTGAAAATTGTAAAGTTGATGATTTTTTTGTTAATTCTCGTAAATTCTTGCTTAGCTTATTCCCTTCTTAGCGGGGAAATAATTTTTAAAATTCTTTGTTTACGACCTTTTTATGCTAATTTCAGTTTACTTTATTACCATATTATACACAGAAGTTTTAATATTTTCTTCTTTCGTTGTCTGGATCCGCCACTGCTTTCATAATGGAATCGTCCATAGATAAAAACTATTTTGGTAATGTTTTTAGAACATTATTGCACCACACTTCACTTCAGAATATGTTAAACCAACCTTGTTGTCAATTTAAATTTATTTAAACGGTAATCAAACCTTTGTAGTAACTAAACTGAAAAGCTAATCAATTAAACTTGACTAAATAAAACTAATTAATTAAAATTAAACATTTTTTGATTGTTTAATGAATTTTAAATGGGTTTCCATCAAATTATTCTACAGAGAGCTAATAATGTTTTGACGAAACTCCATTTGAGAAAAAACAAGATAATAGAAATTCAAAGAGCTATCACAACCGCAGATGCCAATGGAGACAGAATGATAGATTTTGATGAGTGGAGACATGATTTGAAAATGTTTTGGCTTTTTTTTAATTAAAATTATTTGATATAAATATTTAAAATTATTTTAAGGCGCGGATATGCTGAAGCCGAAATTGAAGCAGTTTTTGCTAAATATGATATAAATGGGGATCGCTTGCTTGATGAAAGTGAATTGTATAAAATGCAAGCCGATTTGGAAGGACAGAAGGTTATTGTAACAATCATGTTATAATTTTGAGAAGAAAATATGTAATTTTTAATGAATAATTAAATGTTGAAATATTATATACGTGTGTTTCTAAAACAAGGGTGTACAAGCCGTTAAAGTGGCCTTAGGAGATAAATCTCAAAGTTGTTAAAACGATAGGAAAAAAAGTGTCATTTATCATTCATTTTACTTAAATTCATTTTCGAACACACTAAATAAAAATTTTTTTCAATGAATAATGTTTATAATAAAAAACCAATAGACCAGAATTTTCACGTATTTTTAATCTTTCATAATAATTTACAAAAATAGTGCCACAGTAAAAGTGACGCATTTCGTTTGTTAAATTCGCGCGTTATTTTTTCACTTAGAGTTGTTGTTTAATTTTCTTGGTCTACAACCTGTAAATTTGAATATTTTTTCCAGAGTGTCGAGTCGGATAAAAATTATCCGACTCCGGCCCCTCAAAAAATTCCTATTTAATAATTTTTGTATTATTTAGTTAAAAATAATTTTAAGTTTTTAATGATATTAAGTAATAATTGTGGGTTGGTTAGGATTAAGGAACATTTGTTGAACGAAAAGTTTGCTGACTTTAGACAAGTGACTCGGAGTAAAAATTTCTTAGTCCGACTCCGGGTTCTGACTCGCAAGAAAAATTTTTCAACTTTTGCATCATAATTTGACTATACTATCACTACTAAATGGAAAATACTTAGAAAAACATTTAAAATTGGTCAGTGTAATTGTTTTTCTTAGTATAATAAGTTTTATTTTTTAATTTAAAGTTTTAAAACATACTTAAAAAAATTGTTCAACTTTTGCGGCAAAACTTCACTTTGTTATCACTATTAAATAAAAATATTATTAAAAAAACATTTAAAATCAATCAATGCAATTTTCTTTCTTTGTAAAATTGCTCTATTTTATATTTTATAAAAATACTGCAAAAATTGTGATTCTTATGACGTTGTTAGCATTTATTTTCAGTATATAAAAATGATTGAATATTACTAGCTATACGTATTTATTTTCTAAAAAACACAATCTTAAAAAAATTTTCAGAAAAGAAAATGTTTTTTTTTTCAAAAATTAATTACATTTTTTGAAGTCGAAGTCGTATGAAAAACTCTGACGCCGACTCTGGCCCCTCAAAAAATAAAAAAATTTTACTCTGACTTTGGGCCTTCAAAAATTCCAACTCTGGCAAAAATCTCTGACTTAAACACTGATTTTTTCTCGTACATTCACAATAATGGAATAATTCAACAAAATTAGGAAGTCGCGTTAGTTGGTAGCTTCCTATTTAGTTTTTCATATTTTCTAATGCTTGATCGTAAAATAGTCTCTAGTTTTTTGAGTTCAAAATCAAATTTTTATTTATTTTAAGTATGTTAGAACAAAAAATGCTAAAATGCTTTTTACGGTGTTACTATACCATCTTTGGTTTTCGAATTGATACGTTGTGTATGTGGGCAGATGCTTATAAATATATAAATAAATAAATATATAAATAAATAAATACAACAACAACAACACACGTTTAGACGGCATTTTCCCCGAGATCGGGGGTTGCCGTTTGGCTACCTATGATGAAACCGAAATACCCCTCGACGCCATCCACATCTGTCACTCGCCTCAGTATCACGCAACCCCGCTTTCACCCTGTCCTTCTCCACCTGCTCTCTCCATCCCAATCGCGGACGACCCCTTCCTACCACTCTTTCAACCTCGAACTCCAACGCTCGCCTAATCCCGACCCTTTCATCCCTTCTCAACACATGTCCATACCACCGCAATCTCGATCTCCTTATCAATGTCACAATGTCCTCATTCAGTCCCATCATTAACATCAGCTCTGTACTACTCCTCTAATCCTTCACTTTAACCCCACACATCATCCTCACCATAGCTCTTTCAGCCCTCTGCAGTACACTTTCCTCCTTTCTCCTCAACACCCAAGTTTCACCACCATATACCATCGCTGTTCTTACACATGCTTTATATACCCTCCCTTTCATCTTCACTGACCATTTCTTTCCACACAATACCCCACCCAGTTCCCTAAATTTCATCCATCCCACATGAACTCTAGCCGTAACTGCGCTCAAACATCCTCCATCCGCATTCAGCTTATCCCCTAAGTAAACAAAGCTTTCCACTCTTTCAATACCACCACTCAACCCCGTCCTTGCGTCCGTCCTATTAATCACACCATGAACACTTTTCTTACATTTGAACGTGCCTTCCACCTTTTTCAGTGCCCCCTTCACACCACTACATCTCTTATGCACCCATATCTGACATCCTATACACAACACCGAGTTAGCCTTCACTCTCCTGTCACGTACCCCACAGGGGTCTATTTTACTTATCACTCGCTCCCCACCTTCCCCACTCACCATTACCTTCGTCTTACCAATATTATTTTTTAACCCTTTCTTTTCAATAACACTTTTCCATCTGTCAAATTTTAACTGCAATTCTTCCATGCTATCAGCCATCAAGACTAAATCATCTGCATACAAAATCTCAAATAACAACCCCTCCATTATGTTTCCACACACAACATCTATCAAAATTGCAAACAGAAACGGTGATAACACTGAATGCATACACTAAAAGCGTCCGACATCCCCCTTCCAACCCTCACCTTTGTCTTTGTCCCTTCATACAGCTGCATCACAGCTTTAACAAGTCTCTCATTCACTCCTTTCTTCCTCAACACCCATTCAATGACCTTCCTCGGTACTCGATCAAAAGCCTTTTCTAGATCCACAAAACACATGTACAATCTTCGTTTCTTTTTTCTATAATTCTCCTGCAACATTCTCACCATGAACAACGCATCCACCGTTCCCCTAACAGGCATAAACCCACACTGCATTTCATTAACTGTCACTATACTTCTCAACCTCCTCTCAAGCACCCTCTCCACTACCTTCATTCCGTGCTCTAGTAATTTCACACCCCTATATGACCCACAATCTCTCACATCTCCTTTGCCCTTATACAACGGCACCAACACACTGTGTCGCCAATCCTCAGGTATACCTTCATTATCAAACATACTGTTACCAATTCTCATCATAACTTCAATTCCTATCACCCCACTCGCTTTTATATGTTCTGCCGCCACTTCCGAAACCCCTGTAGCCTTACCTAGTTTCATTTCTCTAACTGCTTTCTCTACTTCCTCCATCGTCACCTTCTCTATAGGTCCGTGTGTGACCGCGGATTCTACATCTCCATCCCACTCATTCTCTTCATTCATCAACCTTTCCATATGAGCTTTCCACACCTGAGCTTTTTCCTCCTCATCTATGCACAACTTGCCAGATCCATCCCAAACACATCCATTCCCTATAACATCTTTCCTATCCCTCATTGACTGCTTTGCTACTTTGAACATTTTCCTCGAACTCACATTAAATTCCATTTCTTTCCTTAACCTATCTGATGCTTTCGTCATTGCAGTTGCCACTGCCTGTTTTGCAACCTTCTTAGTCTTCCTATACTCAGACTCCGCTTCCTCCGTCATGTCCCTTCTCCATACCCTAAACCTCTCCTTCTTGACTTCCAAAACCCTTCTTATATCTTCATCCCACCACCACGTCTCACCATGCCTACACTTTCCTTTCGTCCATCCACATACTTTATCTGCCGTAGCCAACACACAGTCCCTGTATCTCTCCCAAACATCTCCATCCTTACCACTCTCCCAATTTTCAGCCACCTTCACTTCAAATGCCTTCCTCACCTCTGCATCCTGCAACTTCCATGTCTTTATCTTTGCCACAAACTTATCCTTCTTCCTCCTCCCCCATTTCTTTTGATGTCACATCCATCACAACCATACTATGCTGCAACATACCAGGTATCGCCTTCACATTCTTCCTATGTTTGGCCCTTACCAATATATAATCTATCATCGATCTATGTTCCCCTGACCTATAAGTAATCAATCGCGCTGGTTCCCTTGTGAACCAAGTATTCCCCACCACCATGCTATGTGCATCCGCCAACTCCAACACTCTACGCCCTTCCTCATTCCGTATACCATATCCCCATCCCCCATGTACACCTTCATATCCGTCTGCATCCGCCCCCACATGACCATTCAAATCACCCAACAACACCACAAACTCATTCAACCCCGTTTGCCCAATCTCGTCAGAAACATCATCATAAAACCTATCCTTCTCCTCTTCCTTCCTACTTTGTTGCGGAGCATATCCTGATATCACCCTCACTATTACTTTTCCAAACACCATCACCACCACAATTACACCATTGCTTCTCCGCCTCACTTCCAACACCTTCTCCACCAACTCTTCTCTTACCATCACACCAACTCCTCCAGTACCATCATCCCCCTTCCACCACAATTTATATCTTCCACCTTTAGCCCCCACAAACCTTGTACCCTCACCCTTCCATCTGATCTCCTGTAATGCAGCCACGTCAATCATTCTTCTCTGCAGCTCCTCCACCACTTCCAAACTTCTTCCTGTCAACGTGCCTACATTCCAGGTACCAAACCTCCAACCCCTTGGTCTACAAGTAGTCCTTCCATCTATAGTGCCTTGCACCGCCACACTATAGAGTGGGGTGCCAGTAGCCAGACCATCCACAGGGCCTTGCACCACACTCATGGACTGGGTCTCCGGAGATTCTTCGCACCCTCTTCTGCCGGATACTGAGGGCCATTGTTATTTCCGTCATCATAAGTATTATTTTTGGCTAGTTTTTACGCAGGACGCCCTTCCTTACGCAACCACAGTTATAAGCGGTGGGCCTAGCCTTTGATGATCCAACATCACTCACAAGGCAGTGAGGGTCAGTTTAATGTCATAACCAGGACTGAATAAATAAATAAATACATAAATATATAAATAAATAAATATATAAATAAATAAATAAATATATAAATATATATATATATATTATTGGTATAAAAAAAGCATTTGACACCATCGATCATGAGTTGTTGTTAACGAAAATGTCGCACTATGGGTTTAGGGGACCTTTGTTAAAATGGTTTCAAAGTTACCTTGCAAATCGATCTCATTATGTTTTTATAGGTAAACATAATTCTTCCTTGTTGTCTGGAGTGCTTCAGGGTTCTGTACTTGGCCCTGTTTTTTTAATATATTTATCTATGATCTATGCAGATCGAATAAGGCTGTTAAATATATTATGTATGCGGATTACACTACCATTTTGGCGGTTGGCGATTCCATAGGTGAAGTTGAATGTATTCTTAACTCAGAGCTTGCAAGAGTTCACTTGTAGATAGTAAATAATAAACTGCAAATAAATTTATCAAAAACTTATGCGATTCTTTTTGGTCCTAAAATTGTCGCCAATTTACTAACATTCTCTATTTTCTACAATAACAATTTGGTAGGTCGATTGGACAAATTAGTCTTTCTAGGTGTTACAATCTTAAGCAATCTAAGCTGGAAAGAGCACACAATTAGCATATCAAACAAAGTATCTAAAAATCTAGGAATAATCTATAGACCGAAATCTCTTACCGAAATGTGTATTACTTAATTTATATTATTCTCTAATTTATCCTTATTTCCTTTATTGTATTGTAGTTTGGGGTCGTTACATTAAGTCTCATATTATTATCTTAGATAAATGTTTATACTTTTTTTTTCATAATTATTATGACCTGAAAAAATATGATCATATTTTAGATTATTTATCGTTGTCTAATTTGTTGTCTATTCCTAAACTGTACGTTCTCAGATTATTATTATTCTTGTTTAATGTCATAGTGAAAAAGAAATTTGTTATGTTTAATTCATATTTAATTAAATCTTCTGAATATTGCAAAAGAACAACTCGGCACACTCCATTATACAATTGTATTGTCTCTCGTACTGTTTTATTTTCATCTTCAGTTTTTGGTTTAAAACTGTGGTCAAAACTACCGTGTTCAGTTTTACAAGTATCTAACTATAGGCTATTTAAAAAATTGATTTTTGACTTAATTAACAACAACTCAACTTTTTTTACAGGATATGATTTAATTATTTTAATTATTTAAGTTATTTTATAAGGAAAAACTTCTAATATGAATTCAATTGTTTTGTTTAACTTGATAAATTTTGATGATCATTTTTGTTCTAAATAATTTCTGCTCGTTTTTGGTTTAATTTGACTTGTTTTCATTGGCTAACTATACGATTTTATTTTAATTTATGTTGTTTTTTTCATGTAAGTATATGTTTTTACCTGGTTTGGGTAGCCGTACAAGCTCGTTTGAGCTTCTGTGTCTCCATGCTTTTTGCTGAATAAAATTGATTTGAGTTGATGTATGTATACTGTGTCTCTATCTTGTTGATTCTTTGTTTGTTCAAAGTGAATACTTGACAATCATTTAAAACAGTTTATTTATAGTTATTATTTATACAGTTTATTATGTATATATATATATATATATATATATATATATATTTAAGCATGTGGCCACATACACAACGTATCATTTTGAACATCGAAGATTGTACAGGAATACCGAAAAAAGCCTTTTTCGTTTTATCATGCCTAAAATAAACAAAAATTTTGGTTTTGAACCCAAGAAACTTGAGAATAATTTTACGATCAACCCTTTAAAAAATTGAAAAACTAGACAGGAAGCTAACTAATGCAGAACATGCTGTGATATTCATCAACAATTGCATTTTTGACAGTCTTAATCCAATATATATATATCTTTATCTTTCAACATTAAACAGATTGCTCTCAACCAAAACATGGAAGTTATTGACAAAATTAACAAAACCACCGATGAGGATGTCAACGACAAATCCAAATCGAACAACGGCAAGATGATTCAAAATGATGCGTTTGTGGCACTGCAGAAGAGAGTGGACAGGATGGAGAGCTCGATCGACCGCATCATCTCCAAAGTTGATGCTGTCCTCGTCAAGTTGGAGGCTATTGAAAGAGCCAAGTCAAAGAGGAGAGAAAATATTGGAAAGTTGATGACCAGCATATCAGAGGTAAAAGCATTGTTTGCGGTATATTTCATTAGTAACGAATGAATCATTTAGTCAGTATTTCATATTCATTGTTTTGAAATTTTAAAAAAATGAAATTTTTCATACTACACCAAATTCGAGTTTAAAATTTTGGTTGTTTCGTCAAATCAAATTTTGTTGACAAAAATGGTAATGATACGAAAGCTTGTTTCGTCATTATATTAAATTCTGCCATAATTGTATTAAATTATTATTGAATATTATTGGACCAATTATCTCAAAAAATGATAGAGTCCATGAGTTACTCGGTGACGAATTAGACGATTTAGTTTTAACAAAGACATAGCATAGATTTGTTTTGAAATTCCAGATTTTTCTTTTGTCAACTGTTTCAGATCGAGTGATCCACAACATCACGGCCTGATAATTTATTTTAAAATTTTTTTAAGCGCCTTTAAATGTCACTGTTAACAGCTTTTGAATCACTTGCTATAAAGTTAAAGATAATGCATAGAGTTATTGTAATATTAGCCATCTATGGATCAGGTTCTGTTTCAATCACACGTTTTTTTGCTTCTGTGCTGGACATAACCTCACATCTTGGTGATAATGTTGTTCTAGCTGGTGAAAACACGAATGATAAGCTTCTCCCCGATAACGTTTTATAGAATTCGTTCAGGAGCAGTTTATAAATGATAGTGCCGAAAGTCTTTGTGATGCCATTTAAAGCAGTATATTGGAGTCAGAGTCTCAGGGTCATTCAGAGTCAAAGATTTTTGTAGTGCAATAACAATGAGATAAATTTTATAACAGACTCACAAATAAAAATATCTTCTAGGTAAATCAGCAAAGTAGTTTTTAATCAATTGTCATCTTATTTAAACTCTAACTCCTTGCTACCTGTATCTCAATCTGGTTTCAGACCTGCTCACAGTACTGAAACTTCTTTACTCAAAATACACAATGATATCCTTCTCTCTAGTGACAATAGTAATCTTACTCTTTTTTTTGTTCTTGACTTTTCCTCGGCTGTTGATACTGTTGTTGTCAGCAAATTTTTTCTATCAAACTAAAAAAGTTAAATTTTCTGTTGGTAAGGACGCCTTCCCACAAGCGGTGTTTTAGACTTGTGAGGATTAATTGAGAAAATTATTTATATAGCACTGATGAGCTTTGCGAGTGCAATTTCGTAAAATGCAAAGGTTATAGATAAGATTATCCGTAGTAACAAGAATGTGCTGACATGGGATGGGGGAAAATGCAATATTTGCTAAAAATATCACCAATGGAGTTGTAGGCTGTTATAAAGATAGAGCCATGGATGGAGTACCCTGGGATGCATTTTTTATGTTTTGTCATTTTTTATTTCACTTACTTCATTTTAAATAAAATCTAAACTTTATATTTAGTTGTCTCAGAGTAAAGCACCATCAGATTTTAAACTAACGATTATTTGGCAATTTTTTTTAAACATTTTCAAAAAACTCATATTTGATGACAAATTTGTCAAATTCAATAGAAAATTTAACATATTTTCATATTCATGATTACCTATATGTTTGAAAGGTCTAAGTTTGTTTATGTAGCTGGCTTGGCACTTTAGGCTTTTTAGTCTTCGATCTAGGCCGTTCAAGATTCAATGCTCCCCGATGATGATGTTTATGAGGATGCACTGAGACAACAAGTGTACGATGAATGGTGCTTATTTTATTGTAAACTGTTAGATGTGGAAGTTGTTCCACAAGAGAAATGGAACAAGCTCTTTAAAAAAAATCTCTATATCTTATATGGAGCAGATGAAAACTTCACTTTTCGGCGGCCTACAGGTTGATTCAGAGTTACCATTAAACTACCACGGCCTTTTCTATAGATTAGGCCCTGGTAAACCAACCAGGCATGACCTCATTTTGAAGTTGTTTCAGGAAACCAAATTCCAGTGGTTAAAGTACTTGTGAATTTAGTGAAGGGAAATAATTTAAGGTCTGATAGCTACACACTTACTCTTCAGTTACTGACCGCGCATTGACAAGGAATGTTACATTTTCCATAAACTAGCAAAGAGGTACATAAATTACAGGGCAAATGAGGCTGGTACAGCAGATCTGAAAGCAGCCGAATTTAAAAACAGCAAATATAACGAGCTGAAAAATAACACAAAATCGTCTCTTCTAGCAACTTTTTTAAAACATGTAAGAGCAAAACTCACGTAAATAAAATAAATAAATAAAAAGTTCTATATATAATAGAACATTTTTGTATTACTAATAAATTTAACGCTTACTGTATTTTAGAAAATGTAATAAAATGCCCATCTGTGAGAGCTCTATAAACTTAAAATAAACGTCGAACGGGAGAAACGATAGTTCCTTAGCTGTTGATTCAATACACGAGCTTGTACATTTATTATTTACTCGAAATTTTCATTAATTGATGAGAAACACGTGTTTAATAAGAGCTAAACAAATTGCTTTCAAGGTTTTTCTGGATCCTGCTGCATTATTTACCAAATTGACGTTTCGTTTTTGGTAGTGAGTGGCTTAAAGTCTTCAGCTAAGTTTTTGGCATCAATCATTTTTGTTGAGAGTCTAATTTTCTGGAATTTCTAAAAAACATAATCAATTGTTCTAGCCTTTCAATGCACTCTACCAAGTTTTTAGCTTGCATCACGTTCTTGCAACTTTTATTTGAATTAGTACATCGCTTTATGCAATCGAACAGATTAAAAACTATAGTTTTTTAATTGTGCAATATCAAGAGTTTTGGTTTCAGTTTCAGACAGCATGTGACGCCTCCAGCTACTCTACTGATCTCGCTCCCTTACTTTGAAGAGCACCACTGAGATGCCAAAGCTTGAATGACAGATAAGTAGTGATTTTTGCTGTGAATAAAAATACGCAGACTATGGTAATAGCAAATATAGGCAAATGATCCGGAAATCAGACATAGCAATTCCGTTCTTGAAGAATTGTGAACGTGTAGATTTGTGAACATATTATCTAACAAAAAACGACGTTGATGTAATGTGAGTTGGTGAAGTTATTAATAACACAGAATTCTACGAATTCGAATGATCTTTTTAGCCATGCTTATGAATATGGAGTAAATATAAGTAAAATTGCATTGAACTCGGGTCCTCATTTTGATTTTAAATACTGAAAAGGTTATATTACAATAAGTTTTAATTTAATCTATGTAATATATTTATTGTTTATAACAGGATACCTAAAGCTATTATTATTTTTACTGAACATTCTACGTTTAATTAAGTTTAAAATACAATTCCAAATTGAAATACCAGAGTGACGAACCGTCAGAGGAAAGAAAACGTCAGCAGATGGAGAAAGTGGTCAAAGAAGAATTGGATAAGTGGGATAATTAAAATAATGTGAACCATTGTAATTTACGTTATTTTTAAAATGAATATAATGTAAAAATTTTTAACGAAAACTTTTCGCTATCTGTGATGTTTAATATTTCTTAGTTTTATCATCCATAAAATTGCAGACAAACAATTTTGGGTATCATTGATGTTTTATGCTAAAAATAACTTTGTTGTGAAATTTTGAATATATTTTACAATATCAAATATACATAAATTGTTAGCATTAACTCTCTTCAGATATTTATGAGAAAACATTTTTTGAGTAATAATTATTTAGTATTTAGTAATATTTAGTTAAATACAAGCTCTTATCTGAAATAGTTTTATTCTTGTTATTTTGTTATTTTATAAGTTGAAAAATATAAAAAAAACAATAAATTATGCACAATCAATCGATCGATCGATCGATCGATCAGTCAATCATTCATTCTTTCTTTCATTCATTCATTCATTTTACTACTACTACTACTTCTACTACTACTACTACTAAGTTAAAAAATATAAAAAAAAACAATCAATCAATCGACCGGTCAGTCAGTCAGTCAATCAATCATTCATTCATTCATTCATTCATTCATTCAATCAATTTACAAATCAATTTATTGAAAAAGCGACGTTTCCGCGATGTTCAACATCACTTGTCAATGAATTAAGTGATGGGGAAGTAGTTAGAAAAGGAGAAAGAGTTCCAGAGAAAAGGACAAAAAAGCAGTTTAGCGTTTAACAGAAATGATAAAAAGTGAGAACAAGAAGACGATTGAAGACCGCTTAAGTTAAATTAAAATGCGTGTTTAATATTAAGGTAATAATTTTGATTGAAACTTGTACATTAATCTGAAACTTTCTTAAGTTGAAGCATGGTTTTAATGCATTCAAAAACGTATTCATTGTTTTGCTTTCAAAAAATCCTCACATGATCCCAAATTAAAATCCTGACAACAGCCTTGATTACAGGTTATCTAAATTGTAGAAATATAAGGGGGAACAATGAAGTTATTAAAAATATATAAACATTAGTTTATCATAATTTGCATTATTTAAAGTGGGTGCACCTTAATTGTTTCAAGACTTCACCGTTTTTCAGTGACTGCTTTAAAATTTATCACGATAATGATGCTCTGTAAAGAAAAACTTTGCCGATTACTTGAAAAATTTCAATCAAATAAAAAGAATTTATGTCGAAAAGTCTTGAATGAAGGAAAAAATTAATTTTAGTCTTCTAAAATCTTCTTAATTTTATGTTTATTAAAAGTAAAGATTTCGAGTAGATGAAGAAAATAATAATAGATGCACAAATCATTTAGAAGACAAAACAATGCACTTCTCGTGAATACGAATATGAACTAACTACAATTTTCATTTTGGTGTCAAATTTTAATTTTCACCTTATACAGGTATAAATATTTACTATTTATTTTAAATTAAATAAAAATATCTTTTTTAATAACCAAATTCAAAAATAACTTTAAAAATGTTTAAGAGTCTAAGTGTATGTGTAGCACACAACGACACAGGAATTGTTGAGTAGGTAGGTACTATTTAGCAGAGACGTCATAAGCATTTCTAAGCAGCTGTTTTCCATTTGTCGCTATGAACCTGTTTGTAAATCAATCGAAGTCACCTTGGTAACAACGTGTTGATTTGAAAATCTTGGATCAGCAGGCAGGTGTTCAAACTTGCAATTCAATCGAAACGCTTGCAGGCAAATTGGCAAAAAATATGAAAAGTGGTGTGTCGTGTTACGACGACAAAACTAAACACGATGGAATCAAGTGGAGTAGCAAATGTTAAAAATGACGAAAAAGGAAAAAGTACATCAACTGAAAAAAAACCAACTGGATTTTTTCATTCTTTAAAGAGAGGACTCCGATGTAAGTTAGCATAGTTAACAAACAAAATAAATATTTAGACAATATGTTAAACTGAACGTTCACATTCTCACCATAGCGATATGGGCTACCAAGCAGATCGAGGATGTTGCAAACAACAGTGATCTCAAAATTAAAACAACCTTGCGTGAACTGATCATCTATTGTGTTTTCCTTCTGATTTTATGCACAAGTTAGTTTTTTTTTCATTTCAGATATTTTTTCAAAATTATTGAATGATTTCAACACTAAGAACTGGAAAAAAGAATTAACGTGCTTTCAATTTCAAATTCAATTTAAGATGGCTTAAATTAATTGCAATTCTACTTGTGACATAGTGAAATCATTTAATTGCCATTTCTACTTTAAAAAATGAACAAAAATCTGTTAATTAAGAAATTACAATTCAAAAAAATCATTTTTTGATTAAGTCTAAAAAACCCGTAGCATCTTAAAAACTTTCAACAAAATTTCATTAGAAAAACTATCGAAGCTGTCCATAGAGTATTATGCTTTAAAGGGAGAGAGTGGGTGAGGAGGTCAAAAATTTGTGACTTTTGGAGGGTGGGTTAGGGTTAGGAAGGAAGGCTGTTAAAAGTTCATTGACACTTAGCTCTTTTTCAGTTTCTATTACAAAATAATAAAAGTTTTGTTAAAAACAATTGGTAAACAAATTTTCTAAAATTTAATTGTTTAAGTTCTTATCAAAGAAGTTTGCTTCTTTTACTTTTCTTTTACTTTGATACTTTGTTTTTGTTCTTTTTCATTTTATTCATGAAGTTATGCACGGTTTTATTTAGATTCTAAGGCATTAGATGACGTTGATTTTCAGTTGTGAATCATTATTCATAATATTGATTGATTATAATTATATTAAATATTTTTACTTGTTAGCAACTAAGTGTCAACTTTCAAGAGGAGTGGTTAAAAATTGTGACATTCAGGGTTACAATTTTTTTGACATTTCGTGACAATAGGGAGTAAAAAACGCAAAAACTTTCATGGACAGCTTTTCAGTTACATTTCGATAAAAGCTTTCGAGTACATTTCATAAAAATTTGTATGCTACGTAATTTCATTCTATTTAAAAAATTGGTGTCACAATTTAAAAATACTTTCACTGTTCATTATACGGGCAATATTTTCTGAACCATAAATAGCCTAATATTGTAGATAAATAGTAGGATAGGGTGAGGCAAGAAGCCATAGTTAAGCTTTTGATAAGTGACTACATCTAAAAAATGGAATATTTCTATAACATTAGTAATTATTTTACTAGATTGATATGTCCTTTATCTAATTTTACAAATTAAATTGTTCAAACATAGGTTTCCTATGTTTTATAACCCAAACCGTAGACCTCTATGAAATGGGCCTTAGAAAAACTATTAAAATAAGCCTTAAAAATAGTTTCAAATCCGAAATGTAAAAAATTTTTAACAGTTTTGTACATAAAATAAAAATTGGATAAAAAGAAAATAAAAATTTTATTTTTATTGCTAATTATTGTCACAATTGATACAAATAAAAGTTCCATGATGGTCTTCTTCCAGCCTATGATTCCAAATGTTACATTTTTGGCATTTTTTCCATTGAAATCCTGTGAAATCATTACAAAAAATTTGTGAACGTGTCCCACAAGGAGTCAAATCTTTAGATCGCTTGACAACCGTTTTGTTTTTTGTTTTACCTGCTACGACTTTTGACTTTGGCTCTTTCTTACCACAGTTTTTTTTTTTCTCTCTTGAAGTATCAACTTGTTTGGTGTTGATGTTAATAATGTAGATTTTTCAGTTTTCCTTCTTCTAGTTCGTGGTGTTGACGTTTTAATTGGTCAAACAATAGACTCCAAGATGGCTGATTTGCATCGTTATCAACCATTGTTTCGCTCAAAATGTCGGACTGTAAATTTATATCTTCATTGGAAGATGATGGTAATGGTTTATCGGTTAAATTTGATGGATGAAAATCTTTTTCGGAAAATATTTCAATATTTGGTGGTCAAAGTCCTGTTGATTCAAAACCATTCACTGCCTTTTCAATTCTAGCACTTTTGAAATAGGCTTATTTAAAAATCGAACCTATCTCATAAAAAGTTATTCTCCGACCTTTGTTTGCCATCATCTATGAATCGGCTGAAAATTTGTAAAAAGACTTCAAACTCTTGAAAAAAGTTTTATTAAGGGGTTGCAGCTTGTGCGTGCAGTGCGGTGGAAAAGTTAAGAGTTCGATGCCATTATCTCTAGCAAACATCACTGACTCCAATGTTTTATGGCTGTGATGACCATCCAAAAATATGATGTTTGTCATTCACAGATGATATGACAATGGAAACAAATTGTTGCAACCATTTTACAAAACAGTCACTGTCAGACCAACCACTTGGAGTGCAAGCCCCAATTGAATTTGATAGACAGCCATTCATTAACGAATTAATGCTAAGAATAAATTTAATTTAAAAATACAAAAAATGGTTCTAACCGATTAGAAGCTACTTTTGTATATTTGAAAATGATTTTTCTTTATAAAAAAAAACCTCTTTTCTTCACAAATGACGATCTTATTATAAAGAAATTAATTAAAAACCCGAACACAAAATTTATAACACGACCAATTTTTCACCCGCAAATTATATAAAACTTTGAAACAGAAGAAACAAATGGAGAAACGGCGTGGTTTTATATTCAAAATAATAAGGGTGCGTTCTAATTTTTAAAAATTAGTTTAACAACTTAAACAAATTTCGTGCAAACTGAACTTAGGCTTCTAACCCCATGCGGCATTTTGCCCCACTTTACCTTAAGTAATAGAGAAATACGTATATCGGGGCATGATGTCTGCGCCTATTGGTTCTTTCTTATTCTTATTTTAATTGGTTATAAGAAATTGTTAAATTTCCTCAACAAACATAATATACTTTTTCAAACTAGTTTGGCTTCAGAAAAAATTCGTTGGCCAATTTATTCAATATTAATACGGATATGCATGACTTATATTCTGTTTTTATGTCATACATCTGTAATAAGTCAACTTTAAAACTGTTGTAAACTTTAACGCTCGTTATTACTGACACGAATGTTATAACTTCAATAATCTCTATTTCCAACACCAGTGTAGTAGCTTCCAACGATCGTCAAGTTATCGTAAATCCGTAGGTTCAAGATTTCCGATATATGAACAAAACTGCTTCAAACGCAAAGTTTTATTTTTTGTTGAACGTTTATTTGAATGCTCTTGGAAAAACCAAAAAACAAAAAAAACATCAAAATTTGGCTGAGTTTATAAAAATTTGACAGAGCCAGTTATTTTTACAGTCAAACACAGAAAATAACACAACTTTTACCGAATCGTCGACAAACAAAACTGCATATTTTCTCATTGATAAATAAATCAAACGCAATCTTTGAAGTTTTAATAAGATCATCCAACATCTTCTAAATCATCCAAAATGACCTTAAAAAACTTTCAATATTTTTATTTTTCTAATGCCAGAACTAATCTATAATTTGATTGCCGTTTAATAAATATTTGAAAACTTTTTAAAAATAACCGAAGGTAATAGTCATTTCAAAGTCTTTGATATTTAAAAAAACGAATAATTTTTGTCGTTAATTTATAATTTGTATTAAAGAGATATGAATGATAATTTTCGAATAGCATCAAACGCGCGTTATTTTAGTCATTTTCTTATACTATTTATTTACTGGTTCGTTCTAAGTCGTTTTTATTTTTTTACGTTCACATTTGCTTGCCATGTCTTCTTTATTTTTGATTGTTCGAGGCTATATAAGCGCGTTTTATATTTCAGTCTTCAATAAAAATAAAGAAAGTTTTGAAATAAAATGAATACACATACAAGCATGTATCATTTATGTAATTAATTGCAGGAAATTAAAAAAAGAGAATTAAACTTAAATATAATAAAATATAAAACTTATAGCATTATTTAATAACTTTTTACAAAATCGAAATTAAATTACGAAAAGAACAATAGTTGGAATGTTATTTGTAAGAATTTTATTTCAGGCACAAAAAATATTTTTATTTTATTAAACAGGAGAAAATAGAGAGATAAGTAAAAATGTTGAAAAATTAATGCCATTTAATATTTCATTATAACAAAATATTTTGTATTATTTTAGTGACGTTTGGCATGATGAGTCCTACGATGTTCACTTACGCAAATGTTCTGACCACGTTGTTCGTTCAGACACCTGGAGACAACAAAAACCCCGGATCAAACTTCCTTGGAATGAATTCGCCAGGCGATTATTTTGACGTAAGATATAATTGACGTAAGATATAATTTTAAATTACACGCTGCACACAAATCACACACACCTACACACATTCACAAACACTTGAGACAAATTTATATTTATTAAAATGCCAGTTTACTATTGGTATTATTGAATAGTTATCACGATAGTTATAGCTATAGATAACGTGTTTAAAAAATAGATGCGAACATTTAATGATTAAAATAAAGAGAGGCAAATAATTTTATTGAATGAATTCACTAGTATTTGAACAACGTTCTTCTTCCTGGATTGTATCAAAATTGGGAAAAACGCTACAACGACGACACGTCAATCTATGAAGGGTTCGGATTTATATTTTATGAAAACAAGCTTCAAGGAGTTCCGAGACTACGCCAAGTTAGAGTCACAAATCAGTCCTGTTTCATTCCCGATGATTTCAAAAGTCAGATAAAATCTTGTTACGCATCATATTCGCAGAAGAGCGTTGACACGGAACCATTTGGAGTTAAAAATGGAACAGCGTAAGAATTTATCAAATGTTCACTTTTTAGCAATGCTCTTTGTATTTAAGTTCAAAAACTGAAGTTATTGAAGTTTTTTTATTCGTCAAATTTGCTATTTGTACATGTCTACACTTGAGTGGCGATGACATTTAACTCAAATAATTGCATTTCTATCAAAACAAACGTAAACCACTTTGCAGCCACAATTTTATTTTTGACATGAAATTACTATTCACAAAAATGAAAAATACGTTTAAAGGATAAAAAATATTTATTTTGTTTATCGATTGTGTTCTAGCCTGAAACACAGTTCACTGAATTTTAACATAATTTCACATTTCAGAATTGGCTCCAATCCTGGCAACTTTTAGAAGCTCTTAGCACAACATAACAAATATTATAGTGGTTCAGTGTAAAAACCACTCTGTCATTATGACAAATAAATGAGATTAAAATCCTTTTTGACTGAGTCTGACTTTCATTGCTTGCGTTGTATAAGCTGCAACAATCTTTTTATCTAGCTTATTCTAATGTTCAATCATTTTTGAAATAAAAAATCTTCCTTTTATTGCTCCTGCCCCTTATTTAAAGAGTTTGTATTTGTGACCTCTTGTGCTACAGCCCGCCGTAAAGTTAAAAAATATGAATAGATCATCTTTGCCTGTTAGTCTAAGCAATGGTCCCAAAACCCAGCCCCGAAGTAAACCGCTTGTGACCTTTATCCAATTTGAATAGGTCTTTCTGATAACCACTTTCTATGCGCCTGCCAGTTGGTTAACCAATTCAGCAATTTTCCTCCTATAGTTGCAGCTTCCAGTTTTGTGCGTAATCGCTTGTGCGGCACTTTATCAAAAGCTTTCGCAGAATTAAGATAAATTACTTCTACAGCTTTACCCTTATTCAAGTTTGGCATACACCGTTTCAAAAAATTCCAACAGATTTGTATGACATGATCTTCTATTTAAAAAAACGTGTTGCCTTCTGCCAGTTATACTATTTTCCGATACGTGTTCTATGATCTTTCTTTTAATAATTCTTTTTAGAATGTTACAAGCAATACTTGTCAGACATAATGGTCCGTAGTTGCACGGTTCTCTTTACTCTTTTTCTATTCCTTTCTACATCTCTGGTGATTTCAACTTGCACTTCAATAATTTATCATGTTCTTACACTCGTAGATTTAATGATATTTTGTCTCTTTTTAACTTAACTCAATATTGTTCTTTTCCTACCCATACTTCTGGTAACACTATTGATTTTATTATAGCTTCATCTTTTTCTAAGCCTATTAATATCTCTGCTAGCTCTGTTCCTTATTCTGATCACCTTCTTATTGAATCCGTTTTTTCATTAGATTTTCTTCCTTCAAATTCAACTATGTCTATTTCTAAAAGATGCTGGTCTTCTCTTAATAAAGATATTTTTCTTCAATCTCTTACTGAAACTATTTTTGATACTACCTTATTTTCTGATGTTAATGATTTTGTCTATGCTTTTAATATCTACATTACTTCTATTCTTGATAAGCTTATTCCTCTTAAATCTTTTACTTATAGGCTCTATTCTCGTAAGGCTCCTTGGTTTGATTATGCTTGTGTAGTAGCCAAGAAAAGTGTTAGAAGATTGGAAAAAGCCTATAGGTTAAATCCATCTAACTCTCTTTATTCTATCTATGAATCTGAATTGATTAATTATAAATATCTACTATTCTCTAAACACTCTACTTTTCTTAGAAATTCTATAACATCTGCTTCAAAATCTAAAAATAGGTGGTCTGTTCTATCTAAACTTCTACATAAAAAATCCTCTCACTCATCTATTTCTGCTCAACCGTTTCATGACTTTTTTGTAAATAAAATTACTTATTTAAGAACATCTAATTCTAATTTTTCTTCTCATAACTTTACTAAACTTACTACTGAATCTTTTTCTGTATTTACTCCAATAAATCTTTTAGAACTAACTAAAATTATTAATTCGATGTCGTCTACAACCTTCTCTACTTCCTTCTGATTTACTTAAAGAATTTTCTTCAATATTTTATCCAATCATTCTTAAATTAGTTAATTTATCTTTTTCCACCTCTAAATTTCCTACTTCTTATAAGAATTCTATTGTTATTCCTATTCTTAAAAACCCATCCTTAGATCCTACCTCTTTATCTAATTATAGACCTGTAACTAATATTACTTTCATCTCTAAAATAATAGAAAAAGTAGTTTTTAATCAACTGTCATCCTATTTAAACTTTAACTCCTTGCTACCTGTGTCTCAATCTAGTTTCAGACCTGCTCACAATACTGAAACTTCTTTACTCAAAATACACAATGATATCCTTCTCTCTAATGACAATAGTAATCTTACTCTTCTTCTTGCTCTTGACTTCTCCTCGGCTTTTGATACTGTTGACCATACTATTCTCTTGAGACTGCTGCATCTTTCTTTTAATATTACTGATTCTTGTCTATCTTGGTTTACTTCTTATCTCTTTAATCGTTTTTCTTCTGTTGTTCTCAATAATTCTACTTCTAACTCCTCTACTCTTACTTTCGGGGTACCTCAGGGTTCTATCCTTGGCCCTCTTCTATTTATACTCTATACTTCTGAACTACCTCGTATTATTAATAACTTTTCCTTCTCTAGTCAACTATATGCTGATGATTCTTACATTTATACTTCTTTTCCTCCATCTAATCTCAATAGTGTTCTTCATAATTTATCTCTATGTCTTTCTTAAATTATCGCTTGGTCTGACTCTATGTGTCTTAAAGTTAATCTTTCTAAGTTTGAATTAATTTGTTCTAATAAATCTAAACACTCTATTACTATTCCTCCTATTATCTTACCTGATTCTAAAACTCTTGATGTTTCTCATAAGTTTCGTAGTCTAGGTTTTATCTTTGATTCTACTATGTCTCTCTCTTCTCAGATTAATAGTGTTGCTAGAAGCTCTTACTTTCATCTACGTAGAATAAAAAAAACTTTTGCCTTTTCTTGATGATCCTACTCTTTTCTTTCTTGTTACTTCGTTAGTCTTATCTAGGATTGATTATTGTAACTCGCTCTACTATGGTCTTCCTGACTCTATACTCTATCCTTTAAGTAAAGCTTTTAACTCTTCTGCTCGTCTAGTTGCTCGTGCCCCTTTCTTTTCTCATATATATCCTTATCTTGTTCTCTTGCACTGGCTACCTATAAAATATAGAATAATTTTTAAAATTTGCGCTTTCATGTATAAGTCTCAATCTAAATTATTTCCTAAGTACTTATCAGATATATTAATTGAACCTAAACGCCCCATAAAACGAAATAGTATTATTTTTAATGCTAATTGTAGCTTGATGATCAGTTAAAAAATCGATACCCAAAATAATATTATGGCTTAAATTTCTTATAACATGTAATTTGATATGTAATTTTAAATTCTGAATCTCTACTTAAGTGTCTATAATGCCTAAAACTTTAACTGGTTTTCCATCTGCTGCATATAAATATGAATGCTGTGAGTATAAATGATGGTTTGTTAAATTTAAGCGTTTTGCAACATATTCATTAATGCATGATACCTTAGCGCCTGTGTGAATTAATGCTTTATAATTATGCTGGCGTATGCGAATGTTAATCATATTGCTGTTATGGGTGTCAAACTTTGAACTGTCGCGTGTGTTGTGTCGTGTGTTGAATGATATCGAGTGCTGTTGTTGTTTGATGCGAGTAGCAGCGAAACGTCATTCTGATTTAACCGATCTACACATTGCAGAAAAATGATTCATCTTGTTACATCTGAAACACTGCTTGTTGTAAGATGGGCATTTTCCTGATGTGTGTTCTGTTCCACAGTTATTGCATTTATAAAGTGTTAGTTGTTTAACTGGTTCGTAATATCTAACTCTTCGCTCGTTGCTCTTGCTTCGTGGAAGAAACTGTTGCTGTCTATTACTGTCTCTAGGAGAGTTTGAACGTGATCTACTCGATCTAGATCTACTGCTACTTGGTCTGCTGTCACTACGATTTCTTGATTTCCCATTATTGTAATGATCTGATCTGCGGTCTTTGTCGTAATCATAATCATCTCGCTCGCGACTACGCAACTTGTTCTCATTATCATCAACTCTTGCAACTTTTATATTATTAATTGACTCTTCTAATCTCATCAGCGTGTTAGCGATTTCATTATTATGGGAGTTATGTAAACAATTGTTTTCCACTAACCTCGCTGCTTCATAAAGTTCGTCAATGTTATTTGGTTTCATGATGGTGATGTCTCTTCTGATATCGTCACGTAGACCTCCAATAAGTGCGCCGAAGTAGTTGTAATCGTTCTTGTCGACATCTGCCGTGGAAGCTATAGAACTCATACGAAAAAAATAATCATCAACAGATTCAAACAATCCTTGTTTCGCTGACCAAATATTTTTCAAATTTTTCCAACGCAAATTACTAGGGTTGTAACGCTCGTGAAAACTGCGTTTCAAATCGTTGTATGAACTTTTGGTGTGCGATGGTAATGAATTCAACCAATGAAGTACTGGACCTTTGAAAAGCAAACTCAAAAGTGCGACAATCGTTTTCATGTTATCGACGTAATATTGACTTTGAGTATTCGCATCGTTGCTTGGAAGCCAGTGTTTAAAAGTAAGCCAATTCCCGAAGTACTGCCACCAAGTTAGTGCGTCTTGATGACTGCCGTCGAATGATTCCGGGTATGTTGGATCGTTGATGGATGGTGTTTGAAACATTGTTGGAGTGTTTGCATATCGCTTAATGTTGCAGGTGCGTTATTATGCTTTGGCTGTTGTTGCGCATATGCGTGTGATTGAGGTATTGGTAGCTGTGCATTTGATGTAGCTGTTAGTATTGGCGATTGAAAGTGTTGTAACACTGATTGTTGTTCGGGTAAAAAATGTGGTTGTGCTACTGATTGAATAAGTTGTAGTGCTGCTTGTAATTGTGAAACAGTTGGTGTGACAGTGTTAATAGGTTGTGTGCATTGCGGTAATGTTAGCGCGATTTGTTGAGTTGTGTTCGCTTTTGTTGCATTGCATTCTAATTGCGTTTGTGGTAATGTGTGTTGATCGTGATGTGGTGAAGATGATAGCGATGGTGTATCTGGTAGTGGAGGTAATGGTGATGAACAATGTGTAACGTCTAATTGTGGATACAGTGGTGGATGTAATGGTGTGTTGGGTGATGAAGGTGGTAGACTGGGTTGAGGTGCTGATGGAACGGGATGCGAAGAAGTTGTTTGTTGCGGGTTGCTTGATGATTGGTTGAAGTTAAAAAATCTATAGTTTTTCTTAAACAGTTCACTAAGTTTATCGCTGCCAGATTTTTTGCTTCGAGTGTCATATGGATGTTTCGTCATTGTTTGAATGAAATGTTCGCATCGAATGATAAACTAACCTGCTACTTGTAGTTCGTCAGAGATTCTTATTTTTCTACTTTGTTAGTTTTTCTTTTGTTTCTTTTTTTTTTGTTTCTTTTCTTTGATTGTTTTCTTTCTTTTTTTTCAGTTCATATTTTCTCGGTGGGGTTTTTTTCTTAGAGGTGTTCGAGGATGTTGAAGGTTCTCCACCATATTATGTGGATGCTGTTCTTTGTATGTTGTGTTATTATGTAGATAGTTCTGGTCCTCTATCTTGATGTTGCGATGAATAATGTATCCACATAGGAACAGGGAACTAGCGGATCACTGATGTGGTGCTCGCGATCAAACTCGATTATCGTAAACGAATGTATAGTGGTGACGAATTAAATTGATGACTTACGCGACTTAGTTATTATGTTAGTTAGTTATATTATATTTCAGCGAATTAAACACAAACTTACCCATTTTAGTTTTACAGTTCTTTTTCCAAAACAAGGTGATATATAAAATAAATGCTACGAATAAAATCTATTTGTATGTCTTGAGTCCTATCTGTTGTGTGAGTTATGTTGTGTCCTTCCCGTCTTGTTCTGTCTCTCGAGTAGACTCGTGTATGTCTTATGTTCTCCTTCCCGTCTCGTCTGTCGTGTAGTTCCGTGTGTGTCTTCTGTAGTTTCTCTTCCCCCCCCCCCCCCTCTGCTTAATGATGCATCTCCTTATATAGGAGAAGGTGCCTGCGCGTTGGCGTTTTAGTTTCACATGCGAAAATGGTTGCATATGGATCTAATTACCTCGTCTGTAATACTTTGCATACCAGTCGTGATGAATTGCGGTCAAGTGTGTCTTTCTCTTATTTAATATTTCTCTGTTTGTGGTTTCGTCTGTCTGTGTGTATGCATTTTGCTGCGTGAATATATTCCCTCTGTGGAACAATAAATACGTCAGTCGTGTTTGTATGTGTGTATGTGTTGATTGATTTACATGATAATATCATTGTGTATTTTGAGTAAAGAAGTTTCAGTACTGTGAGCAGGTCTGAAACCAGATTGAGATACAGGTAGCAAGGAGTTAAAGTCTAAATAGGAAGATCGTCTTCTTGTTCTCGCTTTTTCTTAACTCGTGTTAAATACTCTTTTGCCAAATCTGCTTTTTCTGGTCCTTTTCTCTGGAACTCTCTACCTACTTCTCCATCACTAGCGAAGTTCAGAGCGGATCTCAAGACCAATCTGTTTTCAAAATTCATTGATGAGCGCTGTTGAACATCGCGGAAATAGCGCTTTATAAGCTAATTGATTGATTGATTGGCTTCTGTCATCTTTTTGAACAAGGGCACTACTAATGCATTTTTCTAATCTTCTATGGATGAGTAAGGCTACTTGTTATAAGTGGTTGTCAACATTTTTCTTATTTTTATTCAGACTTATTTCAAGAATTTTGGATGCAAACCATCTATTCCTGGGCTTTTATCTAATTTTAGATATGCTAGTTCTTCAACTACTGCAGCTCTTATTTGGAAGTTATTACTAAAGATATTACAACTTGAATTATCATAAGCTGTTAATATGTTTTCGTCCTCTTCATGAGTGAATACATATCTAAAATAATTTTGTAGTTCCGTGGCCTCAGTTGTTCTTTGAGTGATTTTAGCTTAAAAACTTTTCCATTTTCGATTTCCATAAATTTTTTGCAGAGCCTAATTCTTACTTTCATTTATTGAAAACAGACAATTTAATTATATTTTAAAACACCAAAAGATGAAAAATTAACAAGAAACTAAAATAAATGTGTTTCATATAACGTCGAGATTTCTAAGAGAAAACCGTAAATTGCATAACCACTATTAAATTATTTCATATCATTAACCAAAAGTAGCGTACACGCAAAATACTTGCAATGTTTTTTTTTTCATTTTCGATTATTAAATTGGATAATTTATGAAAAAACACGATTCGGCGGGATTCCGTTGTGAAATGCAGTTGCTTCATTTAATTTTTCGTGAATTCTAGGAGAAACTTTACATTGTGCAAATGGGACGCTATAAACGTGTACCTGTACACATAAACGCCAAATTGTAATGTCATTATTCAAATAAAAAATTCATAAACTTGAAAAATTACGTGCCCCAGACATTTCATTTGTCTGCTGGTCGATCCAGCTCTGCCCACTCAGTAAAATTCTGGATCGGAAACCATTTTTTGTTACTCAACTATAAAAAAAAGCGAATATAAAATAATTGCCTAAGATTTGTGCATTTATCTTGGCAAACACTTGACTACACTACACACGCATGCTTATACGTGATATAGTGCATCATATAAAAAACGTCGCAGTTCCATTGCTTTTTAACCTGATCGTGTGACGTTATTAACATGTCTCGTTAACTCTTTAATTTTGTAATTTGTCAAAATCGTCGGACCAATTAATTATATGACGCTGGACGCAGGAGTTTTTATAGCTCCACCCATATGAACATTCACAGATGCACGTAATAAGGATAAAGGTTTTGAAAATTTCAATTGTTTCAATAAGTTTTTCACCAATATTTCAATATCGTTTTAAAAAATTTCGTAGATGGACGTACAGCTCAGAGAAGACATTGAAAGGTTCTGGAATGACAGCAGTAGTTAATTCATACGACGGCGGAGGATACTACATTGACCTCAATACAACCATGAATTCATCGCAAATAATCATCAATAATCTAAAAAACAATCTTTGGATAGACAGGGGAACAAGAGCTGTCTTCATCGATTTTACAGTTTACAACGCGAATATAAATCTGTTCTGTACTGTAAAGTGAGATAAACTTGAATACATGTTTTAATCTGCATATTGAAAGCTGCGCATATTTTGTGACATGCAATTTTTCATTGATCATTTACAAAATTTTAAGCAAAATAATTTCCTAAATCAACTCATGTAAGAATCGGACTATACTAGCAGATTTTTAAATAGAAACGTCTGCGACATCATGGGTATTTTATTTTAACTGTTTAACTGTAGAGTATCTCAATGAGGCACCTTTGTCTTGAAGTTCATCTATCAGAAAAACATTCGTGACAAAGATCTGCTATCGCCTTTAGTAATTTATAATGGAAACAATAAGATAGAGCAATACCAGCACAAAACATCACGACTGTGCGTTTATATTTATCAAAAAAGGTCGAAAAACTAATAATGCCAAGATGTATATACCTAATTGATATGATTTAGAAACTGGCCATATTGTTGGAACATTATTTTCAATAGAAACAATCATTAAAAATTAAAAAAAGTCACACAAAAACAAATTATAATTCTTGACACAGATTGATAGCAGAGTTGCCTCCAACAGGCGGAATTGTACCATCTTATGTCATAAGACCTGTCAAATTGGTGCGATACAACACTATCGGAGATTTCGTTGTGCTAGCCAGTGAAATAATTTTTTGCATTTTTGTCATATATTATATTGTGGAAGAAATCCTTGAGGTTAGATAAAAAATGTTATCAACTTTTTTTAATGGTTGTTACAATTAAAATACAACATAATAGATAAAAAAGCTTCGATGTTCCTATTTCAAAGAATTTTGGAATGTGCTGGACATAGTTGTTTTATTGATAAGCATTTGCTGTATAGGTTTCAATATCTACTGCTTTTTGGAAGTCAGAAAAATTCTTGACAAAGTGAGCACAAATCCAAATGTGTATGTGGATTTCGATTTCATCAGCTACTGGCAAGTGGTTTTCAATGCGGCAACGGCCATCATGGTCTTTTTTGCTTGGATAAAAGTAAAACCCCTAAAAATAGAAAATAAATCAGTATGATTTAATGAAAAACAAATTTTTTTGAAGATTTTCAAATACATAAGTTTCAACAAGTCAATGTCTCAATTGTCCAGCACACTTGGAGCAAGTGCTAAAGATTTAGGAGGATTTGCTATTATGTTTTTTATAATTTTTCTGGCTTTTGCACAACTTGGATACCTTATGTTTGGAACTCAAGCAGTTGATTTCAGTACCTATTCCTATTCAATGTAATATTTATTCATATTCAGTGTATTATTTATTCATTCACATTGATAAAAATTAAAATTAACCCGATAAAAAAATATAAACAAAATCTAAGATTTACATTGTTTCGCATCATCTTGGGTGATTTCAACTTTCAAGCATTGCAACAAGCAAACAGGGTTCTTGGTCCTATCTACTTCATTCTTTACGTCTTCTTTGTATTCTTTGTACTGCTCAACATGTTTTTGGCCATCATTAACGACACTTATTCTGAAGTGAAAGCTGAACTGGCCGATCAGCCAAATGATATTGATGTCGCTGGATATTTCAAACAGGTTTATTTAAATTGAAAAATAAATAATATTATTATTATTAACTATAATTATGTACTGAGTTAAATAGCGCATGTTGGTCGTTTTATGAACGCTTTGCAATGTTCTATAAAATACAACATCCAAGCATACAGAACAAAAAAAGAAACATCGCGTGCTTAATCGATAATAAACAATTCACATTCGAAACGTTGATGCGCAACTGTTCATTAAGAAAGTCAGGTAGATGCTGAGATAATCCTGAATAAATTCTGTACAAGCATTAAACACCATAAATCAATAATTTGTATATAGATGATTTCCTGAAAATGGTACTCAAATCTATCGTGAGGAAAAAGTTATGGCCAGTTGGAAATATGTCCATTTTTCTCAAAACGAGTTTTTAATTGACCGTGGATTATCAGTAAAACAAAGAAACAGCTTGCTAAAAAATAGAATGTATGCAAATTTTATAAATTATGAAACATAAACGCCACGAAAATAATTTTAAGTAAATTTAACAACTAGGTTTCAAAAAATCGCATATCGGTGTTACATATTCGACTTCTTCTCTGTTTCAACAAATAGGGCATGAAGTACTTTGAATTATCTACGAGAATAAAATTTCCAGTGTCTACTTTGAATTATCTACGAGAATAAAATTTCCAGTGTCATAATTAATAACTTCACCCATTGTGCCATCATTTGTCGTCATCCTTGCTCAAAAGTAGAGTTTTGGACTGAATGGGCGTTACATTGTCACCAAGTCCCGTGGCAGTGTTTGCCCCATGCAACACACCAGACCATGTTTATGACATGAGCACTATGCTGTACCCCATTGTTTTTGACTTGGGTGATATTTAAAACGTACAACTTTGAGGATGTCTTCCGGTGCTGTACTGAAGTCAGTTACAAATTTACATTCCAATTTCATCACACAACATGACACCCGATAAAAAAGTTTATAGCGACATCTCTGCAATGTTTAATGGGTCTTCTATCTTTTGACCAAGACATTTGTTCATTAAAACTAACGAAAAGACCCGGAAGATACAAATAAGAATAAAAAATATCGAGGCCGTCGTGCCTTGCACTAATCTGACTGCTCGTTGTATTCGAATTACGTGACTCGTGCCAAGTTATCATGCCCGATATTTAATAATAATAATGATGTCATTTTATATAGCACAACGACAAGCGACTGAGCACATTATTATTATTATAACAGACACAGAGTGTATAAATAAATGTGAATCAACGCGTAGCACTCTCTTGCGTGGGATAGACGGGATTTCTTTACATTCAAACCCGGCACAGCATCAACAATGCCGGTTACCTTAACCAGTACACCCTCGTGCAGCCCAAAATCGAATACATTCATCGTGCCATCATTTTTAAATCAATTGTATTTTTTTTATAATATTAATTTTATTATTTATGGCATTTATAGAGGGCTAATAACGTGTTGTCGAAGTTGAATTTGAAGAAAAATAAGATTATTGAAATTCAGAGAGCAATGAACAGAGCTGATGCGAATGATGACAAAATGGTTGATTTTGACGAGTGGAGAAATGATTTAAAAATGCAAGTGAACAATTTTTAGTTATCGTAACATCAAGTTATTTTGACTTAATAAAAAAAATGATAGTTAACATTAAATGATTATCAACACATTTCCGTTTAATACAAAATGCAACTTAACATGTAAATATAATCATTTAAAAATATGTTTCAGCAGGCAAAATTTTGTAACAATATTTTGAATATGCAGGCGGGGTTACGCAGATTCTGAAATTGAAGCTGTGTTTTCGAAGTATGATGTCAACGGAGATAGATTGCTGGATGAAAACGAGCTGCGTAAAATGCAAAACGATCTTGAAAGTCAAAAAGTTATTTTTTTAAATTTTTTATTCTATATATATATATTATTATTATTATTATTCGAAAATTTGTTTAGCGCTAATTCTCAAAAGCACTATCTAAAAAAAACAGTTGAATTGCTATGATAAACCAAATTTTATAATGAAAACAAAAATGATTTCAATAATTTCTTGAACGATTTTTCTGTCAGTTCGGGCTGTCTTAGATAACTTAGTAGACTATTCCAAAAGGCTGGTCCACTTACTGAGAAACTTCTCTCCGCCATTTTCAAGTTGGTTTGGGGCACACATAACAAGTTGCTATCATCAGACCTTAAGCAGACAGTTTTAAAAGACAGTTGTTTCGGTGCATGCCTTTCTTTCAAATAAACTGGCGCTATTCCCTTCATACATTTGAACATGATTGTTGATATTTTAAACAAAATTCATTTTTTGACCATCAACCAGTGCAGTTCTCTGAATATCGGGTAACATGGTCAAACTTTTTTGCACCAACCACGATCTTAGCTGCCCGATTCTGAATTGACTGAAACACAGATAACGATTTTTCAGGCAAACCATAAAATAAGCTGTTGCAGTAATCCAGTCTAGAATGAATAAACGAATGCACTAAACTTTGAATAACATCTTTGGTTAAGCTTTTGCGGATTATTTTTAATTTTCGCAGTTGTAGGGTTGCAGTACCAGATAAAAACTTGATATGTTCAGTCATTGCCAGCCTAGAATCAAAAATGACACCCATGTTTGTAGCTTTGGAAATGAAGTTTATATTTGAGCCCTCAATGATAACTGAATTAATTTTAATTCTAGACAACTGTTGCCTAGTTCCAACCAGAAGAATTTGCGTCTTGCTTTGATTGAGCTTAAGACGATTATTATATTAGCGAACCAACGCATGAATTAGGTGGTGTTTTGGACTTGATCGTTACTTCTCGCTCTTTTCCTATCGTTAACAGTTTGATTTTCCCAGTGGAGTGTTATCAGATCATGGATTAATCCAGGTTTGTTTGTCAATCAATCAAGTTATAGGTACGAGAAGTAAAAAATGGTTCGATCCTGGCGACGCATAAATGAAGAAAATCTCGCATTGTAAATTTCGAAATCCCCGATTGGAGGGGCCATGCCAAGAAGATAATATGGGAACGCTGTTAGAGATTTTTGTGAATGAACTGAGGAGAATTGCAGACATAATAGCACCAGGACACGTGGTTGAAAGTCAATATGATTCGTTGACGCCGTGGTTTAATGGAGATTGTTCAAAGTCCAAGGCATACTGTAGAAAAATGGAAAGGAAGTACAGAAAGACTTTAAATCATCATGATAGGGAGGTGTGAAAAAATGCTCTGCGATCAAAAAATATTTTATTCTGCGAAAAAAAAAATTTTATTCGCCCAAAAAAAAAAATTTGTTTTGGAAAAAAATCATTTTTGAAAATAACAGAAACCCTAAAAAATTTGGACTGTGGTAAATAAACTGTTGTGCAAGGAAAAAACTTCAAATTCATCTACCAACTTTGAAGCGAACGATTTTGCTACACTCTTTTATGACAAAATTAAAAATATACGAGAATCGATGGTGTATGATGAGAAGTTTAATGTCTGGTGTCTGCTGCAGCAACTTGTTTTCAGTTTTTCCTGTTTACGACGAAAGCGAAATTGTTGAAGCAGTTTTGAACTCTCCATCTAAAACTTGTTCACTGGATTGTGTTCCTTCACACTTTTTTAAAAAAATATGTCGGATTGTTTTCAAAATATTTGACTGATTTTATAAACTTATGTTTACGTACTGGTGAGTTTCCAGCTATGTTAAAACATGCTACTATTTCTCTTTTGAAAAAGAAAAAATTAGACAATTCTGATCTTAATAATTATAGACCGGTATCAAATCTGTCGTTCTTGTCAAAATTAATTGAAAGATTAGTTTCTAAGGAGCTTATGAAACACTTAGATAAAAACAATTTGTTACCGGTATATACGTATATATATATATATATATATATATATATATATATATATAGGTAAAACATTGCAGTTTATATAGAGAATATAGCGAATGTAATAAAAAACTGGTCAGCACTAGAAATTCGGTTCATTAATAATTGCATTATGGTCTTTTACCAGCATATATATATTATAATATATATATATATATTATAATATATATATATATTATAATATATATAATTTTTTTATTGGAAATAGTTAAATTTGTTGAAATTAAAAATATAATTATTATCCTAACTCATCATGCAGAGACCTATTTCGATTTTTAACAAATCATTTTCACTGCAGCTTTGATTTATATTGTTTAAACAAAGGAACGGTAGCGAAATTAATTAGTGTCTTTTTCTTCCTATTTGTTGTTATCATTTGCTTCTTCCCCATCGTTACTGAACTTAGTCTCAATAGTTCAGAAAAGCTAATAGATTTTCAGCAGCAGAAGCTAAGATACTAAGTTCATACGCTAAGTTCAAAGAATGATTAGTGCTAGCCATAAATTCTGCTACACAAACATTCTGATTATTATAAGTAAAATTGAGTGAATTTTGTTTGAGTTTAAGATTAAGTACAAAATTTGTCACTCCCATACGCTACAGATGTTCTTACATCTTTTGTAATTTTAAATGTTTACAACTTCAGTTTGGTCCAAATGGCATGATAGTGCTATTCTTTAGATAACTATTTGATGTCCAAGCAACAACTACGATGGTTGGTGCAGTTTCGATTAAATATTATAGCGCAGCAATTGTTAAGTATGCAACTATGCAAAAAATGTTTCGAACGAATTCCCGGTTCGCTTAAAATTAAATAAAATCATTAAGATAATTTTACACATAGACACTTATTCAATTTAATATTTTAGTATGTTTTTACGTTTGACAATATCTAAAATATTTCGTTATAACACAAAGCGTGAATTACATGTACTGAAAATCTGACATGAACAAATTTATCGCAAATTATTTGAAGATATCCATCAATGAACAAATGGCCAAAGGATCAGACAAGGAAGAAGGATACGAAAGTGATGGTGAAAAAGGAGAAATTGATGCAAATAGCGAAGTTTTTGCATTGTTGAGAAGAAGAGTGGATCGAATGGAACATGCCATTGGTAGCATCGTGTCCAAAATCGATTGTGTTCTGGATAAATTAGAAGCTATAGAAATTGCGAAAGCTAAACGAAGAGAAAATATTGGTCTATTAATAGACAATATAGCAGCGGTTAGATTTAAACTGATTTTAAATAATTTTTTTAAATTATTAACATCAATTAAATAGTCTGGAAGTGGATCACAAGATGCTCAGCAGCAAATGGAAAAAATTGTCAAGGATGAGATGACAAAATGGGATAAAGAACACTTCGCCCCAAAATCAATGTTTTGAACGTTTAAATTTGGAATTCTCGAAGGAACTTTTTAAAAAATATGTGAAACTATTTAATGACACAAAACCAGAACCAATATTATTTGTAATGTGATAATTAGATGTAGAAATATGTGGTAAAAAAGTTTAAATGATGTTTCGTATTTGAGTATTCCTCAACGCAAATGTGAATGTCAACAGAGAACAAAACGAATAAAAAAATTTCGAATATCAATCTGTATTCATTATATATATATATATATATATATATATATATATATATATATATATATATATATATACACATATACATACAATATTCTATAAATTCTACCGAATGTTTGGCGTTAATATGTTTGTAGATCGTTTTTTTAATTTTTAGACCATAATTTTTACAATATTCTATAAATTCTACCGAATGTTTGGCGTTAATATGTTTGTAGTTCGTTTTTTCAATTTTTCTCAATAAAGTTTTTTGGTGAACGAATATTTCCCTATATAAACAGCAAAAAGCACTGATGATTCATTCGGAATCAAAATATGGCCTTATTTGCAGCATGAATTCGGAAAATAAGTTA